TGCCAATAGAAATACATTTACTCTTCCTTTCTCACCGGGATGCCTCTTAATTTCTTTTTCTTGTCCAATTGCCCTGTATAAAACTTCCAGGACAACGGTAAGCAGAGGGGGTAATGGCAGACATTCCTGTTTGCCTCTTTGTGTCTATAATCAAGACCCTTATTTATTCAACTGTTCAGAGAAAGCAGAGTTCAAATCCATGTTGCTTTGCTATTTGAAATGCAATAAAAATATACCTTGTTTCACACTTTAAAATGGTGTGAAATATTTATTAATTTTCTATTTTAGTGTTGGGAAGATAAATTAGAATTTGACAAACTCCTTAAAAATGAAATATTATATAACCACATAAGACAGAGCTATGGAGTGTGACAGGAAAATTCGTAAGTGGAGGATGGAAACTCGTGTTTCAACCATTTTTCCTTCTCAGAGGTCAGACCTACCATAAAACCACGCTCTTCATTTTTAAACAAGGCAGGCTGGTGTCCAGGCGACTTTCTGGAAGACACACAGATTGCCTGCCTGCCCCGGGGGGCTGTGAATACCTTCTACACGTCTATTGGATCGAACCCTTCTTGTTTGGGAATCCCGCTTGCTTGGTTTTTTTCTTTTTTCTTTTTCTTTTTTTAAACATTGTCCTCATAAACAAATTAGTATCCCAATTAATGTAAAAGTAGGTTTTGTGTTAACTGTAAAACAATTTCCCCCTAGGCCAATAATTTCTTCACTTTGAAAAATGAGGAAAGATGGGTTAGAGCCTTTTTTTCTTTTTTCTTTTTTTTGCTAGAAAGGCTGCCTGAACGTGGTTGCACAAACGGCTGTATGGCGGCGGGGCGGGGCGGGGCGGGGCGGTGGGGGCACCTCCACTATCAAAGCCCCGCCTACCGAGGTGCGAGGCTGTCTGGGCCCCGGGACGGCTGCGATAGAGGAAGAGCTACGACCTTGTGGTTCCGCTTGCAGGCGGTACCAGGACATGGTCTGATGTTGCATCTGATTCCTAGAAAGAGGAATATTCCAGTCCACTGGGGCGGCCATAACCAAGTTGTGCAGACTGAGAGTTGTTTATAGGCTGGAAAGCCCAAATCCAGATGCCAGCAGACTCAGTGTCTAGTGACAACCCACTTCCTGGGGTAGAGACGGCTTTTTTTCTTAACCCCAATTCATGAAGGCTCTACCCTTACGACCTAATCATATCCCAAAGGTTCTACCTCGAATGCTATCACACTGGGAATTTGATTTTAACATGAATTTTGGGGTGACACAAACATGCAGTCTCCCGCAAAGAGGCAACCGCAAGTTGGCAGCTTCTGCAACAGCTGTTACTTATAGTAACCTGCTGTTAGGGAGGCCTGGGGTAAGTGCTTTCTCTAAGTAATCTCCTTTGGTCTTAGAACGATTGCATCGGTAGGCACTATTACTAACCCCAACTTCTACTTGTAGAAGCTGAGGCTTAGAGGTTATAGAGGCATCAGGTCTCCCCAACCCCCTGCCCAGACCCCAAGATTCTTTCCCCTCCTTTCCATTAATCCCACCCCTTTCCTTAATGGAAGTCCTTTGCCCACCTCCATGTAATTCTGATGTAGTGACGATAGGCTGCACTCCTGCTCGGGCTGTGAATCAGCATATGTAGGGTCAGGTCATCTTATAATGATGATTCGAATGGGGATTTTTGTCCTGGTTCATACACAGGCGTTGAGAGAGTAGCTTTCTTCTCCCTCTAGGCTCATCCTCTAGGGGAGGATGGACGCCTGGGCCACAGGCCCCTGTTCCCCTGCAGTTCGGTAGAATCCTGCTAGCGATACAAGAGAATGAGGCAAACGCACTGAGAGAAGCAAGCCAAGAGATTGAGAGAAAAAGAATATTGATATTGTTTGGAGTCTCTCAGGCCAGATCCTTTTCTAGATTGCAATGAGAAGTAACTCGTCTTTACTTCCTTGCTCAAGCTAGAGTTTTGCCATTTGCATCCAGAAAGTTCCCTAGCTTACCCACTGCTAGGAGACGGAGAAGGCTGCGAAGCTGGTTTTAAATCTGTGCCGGTCCGGCTCCAAAGCCCGCGCTCTATGCAGCGCTTTGTTTGCTGGCAGGGCTGGGAGCCAGATATTTTAAGATAGTCAAGCAACAGAAATAAAGGTTTGAAATGCATATGATGACAACTAAAAGAACTACTGTCCATGACCCCAAGTATTAAAATTCATGTCCGTGCCAGGAGGAAGAGCAAAAATGCATGTCTTTTCCCAGAGAAAATAAAGCATTTATTTTACTCTTAGAATAAATCACCATGGATTGTAATACGAGTTCTTAGGAGAGGAACTGAGTGTTTCCGGTGACTTTGGGTATAACTGTCTCCATCTAATCTGAGTGATCTGATCCAGCAGACTGCGGCAGTGACTGCTAGTGGTTCCTGGGTCTGACTAAGAGGTGGAAGAAACACTGAGAATTAAGCGGAGCTCAGTGACTACCCCAGTGTGGCCTGTCCTCTGGGGCCATGTGTGGTTCTCTGCGACGCTGCCTGGCTTGTGGCAAGAGCAGACTTCAGCCTGTGGAGTCTCTGCCCTTCACCCCTTTCCGATCCATATCTGTATTGTCAGCTGAATGAACTAGCATTTTCCACCATATTTAGGTCAATAGGTTTTTATCACAAGGTAGCATTTAAATAAATGTAACAAAAACTATTATAAATACAAGGAGAGAGTTACAAAGTCACATATACATACAGTTCTCCATTCAGCCACACAGATACCTGCTGTCCATTTTTTTCAAGCAGTTGGGTATCACTTAAAATATTTGACCTTGAAGGTCAAAATTACGAAAGCCTCAGTTGCTGATTGGGATATAATGTAAATTAATAACTAATGTATATCCAAGAAAGTCTTTACAACCCTCCTAAATAGATCTTAGGTGAAATAAAAAGTATCAAAACAGCAGTTACAGCATGGTTGTGAATAACAATAGTTAGAACATTGTAAATCTAAATTCACAATGTGTTATTTAAAGCTTTTTTTTAGATGCAGATTCTTGGACTTCATATTTTCTATAACTAAATTAGAAAGAACGAAAATAAAGCGATGAAACCTTCAGCCCAAGAAGTCACAAAAGAAACAGAAAAACAAACCTAACATAGGAATGATAAACTGATAACAAATAAAAATATGGTTAAAACATTATAATACATGTGTGTGAAACTGAAGGTTGATTCTTTGAGGAAAACCTGATAAATAATATTTAGTCTAATAGGAAAATTATAGTTTTTTTTGCTTTGAAGTAATAAGCAGGACCTAATGAGTTTGTGTAATTATAAGCAACATACATTCAACAGTAACAATACAAATTTTTTAAAAAAAGCATAAAAGAGACCATTCCCTACTTTGACCCCCATCTTACAAGCGGCATACTTGTTTTAATTTATTTTTCTCCCTCAGTAGTATCACCTTTTTCCCTCTGACATCCCCAATTCCCAGTTTCTTTTCATCTTAGAAATAGCGCTGAAAAGTTATTTCTATTATTTCTCTGTTCTGTCACTTCAAATCCACAACTCAAACCTTCGTGCCTGGACAACGACGGAAACTTCTCAGCTGGTGTAATGGCCTCACGGTTTCCACTTTTCGGTCCATTTGGCACCCTGTGCACAGGAGCCAGCACCCTGGGGTGGAGGAAGGCAGCCAAGGGCCTGGGGGGCTGCAAGGTGCAGGTCACTTACTGCCCATGAAGAAGTGGGGGGTGGGGGGAGAATAACGAGCCAATAACAGCCGCTTCCCCCTCCCTCTCTTCCTTCGAGAGGTAAGCTGGCCACCTGGAATCTCTCCTTTTCCCTTTTTTGACAGACTCCCTCTGAATCCTTGCCTTTGCGGGTACCGTTTTCTCTGGCGGGCCACCCCTTACTCCATTCCTTTGCCAGGCAAATAGGCTCCTCCTTACTTACCTTTCAAGATTCGCTTCTAGGGTCCCCCTCGCTACTGGTGCAGAGGCAGCAAGAACCTAAAGATATTTATTACAAAGGAAATTAAGGTCAGGTGTTTAATCCACCACTTGCCAGTTGGTGTGACATTTCTTTGATTTTAAGTCCCCCACTCCTCTCCCCACCCTGCCACCCCGCTTTCTTTTTTGAAATAAGAATGGGAATAGCTGCCTTGACATCCCTTTCCACGGGAAATTCAAAAGGCTTAGTGAGAGGAAATGCGCTCTAAAATGCAAATCATTTTACAAGTTACACTTTCTCGTTGTTGCTCTCCCATTGCTTAGAATTTCTTCCCTGTTTGTTCAGATCAGTCACAGTGCAAAACTCCACTTTGGTGCATTCGAATACTAATTAAAACGTCCCCCCCCCCACCCCTTCTCCCCCCGCCCCCCGCGTCGTCTGCAGCCTCCTTTTTTTCTCTTCTGTTCTCTCATTCCCTTTCTCCCCGTTCCCCTTTCCTCCTGTGGCTTGCTTGTTTATACTGAATTTATCCGAGACCCAGCTTAATTTAGCAGGTACGTTTCACAGTTCAAGAGTGTAAGTCATTTAGTAACGCGAATGAGGGGAATCCAAACAAAACAAATAAAAACTCCGCACCCTAGCTTGTAAAGTTCTGGGCCCGAGAATTTAGATCGGCAGGATCCTAAAGGGATCTCGGCAGAGCGAGGGCGCCGGGCCAAGCTGGGCTTCCGCTCTGAGCGCGCGCTCAGACGCGGGAACCCCACGCAGGCGGGCGAGCTGGCGGGCCCGGAATCCCGGGAAGGGAGCACGGCGGGGCCGAGACTACAACTCCCGACGTGCACGGCGGCCAAAGCAGGTTCCACCTCTGCTTGCCCCTCAATCTTTCCGGTTCCTGCCTCACAGATGGCCGTCTAAGAACTGCGTGGTGGTAATCAGAGAAAAACCTTCAGCTTCTCCTGGCGCGCAGGAGCCGGGAACAGCCCAAGCAATGCCTGTCCCTGCTCCGGTGGTTCGCCCCGGCGTGGCGGAACCCACAGTCACACTGCTCGGGTTTCCGGGGGGACCGTCATCGTGGCCGGACTCTGTCGCGCGGCAGTTTAATTCTCCGGCAGCGGCTGATTGAGCGGGACGGGATGGTCTTGACCGTCCTCATCAGGAAACTCGGTAACAATCTGAGCTGCCCCTCGCTGGATTTGCCCGCCCTCCCGGCGTGGCCACTTGCTGAGAACGGCCGTGTCACGTTTCCTTTCCGGTCTTGGCTTGTCCAGGGCAGCCCCCGGGGACCCCCGTCGGACTCTGTGTAGACGCTGCAGTGCGCGTCCTGGCCGGTGGAAAACATTGGCTTCTTTCTGTCCCTCGTGACCCCCGCTGACCCCCGCTGACCCCCGCCGACCCCCTCCCACCCTCTCCCACCCTCGCCCACCCTCGCCCTGGGCCCCGCGTAATCGCGATCTCCGGGCAGGTTCCGGGTGGGCGACTCCGGGGAGTCAGGCACGGCTGCGAGCGGCGTTTCCTCGGCAGGTCATCAGCTGGCCGAGATCCGGGAGCGCGCGCTGCGGACCATTCTCAGCAAGGTGGAGCTCAACTTGGTGGGCTGCGCGGACCTGGCTCAGGACCGGCTGCTGTTCGTGCACCTGCTGCAGTGGTTCAACTTCCCGTCCGTTCCCCTGCAAGCGGAGGTGCTCGGCCTCCTCAGCACGCTGGTCAAGGTACGATCATCCTGACATAGGGACTCAGAGGAGCGAGCGTGTGTTAGCCATTTCATCGGGGCATTGGGGGAAAAGTTAATTTTACAAGTTTTTGAAAAACGATTTTTTCAAAAGACGTTGAACTTGAACTCATTTAGGTATATGGTTCTAGTCTTCCTTTTCTCTGATTTGGGATGTTAAATCTCACGTTGTCTCCACTGTGCTCTGAACACAGATCTGAGTTCCGGTAGTCGGGTTTTTGGAAATCTTCCGGGGAGGTTAATAGTTGCTATTCTGTTTTTCCTTGTGTTCTGTTATTTGCATGTTAAAAACTGAGCCTGTCTGTATGAAAAATGACACGTTTTAAGGTAATGTTGCAGACCACAATTAATAGGTCGCAAAAGTGTGTTAAATTGTTTTTGCCATATCTGCTTTTCAGATTTATGTTCCTTAGTGTATCTTGAGAATAGCTAGTAGCCGGGATCAGACGTCAAGGTGCAAGTTTAACCTTACAAATCTGTAAACCGCCGGGCAGTTGTGGGTGATTCTTACTACTTCGGCTGGTTGGAGGTAGGAGATGATAGGGTGAATGTCAGTGGACAGAAGTCATCCTTTTGATAAATGAGTACAGGAATTGACATTGTGCATTTCCAGTGTTTAGTTTGGGTTTTTCTCTCCTAGGTGTTATTTAACATTTAATGTCTCTAGAAATCTCTGTCCTATCCATGGACGTTCTTAACTCACGTATATCACTGCACATGGAGTTTTTAAAGAAGGAACATCTCATATATTAAAGTGCTGTACGAGAAAGTCCAGAAATTTTCTTGTTTGCTCTCATGACTCCTCTTCTTTCAGCATCCCGCAGCAGTCCAGCATTTGGTTGATCTTGGTGCGGTCGAATTCTTATCTAAACTTCGCGCTAATGTGGAACCAAGTCTTCAGGCTGAAATTGACGGCATTCTGGATGGACTTTTTATCCTTCCTTCAGATGTTCCCGCGCTGTGTTCTGCATCTTACCAAACCAATCAAACGGGTAACTCTTTGGAATCATTCTGATGCATTTGGTTAAAATATAAATATATCGGGTCTAGTGATTAATTCTAAGGAAAGGAATCTTAGATTTAAAAAAGAAAATCTACCTCCCCACCTTATTTTTCTTGTGTTGACTTATAGGAACTCGACCTTTTGTCCCTCCTCTATTATCATTCAGAGGAGGATACATTTGTATTTATTGCTTTTTTGGTGAAAGGGCCTAAGAGATGCGGTGAGTTTCTTTCTGTGAGATCAGTTTGACAGATTATTTAACAATAACAACACATTTCTGTCGAGCACTCATTACCATGTGCCAATGGTTGTTCTCATTGTTTCATACTTGCATTTTTGGACTGTTTTTCCTGTAGTGCTGTGTTGATATCTGCTCTAGCTCATGATTTTTTTATGGGCTCCCGTCAAAATGATGGTATAGTGGATACGATCAGAGTCAAAGAGACATGGATTTAAGCCTCAGTTCTGCCACTGGTTGTGTGACCTTGGCTGAGGCACTTAAGTGTGCCTCACTTTTTTAAATTAAAGCTTCTGGGCTTTAGTTTTCTCATCCCAGAATGGGGACAATAAAGACCTTTTCGTAAAACTGTTGTGAGGATGAAATGAGGTGGTGCCCAAGTAGAGCTCAGCCCGGGCCTTGAGCCTGTGAGGCACAGAGGGGTTGTCTGCTGCAGTTGTGTTCTCTCTATTTTATGCCCTGTAGTGTGCCTTCCATATGGGAAGCACTGGAATTGATTTGAAGGGAAAAAAAGGGCCCATGCAATTTATGTGATGAGTGGTAAAAGTGTAAAAAGTGTTTTTGTGTGCTTAGTCTGTTGGACCGTATTTTTCTCTCTATCAGCGCTGTATTGCTGTTGCTGTGCCTGTTGGTAGCACTGTTAACAGGAACTGTGGTGGGTGCCATTCATTGACATCTTGCGTGATGGTGATTTTTAACAAAGTAGTTCACAATTTCTGTCTAACCCATAATAAGTAAAGTAGAATCTTAAACTGTGACTTTTCAAGCTCGTTCCTCACAGGTGAGGTTAGCAGTGTGGTCTAGGGCTCTAATTTCTAGTTATCTGTATTAAGAACCACTGGTGTAAAAACTAACAGAAAATCAGAAAATTTAGTTTTAGCCTTTTTCTCACTTTTACTTTTATTGCATCTGTACTGCTGAACATGTAATCGCATGTGATAGGATCGTGGAAGGCATTGAAAGAGTGCTTGACGCCTTTGACAACTTTTTAAAAAAGGTATTAATGTAAATTGCTGTGACCAGGAACTATATAATTGGAATAAAAGACAGGAGGGAGGTAGACTTAGAAGCAGAGATAGACAGTCCTTCAATAAATACTTTGTAACAGATTCTTTATGTACACTGTGGGTGTTTTCATTCTAACAAATAACTTAACAATAACAGAGAAAGGAAGGAAAAAATACCCCAATTTGAAATTGACTCAGCATTCACATTTTTTCCTCTTTAGGAAGACAGATTATTCAGAGGAAAATAACTGGATTATTTTTCTAGTTTTTAAAATGATTCACCAATATGTTCAAGAGAACATATTAACTCAAGAGAACACATTAATTTTGAAAAAGTATCTTACACTTTTTGCAAATCATGAATCACTAATACATACAATAATATGTATTTTCTTTTCAGAATTTCCACAACCACCTGAAATCTTACCAGGCTATTTTCCTCAAGACAGAAGTCACTTGCAGCAGACAGACGGGCCTCCAGGACCCGCAGGTGAGCGTGTGCGGGGAGGGAGATGGTGCTGTCCTGGTAAATCAGAAGTCAGTACGCTTTCCTCGTTGCTGTGAAGATGCATAGTGATCCAACCTGAGTGCCTCGGTACCAAACTGAGTGTTTCAGTTTCTGCAAATTAGTTTAGGACAGGGAGTCTAACAGGTGACATTTCAGCTATCCTAACTGCACCTGAGCAGCTGGGCAGGTGGGTGGCAGTGGCGGCAGTAGCACTCAGTGCCTGCTGAGCTCAAGCCCTTTGTCGGGGACTGTGCGGTGCGCTCTGCGGGTCTCATCTCCGTCTGCAGCGCGTGCAGTGCACCGGCTGCCCAGTCCCCCAGGCCAGGGATGCAGGAGCGTCTCCGTCTCGTTATCTTTATCTCGACATACTGCTGAGTCTAGAGTTCCAATTTAGATGCCTCGTCCAGGTCTTTTCGCATCTGCTGTGTCCGGCCTCTGCTCACATGCCACCTCCTTAAAGAGACCCTTTGACCACTCTAGCCAGTGAGCACTGTCTGTGTTTAGTTTTCTTCCTAACACATGTTATGATTGGAAGTTGTCCGTTTCTTTCTTGTTTTCGTCATGGTAAGTTCAGAGGTAGCGGCAAAACACTGCTTTATCTCCATGTGCAGAATGATGCCAGAAAGGTATCGGATGCTGAGAATGTCTTCTTTGAGGGAGAAAATGAATCCTCACAGAGCCCCGGTGAGACGGATCTTATGGTATCCCCATTTCCTGATGTGGACACTGGGGCTGAGAAAGGATGAAACCTTTGTCCCAGGTGCCCCGGCGGCTGGGAATGGTTAAGCAAGGGTTCTTTTTATACTTTATTGCCTGCAGAGTTGAAAAAAAGTGTCCCCAAAGGTGTATCTGCTGATATCAGGGATTCAGTTTAACTCAACTTGGATGCCCCTTGTTATCAAAAAGCTTCCTTAGAAACTCCCAGGCGCAAGAATAGCATGAGAAAAAACAAACCTTGTTCAGCTGCTAAAATACTTTACCTTTCCTTCTGGAGAAACTTTGTGAGGCTTGTAGGGAACTTTGGTGTTGAGACAGTCGTCCTCTGTGTGTGTGGCCCGGAGGCTTAACGCAGTGGCAGTGAGAGGCGTCTGAAGGGGCGAGGGTCTCCAGGGCTGGGACGTGGCGGTGGAGCTGCAGGTGTCGAAAACGAGACCCCCAGGCAGAGGTGCTTTTGCATGGGGGTTGCAGCTCGTGCGTTGGCGGTCTGGCGGGTTTTGGGACACATTTCTGTGCGTGCAGTATAAACCTGCCCTACCCTCTCCCCACTGCTCGCTCGTCCCTGAGAAAGCAAAGCCTGCTCTTGTGTCAGCACTGTGGAAAGGAGCAACTATGCTGTGTTTGGGAAAATAATAATAATCTGAATTTGACGAGTCCATGCTCCTTTCACAGTATTTGGCAGGACTGTTTGTCATTTGGAACGGCTTTCGTAGATGCTATTTCTCAGTGCACCCCCTTAACTTGTATGATATAAGATCTGTTAAAACAATAAGAGAGTAGATCTTCAACGTTGCTCCCACAAGAAAAAATTCGTAATTCCGTGAGAGGTTGGAGATGTTAACCAGTGCTACTGTGGTAATCATTTTGCAGTACATGTGTAGCAAATCATCATGTTTTACACCTTAAACTTATACAATGTTGTACATTTGTCAATTATTTCACAATAGACCTTGGCAGGGGCGGGGGCTGTTAAAAATAACGTGAACAGTGGTAGTTTAGAGTTGTGTTGGTTTCTCGGATTTCTTTTAATCTTTGAGGTTGAAGACATTTGATCTTCAGCCTTATGGTTTTCAAGTTTTCTTCAAAGAGGTTTAACCATCTAACACCATTTAATCCTAAATGACTAATTTGAAAATGACTAATTAAGTATAGTTTATGATTATGTTTTATCATTTGTAATTTCTGTAATTATAGATCTCCAAATGCCAGGGCCTTTTATGTTAAATTTAAGATCTGTGTTTTGGTCAGCCAGTAAAATGGAAAATGTAATTGAAAGTAAATGTCATTTGGTATGGGTTTGTATTTAATGCTCTTCTAATAATAGCATATGAGTTCTCTTTAAATTATGGAGAGAGAGCTCTGTTGTTTGTCCTTTGAGGGAAAAAAATTTGCAGCTGACCTTGTTTGGTATATTTTAGGTCTCTGTATATGTGACTTTATTTTGTGACTTACTTTAAAGGTGAGTCTGTCAACCCTGTCTTCTTTGATGGCTTAAGTGTTGCTTTTCCATTAACAGTGACTCAGACTGTGAAGTGTCTGAAGTTTTCGACGTTCCCTTGGCTGCCCCTGACCACGACAGACAGACACGTCCTCTCCTCCAACGAGAGGTAATGGGCCTGATGGCTTCCTGGTGTTCTCGGTTCATCGCTAGCCATTGCATCTGGCGGTTATTACGCTACATGTTCAGCAGGAAAACAAAGATATTACGTGGCTGTAAATGGAAGAATGGGAATGGATGAATGATTTTCAGTATTTCAGAAAGCAAGCCTTTGATCAGGCGGAAGTCTTGTGACCACCTCTTACTGACCAGATATTCTGATTGGCCATGGCTATGCCTTTGCTTAACAAAAATGGAAAAACTGTACATAGATGCAGTTTTCTTAGCAGGCAATATATTTCAAAACATGAACTCTGTAATAAGGGTGGGGACCACTGATCTTATGTAATGGATGTTAATTTGTCGTTGCACCCCAAAGTAGGGGGCTGATATATAGAAGTTTGGAAAGTGTCTTAATGTCTAGTTTCATTTTCTTGCTAAGACTTTGATTTCTGTAAATATTACAACAAATGACTTGTCTGTCTTTTTTATGGGGGGGTGGAGAATCTGGAAGATAAAGACCAATATCTTAGAATTAGGTCCAGAGATAGGAGGATGCTGTTCACTGAGTTTTGGTAACGCACCTTGAGGAGGGGCAGGGCGGATGTGACCCGCAGGTTCTGAGTCAGCCCCCGAGGGGGGAGGTGCTCTCCAGTGACACACTGGCGGGTAGTGGCCTGGGGCTGGGCTGAGGGGGTGCTGGGGGTAGGCCTTCTGCACCCTAGGAGGGCAGATACAGTCTGAGATGTTGAGGTGGCGTCCCTGCTTGATTTCACTTAGAATAAGGAAGAACAGTAAGGGGCCGAATTCCTAGAATTTAACTCTATGGTAACTGTTCTTTTTTCTGTCTTATTTCTTAGTTCACATGGCAGGTGTCTTTGAAGTCTGTTCCCTTTGACCCTCTCAGTCTCACTTTGTAGCACAGTGAGGGTCTCTGGCACGCAGTCTCGAGGAGGGTCCAGTGGGGGATGCAGAGTCAACAGGCAGTCACCGTGGCGCCCGCACAGGGCTGGGCCACGGCAGCAGCCCCGGCCCAGGGTGTTTGTTGTTCAGGGAAGAGATGGAGGGAGGCTTCCCAGGGGAAGCGATGCCTCAGCTGAGACTGGAAGGATGTGAGAAGAGTCATTTGCCACTAGGTTACTCAGAATCTGGTATAGGTAAACTCTTTTTAAAAATAAATAACACTCTATTTTGTAGTTCTCTAAGAAGTAGTAACCACACTTTAATCTGGAACACCTGTGAACTATTGAAGGACGTCATCATGCAAGACTTTCCTGCCGAGATTTTCCTTCAAAGGCCGAAAATTGTTCAGGTGCGTATCCTCTTTCATTGTGTTAGATTTTGAAATAGAACTTTTTGCAATGAAATCAATTTTGCAGTGTAAGTGTCCTTAGGAAGGAAATGTGCCCTACCATAAACAATAAAGTATTGGGCCATTAAACCCCTTATTCTCTAACTTATTTCAATAGTGGTAGTTCTTCTGATAGGAGGAAGTCTCATTTGACACGTGCAGTCCATGTGGCCACCCTGAATTTACCGTTCATGGGTCACCTGAAGAGGTGACTAGACTTTGGAAAGTGAGCTTGAGCAGCAGCAGTGCTCCTGAGCATGAAGAGTAGCCCCGCTCTCTGATTCTCCGGTGTGTGGAGGGCGCAGGGCTGGCTGCCGTGGGGGCAGCAAGCAGGAGAGGTGGACTCTTTGCAGCCTGGCCTGTTGCTTGCAGAGGGAGGCGTTGGACCCAGGGCCGGGGGGCGGGGCAGCTGTGCAGTGTCTGGTAGCGTCCGTGCCCCCTCACTCGGCAGTCACAGGGCGGACGCCACCCCGGTGAACGCAGCCATGAGTGGTACTGTGGCCGCTGTCACAGGAGAGCAGGGGGGAAGCGGTCAATGACCAAAACATGACACAGTGATTTAGCTTTTGAGATGTGGAGACCTTGTGCTTTTTACAAAGTACTGTGACCCTGAATGTCCCCAGTGGGGAACAATGCCCGTGTTCCTTCTGAAGGCGCTTAGCTCGTCGGTTCAGGATGGAGCAGCGCTGACTGTTCTTCTCACGTTTTCTCTGATTTTGACCTGTTTCCTTGCGTTATGCTAAATCACTTTTGCCCATTTGTTTCTTGTCTTATAAGTATCTGGCAACTTACTTCTTTTGGGGACTCATTTAACCACCCTTCAGCTCCCCGTCCCCCCTTGAAGCCGAGCACCTGGTTCCGCGATGGTTTTCACGGCCCCGCTTCATTTCAGAGCCTCCTCTCCCTGCTGAAGCTGGCCTTCGGCGCCGAGGGCGCGCCCCGCCTGGCGCTGCAGTCGCTGTCCTGCTTGCAGCAGCTGTGTGTGTATTTACGGAGCAGACTCCGCTTCCACCGCGACCCAGGCTTTTTCTCCAGCAAACAAGGTATTTCTGGTTATGTTTTCATTAGTTTGTGGCAGCGTGGGCAGCATCTTCCGAGAAAGGGCCCCCTTGTACTCATGGTCAGGGCTTACTGTATGTGAATTGTCAGGCAGACTCCCCATTCCTCAGCGTAATCAAAGGATCACCCGGGAAGACAAACTGCCTGCGTCAGAACTGCGCACGAGCCACTGCTTTTCTTTGTAAGAGACCTTTGCGAGGTGTGCGCTTTTTCATCCGTGTGTAGAGCGTTGTTGGGAGTTTGGCCTTGGGATTCCACGTCCAGCTATTCGTGTGGGACTTTGGGTATTTTTTGCAATTATATGTTGTGTTAATAAGTTGGGTTAAAAAATACTGATTTTTATTTTATGGCAGTTGTTTTTATGCCACTTGTGATGTCTTCAGTTTACTGGGTGATCATAGTGCCTGACTTTTCGTGGAAAAGCACCACCTAATGGACAAATAGAGGACTAGGCTGGCTTTGTCAAAACTGCACAATTTAGGATTTCCGTGCACTTCCTTACACAATAGGCATTGAAAGTCGAATATTACATTAGTGTGATTGGTGATCAAGCTTCGCAGATAATCCCTATTTTCTTAGGTGTTTCACTGACCCTCAGCTACTTGAATGTTTCTGCTTTGATGAACTTTCTTAGAGATCTCAGGGGGTGTTATCGTCCTTAGATACAATCTTCTGCAGATGATTGAGGATAATGAGGTTCTGGGTAGCCCCTCCTTTATCCGAGAAAGAGTTACAGTGTCGATCATTTATATCTCTGAAGGTTTATCCATTAATTAAGTAAATATTGTTCACCTACTATATGCCAACAGATATTCTAGTCTCAGGACAGGGGTTATAATACTGAACAAAACTGGGATAAGTTTCCAGCCTCTATGAGCTTGTATTTTATAATTAAATTTATTTTATAATAAAAATTTATTTATTTTATAAATAAACTTGGTTCAGACAGGGAGATGTGTGTGGAGAAATGTTTAGTAAAGTCCATTGCCCATTTTTAAAACTTTTTATTGTTATGTCTAGGAGATTTTTATGTATCTTGGATATTAAATTCTAATCAGATACGTGATTTACAAATACTCGCTCCCATTCTGTAGGTTGGCACTTTCTTCATAATGTCTTTTGAGGTGTAGGAGTTTTTAATGTTGACAAAGCCCAGTCCACATTTTCTTTGGTTGGTTGTACCCTTAGTGTCATGTCTAAGAATCCATTGCCAAATTGAAGGTCATGAAGATTTACCCCGCTATTTTCCTTGTAGCTTTGATTTTAAGTCTCATATTTAGGTGGTTGATCCATTTTGAGTTAATTTTTGCATATGGTTTGAGGTGGGGGGTTCTTGGAGAGTGTTAAGCAGGGGAGTGCGTGACCTGGCATTCAGCCTTGGCCGTCTCTCATGCTGTAAGTGACGCATGTTGGCCTGAAGGTTCTGTGTATAGTCAGGTTAGACAGAAACCTCGATGGGCTAAGTGAAGACTTGCAGAAAAGGCTGACCTTTATTTTTATTTTTATTTTTACCCCTATAGAAGCATTTCTACCAACTTAATTTTTTTTAGAGATACTACATAATCAGTAATCTGTCTCTACTAAGGGATCATTTTCTTCTTATCCCCCCACCCCCCAGATACAGTTTCCCAAAATTCCTCTTTGTCTTACTGTCCTGAGGTAAGAGTTACTCATCATTCTCAGAATGCTTCTCCGGGAAGCAGCAGCCCCCGGCCCTCTGTGGTCGGACGCACGGGCCAGCGACCCAGAGGAGACGGCCAGGACTGGGACGCAGTGTCTTCCAGGTGAGTGCAGGACAGAAGTTACACCGGGTCGCGTGCGTGTGTGTTTCAGTTTCCAAGGGAGGTCATTCTTTTTCTCTGCCTTCTCTTTTGAAACATTACCACTGGTGTCAGCCTTGTGTTAAACCAGCAACTTTCATACTTTTCTGACTATGGCCCAAAGCTTCCTCACGGGGCCTTTGTGAGTTGAGAGGAGCTTGGGGTGCTTGGGATATTGAAATTGAAGAATTGATAAAACACGTATTAAAAACTGTGGGAGTTCTACATGTTCAGTAGCATTAGTGTGCCTCTGTGACCCAGCTTTGCTTGTGGATGACATCAAAAGTCAAAATTTTAGGATACTGGCAAATGTAGGTTCAAGCCTTTTTATACACTTTTATCTCCACCCTATTAACTTTATAGCAAGTTAAGAATTTTTTAATGAAGAATGCCAACAGAGATGGGATGTCCCATCTTTTGGTGTGTTTTCAAAATCATTATGGGATGTAGAATGTGCTAAATAGTCCGTTTTTCCTTTTTTTTTTTTTTTTAGCACTCTTTGGTTGTTAACAGTGGCTTACTTAGAACATTTGGTGGAAATAACAAAAAATCTAGGTCACTGTATAAACTATTTAGTTTTGCCGTTATAGTTGATTTCAGAAGAACTTTGCAGTGAATCCGCTCGCTTTCCTTAACAAATGAATGGGTTATCAGTGCTAATGTTGATTGCTGCTGTAAGAATGTTGACACATTTCTAGAGCATCAATTTGAAAAGCAAACTATAAAGCATTTTGGTTTCATTTACAACTTGGAGCCATCTCGATGGAATTTAATCTCAGATTTGTCAGGGTCTCTACAAACCTGAGGCGAATTGTCGCTTGAAGTCCTAGAATCGTGTCCGCTCCGAGGCCCGTCCTGCACCAGGCGGCGGGGCTCTGCGTGGGCCGCCCCGTGTTCAAGGACTCTCCTGTCGCCCCGCAGCGGGAGCAGCAGCCGCGCGCCCGCCGACTCCCGGGCCTCCGCGCCCTCGCCCCTGGACGCGCCGCCGGAGCCGCCGGAGCTGCGGGAGCCGCCGGACCCCCCGGAGCTGCGGGAGCTGCGGGAGCTGGAGGCCGAGGACGCGCTGCGCTTGCAGTTCCAGCAGCTGAGCCTGCCGCAGTTCTGCGTCTGCGCGCTGGAGGCCGCCGCGCCGCTGCTGCGCTCAGGTCGGTGGTCCCGCGGCGCGCGCCGTGGCCGTTTTGTCCGCTCCCTGGCCGTCTTGCTTTTCTTTTCTCGCCTTCTAGCTGCGTTAGGGCCTTTGGAATCTGTGATATTTATTTTGTCCCTTGGGGAAGACATTCCTAAAGACTCAATGCGGTCTTTGTTACCTGTTTAGTCAAATGTCACCAACGCTAGTGGCGCGGGGCCGCCTTCGGGTGGAGCCTGGCCGGCCGCCCGTGGCTGCGAGTACGCAGGCCGCCCTCAGAGTGGCCGCGTTCAGCGGCATCGCCGGGAGCCGGGCACTTGCCGTCGGCCAGAGGTGGTGGGGTGGCCGGGCAGACGAGGGACAAAACCCCTGGCCTGTGTCCTCAGTTCATTCTTTACACTTGGCGGTTACATCACGTATGAAGCCTGCTAGAAACACACCTACAACTGGATTCTTACCTTTGCTGGGATTTTTCCTAAAAACAGACGACAAAACTCAAACCACCTGAACCTTTTACATTTCCTTTCAAAGGCACTAGTAGAGTTGCAGCGGTACAGTGCAGTGTGCAGTGCGCTGTGGCCGTGACGGCAGTGACGGGCGACCGGAAGGCAGCCGCGCGGCCAAGGAGGGCGGACAGCCTCGTCCTGGGGCTGGAGACCGCGGGGCTGCCGCCGGGCGCGCGCTGTCCGCCGCGGCCGCCGCGCGCTCCCTGCGGGGAGGGTCGGGCTCAGCGGGCGCTGCAACCCGGGACACCGAGCTCTCGAGTGCGGTAGGAAATGCCCAAAGCCCCGCAGCTGAGGTCAGACTGGATCCAATGGAAGCAATGATTCTTATTCTCTAAACATTTTGAGTAGCTGATAAGCTTGTCTAGATACTAATACAAGATAAACGAGTTTTGCCTTTTTTCGATTATGCCGGCTGAGTAAAACAGAGATCGCGTGCTGATGGTCCTTTAGGGCCTGTGGCCGTTTTTTTGTCTGCTTGAGGGCGAGGGGGAGGAAGGCGGGAGGCCAGCGTTTATTGGGAAAGCATTAACATTTTATTCTATCCTGACCATCTGACTGCGTAGTTCTGCTGCCGGGAGTTAGGAGTACAAAACAGTTCATGCACTAATAATGTGGTGAAGGAAAATCTGAACTTTGGCATTATAAAGTATATATGTTTGTCTCTGCGTGGTATACTGAGAACAGCTTTAAATTTAATGATTTTGCATTTAACCTTTTCTTAATTTGCTGTAAAAAGTCAGATTGATAATTATAAAGCTGTATCTTGGTATATAAAATTTTCTAAATGTTCTCTTGCCCTTTTGCGGTAAATTATTGCGTAATTTATAATTGTTCAGTCTCATCAGAGATTTCTAAAAGAACCTTTTTTTAAACCTTTAGACAGAGGGGAAGGGAGGGAGAAAGAGAGGGAGAGAAACGTCAACGTGTGGCTGCCTCTTGCCCGCCCCCTAGCGGGCACCTGGCCCGCAACCCAGGCGTGTGCCCTGATGGGACTCGCACCTGCGACTCGTCGGCCCGTGGCCCGCACTTAATCCGCTGAGCCACACCAGCCAGGGTGAAAAGAACGTAAGCCATTTGTTCTAATGAAACGCTTAATGCGGACCTTTAGGATCCAGTGGTCTGTTTTGCTCTCACTCACCAGAAATGTGCGTCTCGTAGATGGGCACGGAATGTCCGCCTGTCTCAGAGCGCGGGGGGCTGGCTTTCCGTTGCCGCTCTGTCTTTATGGAGAAGGGACATTACACGGGTGGGTGTGAACTTAGGCCTGAGAACATGTTTCAGGCGGCATTTCTCCAGATCGCTTCAGCATGGACCTTTATCCTTCGGTTGCTCCAGTCCCAGGGAAGCTTCCCAGGCAACTCCTGCGTGGGAACAGTTTCTGCCAGGGCTTAAGCCTTCTCGTCCTAAATGGGAGGTTCTTAGAGTGCATTTTCTAAACCAAGCTGGTGCTCTGTCATGGATTACGTGGAACATGGATGGTCTCTGAACTTGAAAAATTATTTTAATCTGTCTCCCAATACTTGTAGTTAAGTTATTGCTACTCTCTTCTTGAGTGTCTTTCCTCTTAGGAGCACATTCAATTTGTTGTAGTAAAACAGCATTATGATCAGAAGTCTTTAGTGGTGGTTGTAGATTGTGACTTCCTTGTTTTTCTCCAGCAATTCTAAAATCGATGTATTAAAAGAGAAGTAGGAGTTTGTGGGTGTGACTAGAAGATTTGAGAATCTGGCATTCAGCTCTTTATGTGGAAGTTAACTGTTTTCTTATCTCTCTCCTGCTTATTTTTCTAGGTAGTGGACAGATGATAATAAGAGTTCTGGAATTGCTTGCAGAGGATTTGATACTTATTGGCGAAGCAATTTCAACAGATATCTGGGATGACAGCAGCCTTTTTGCTATAGATATGGTGAGAATCAACTGTTTCCTTGAGCAGTGGCATTATGTTTTGTTTTGTTTTGGTCCTTTTAAGCTGGTATCATTGTCCCGTTAGTCTTTGAAAGTGTTCTCTCCTTTAGACACAGTGTGTCCCGGGCTTGTTTTGTGCATCATCAGGGACAGGCCGTTGCTCCAGAGATTCTGGTCACTTCCCACAGGGGCGTGTGTGTCAGGTTTAAAACAGGCCACCAGGGCTGATTGCAGTTACTGGGATATCGTTCTTTCCTTTTAGTAACAGAACTAGGAAATAATGTATTTTAAAAAACTCATACGTTCAGAATCCCGTTTCTGTGATTTTAAACTTGTATGTTTTTGCTTGTATTTGTCTCTCATAGAAAGTCTTAGGTTTTAACAGTATCAACGTAATTCTTTTTTAGCTTTACCTTCAGGGTACATTAATTTCAGAAGAGCAATATTAGTACTGCTGTGGTCCATAACTAATAAAGTTCCAGATTTCCCTGTAGTTCTTTTTTACTGAGACTAATTCTCACTAAGAATATAGAGTCAAAATACTGTGCCTTAAAGTCAATTGGAAGAATTCTTTTCTCTGTTGCCAACACAGTATACAGTTAGATTTGTTTCAGTTTATTTTTATTTTTGGACATAGTTTTCTCTTCATAAAATTAACTCAGAGATGTCCCCCTGCCATTTTGTTCTCTGATTTACTTTTCTCATTATTTTAGTTTTTTGCAAATGTAAAGTATGTAGTTTTATTCCTTCCCCACATCTTTCATAAAAGGTAATACGTACAATTTTACACACTTTTTACAATTAAAAATGCATCAGTATGCATAGAGTCATAGGCGTGGCGATTATTCCATGTTTATACCTGGAGATCTTTATCTTTCTACTGTTTTAATCTGCAGGCACTTCATTGGTGTTTATCACTTAGTTCCCTGGTGATGGACATTATTGCTCTCAATTATGAAATGAATACTGTGCATATATCATTTCATACTTCTGCAAGGATGTCTCTAGAATAGATTTTTATCAAGTGGGATTGCTGTATTAAAATGTAAATATTCTTAATGGTAGATATTGTCACATTATCCTATATACAGCTATACCATTTCCATCACTCGCCAGCAGTTTGTTAGAATGTGGCTTCACCTACAAGCTCAGCAGTAGGATTTATAGTCAAACCTCAGATTTTTGCCATTCTGATAAATGACATATATCAGTATAGTATTAATTTACACTTTGCGCTGAGTAGGGTTGAACATCTTTTTGTAACCCTAAGAGCCATTTTCATTTCTTTTTCTGTAAACTGTCCAAACCTTTATCCATTTTTTTCTTGGGTCATTAATTGGTCTTTCATTCTTTCATTGATTTCTAAGGACTCTTTATATATCAAGGACATTGGCTTTCTGAAACAAGTTTCAATTTTTCCCCTATTAGTTTTTCTTTTTTTTTAAACTCTCCTACTGATATTTATTTATTTTTATGTAGCTGCATTCATTAATTTCTTTAAAAAAAAACAAAACAACTTGGTTCTGGATTTTGAATCAAAGTTAGATTTTCTTTACATCTTGGGAAAATGTGTTGTATTTTCCACTTATTGAGATCTACATTTTTGTCTTTTAGGAGTATTTTCCACACATAGATTTTGCACATTTCTTATTGTTTTTTAATGTATATGTGTGTGAATATATTTATGTGGCTTTTAACAGGTTTACTGAAGTATAATTGACATATAATGGGCTGTGCATGTTTCTTAAAGTTTGTTGTTACATTTTGACGTATGGATACACCTATGATATAGATTATCTTGCATTTTTCAGAATTTTACATGAATGAAACTCACTGTATTTTTTTTGTCTAACTTTTTTTCTTTAGTCTGATTGCTTTGAGATATACCCATATTGTTGCATTAGTTCATTTTATTACTGGATGTCTTGTTCTTTGCTATTTGCATTTCAATAGGGAAGATATTTTTTGGAAAATATGGCATTACATTTTTTTGAAAGAAATATTTTGATTAATATTTGCATGAGTAAACACATGTACAAGTTTCCTAGGAATATTATATTATAAATAATATTTAAGACATCTGTGAACTAACAGAGTATGTCTCCATGTAATTATAAATTGTATCCTTTTATACATTTCAACATATCAATTATTTGTCATTTGATATCTTTTATTTTGAAATTTTCAGTTAATCTTGATTGTTTTTGAAATACTGGTGGTCTATCATTTTTAAAATGTAAATTGGTAATTTAGCCTCTTTTTTTCCCCCTTGCATTGTCAGAGATATGGAAGGAAAATTTATTAGTCATAGAAATATATATTGACTCATAGTTATCAAAGTTGTTTTTATGTTGTTTTGACCTACGTCTATGTTGTATTAAACTTTGTTATATGCTGTCTGAAACCCTCGTTGACTAGAGGTTAGAGTATGAAAAGGAAATGCTGATGTTTACTTAATACCAATTCCCACGTGTAAAAAACCCACATTTTTTAAGAACAAACATTTCTTGAAAAGAGAAACCAATGAAGTATTTTACAATTGGTATAATATATTGTGAAGGCCCTTCAATTTCTTTTTCTGTGAAATAGCGGAGATAGTTCTTAATCTTAGTTTTGCTTTAGTCCTTAAGGTTACCCTACTATTTTACAGTATTTTTAGAAGATTTTCACATATTGAAGGTTTTCAACAAGTGAGTTTTTCCTTAGATGTGTGAAGACTGTTTTATCAGTTGCTTCTTAAATTAACTTAAATTTTCTTGGCCAGAACATTTATCTGTAAAAGTTAGTCATTCACTTTTAACTTTTGGCTGCTAATCTTTTCTGATTCAATGAATTATTTTTTACTTTAAAGGTTAAATCTGTTGTATAAGTGCCAGTTGGTATGTTAGAAATGTTAAATAAAACATGCTGTTTAAAATTATATTTGACTTACTCAGGCTATATATTAATAAAAAGAAACTATTAAGTAGAATTGCATAATGTCTTTACTTTTGCCAAGTTTAAAAAGAAAGATAGAAGCAATATTTTTGTTCCTTCATTAAGGAAGCAAAATAATAAATGTGTTGTTGCCAATTTAGAAATTAAACACCTGCGAGCATAGGGTCAAACCTCTGGATCTTTACAAGCGGTGCTGACGGCGCCCATGGCTGGGGCTCGTAGCTCGATCTGTGGAAGCACAGTCAGAAGAAATGTCTCCAAGTGGACACTTTTTATTTCACTTGGAGTAAATAAAGCAAAAAAATTTTAACTGAAGTTATATTTTGTTAAATAAAAAATGTGTTGATCAGCCCTCGTGAAGGTTAGGTCGACCCGAAGTGCGGCATCCGCTCTTTGGAAGGCAGCTCCCAAATCAAGTCTGTCCCCTTATCCACGCAGCAAGTCGGGTTCCAAGAGGAGGATCTTCCCCGAGCCCCGGCACCCGGGCTCCCGAGGTCGGCGCCGGCCATTTGGGCCTTCGCCGCCGCTCCTGCCCTCATAAGGCCGCAGAAAGCAGCCTTTTCTCCTTCCCCGTGACGCGTTGCCTCCTGGTGCCCGTGCGTCCTGCCTCGAGCTGGTCCCCTTTTGTGCCAGGCAGGTCGGAGGATTTGCCGAGGGCACGGCAGGGCTGGAAGGTCCGAGGCTTGCGTCCGGGAGGGGGCGCTGCGGGCGAGGGAACCCCCGGGGCTGGTGCGGGGTGGGCGGGGTCCCGAGCTGGCTTTCACCTGCCCTGCCACGGCCACAGTCAGGGACTGTTCTTGTAAGTCACCGGACATTTTTGAGTGCCTGTCGTAGGTTAGGCCCTGCATGTGAATGAGCGCAGTGTTCTCTCCAGGGGTGAGGTGGGGGGGACCGCAGGCACTTTTGCTGTGACACTCGTAGAACGGGGAAAGCCTAGAGGAACGATAGCAACTGAGGGGTTTCATACCAAGCTTGCTGGAGGACAGGCACTGTTGAACCACGCGGGGTTTGTGCGGCCTCTTAATTTACATCACGGCCCTATAAGGTGGGCAACTCATCACAGGCAAGGAAGTGGAGGCACAGTTTCTTTTCAAGGTCGGTTCTGTTTTTAACCATGTTTTATTGCCAAGGATGCTTGGAAAACACTCAGCCTGGGATCTCAGGGCGGGCTTCTTGTAAATCGCGACTGAACTGTGTCTTGGATTATAATTAGGACTCGGCTAAGCGAACGAGGGTGGGCTTTTTGAGCTGGCAGTGGGAGGAGAATGTCAGGGACGCATGGATAGTGCCGTTTGGTGGTGATCGGCAGGGCTGGTGGGGCAATGAATGCACAGCCAGGGCCTCGGGTGGGAGCTGGCGGGAGAGGCTCTGCGCTCTGTGGCCCGCGCCGGGTGGCGGGGCCGTCCGTCCGTCTCTGTGTCCAGCAGGCAGGAGAGTTTGCCCTCCAGCAGGGGCGTGCCTCGCTGCCCGCCCCTGCTGGGGGGATCGGCTGCAGCGGGGGAGGGAGTGGGTGAGACTGTCAGCGTGTGGGGGACACCCGGTGCCAGTCGCGGGCTCAGATGCTCTGCAGACTCCACAGTCTGTTTCCTCATGTGCGTTTGCAGAAGCTGTGTTTGCACTATAAATTCTGTTTTAATGGGAGTATTGAGAATATTTTGCTAATCTGGTATTTTAACACTGTGCCTTCTTTTGTAAAAACTGTGAATATCCTAAAACTGCCAACCCCCTCCATCAACTACTTCATAGGCGTTTCAACATTTTTTAGCCTTTAAATTAAAACTGTGGACCAGTTACTATTTTTTAATCCACTCTTTTCTTAAAACCTGTTTTAAAAAACCACTTTTATTTGACATCGAAGAAATGCTGGAAATAGTGAAAATCACAAGACTGATTCACACAGTACTTCCTTTTTGTATTATTTTGAGAAGCAGGTACTGGTAATTCATCATTAACATAAAGAAGGTTATTTGAAACAATGTTACAAGTACACAGACTTCTAGTAAAGGCCTGAAAATACTGCAGTCTTAAAGATGTTCATTGATTTAAAAATTGTAAATTGTCAGAGTTAATCTCGAGTAACAGATATGTTGTAGGAATATAAAAGCGTTATTTTAATGGAGAAGTACTGAGTGAAAGAATTGCCCGCCAATATAACGAGGCTGTCAAGTGTGTTTCTGAGTTGTTTTCCCTAGACTAGTAGTTATTAATATAAATCTATTACGTTTTTTGTTTTAATTTAGTAAGCGTTGCCCTCCTTTTGGTTTAAATTTTATTTTTAGTTTTATTTCCTTGGGATCAGAGAAGGCAGCTGTAAACACATATTGAAGTTTTCTTTGCGATTAAGTAGATGGCTAGTTTTTTGTCAGTGTCCTTGGAAACTTGAGGGGTTATAGTCTTTGAAATGTTCCAAGTTTATCTATTTATTTGATTAATTAGTTTCAAAAAGCATGAGTTAAAACTTATAAAATCCATTCTCATTTTACTAACAGGTTTTACTTGACATTCCATGTTATTCAGACCACAAAGACTCGATTTGGGGCTTAACTCTTAGTTATGCATTTCATCAATAGAAAATGTCCTCCCTTTACCCATTTTTTTGGTCTTGAATAATTTATTCATATTTCATATATTTTTGTTACTTTTTCACTAAAACATTTAACTTTTAACTTTTTGTGCACAGAATTATTTTCTATTATTTTTGACAGTAGCCATCCTAATGGGTGTGAAGTGCTATCCCACATTGTGGCTTTGATCCTTGATGTAGTTTTTATAGTGCTCATAGCTTTTAGTTTTGTTTCCCATGTATTCATTCGCCCGGGAATAAAACAGTTCATTACATGCATGAGAGTTTGGTCCTCAGTCTGCAGGTTCTATGCTAAGTTATTTTTGGATATTCCCCCTGGGGAGGTGAGAGCGAGGAGCTGCCCTGGCGTCTGCCTCCGACCTACGCGGTCCCGTTCCCACCTGCTCACGGGGTGTGTCCTCCCATTGAGGATGTGATTGGTCTCCTATATATTGTGATTTGCAAGTTAGTCTCCTGCCTTTTAGCTTTCTCTTCGTATTTTATATAGGCCTTTCAATTTAAAAGATATAACATCTATTTAAGTAATGAGTTGTCTAGAAATTGATGATGGCAGAACATTTTCCCTCGAAACAACCTTTTTACTTGGAGAGCTTCCACTCAACTGGACATTTAATTGTTTTTTAATTATTTGCCTCTCCCTGTTTCATTTCTCTATAGTGCTTTTGGGTTTACTTTGAGGGCAAGGATTATGTCTCTTATACAAAGGTGTTTTTTTCCCCATTATACCAGCCACTGTGTTTAGCATGCAGTGAGCCTAATAAATACTTGATGAGAGGTTTATATGCAGATGTTCAAAGTTGGAAAAATTAATTACAGGAAATTAGGAGAAATTTATGGTTCATTAAGCTTTCCTACATTGTTTATTTTTTATTCATTATTAGTTAGAAGTCATCAGATTAAATGCTTCAAGATTGTTTTTTAAAAATTTAGGTGTGCTTATCATTCTTTCATTATCTCAGCAGCTATTGATTGGAATAATTGCATTTGGGTTTTTGTTATTTAGCAATAATATTTCTAAGTTGTTCTCCATGACAGATTGGTTGTTTTCCTGTTCTGTGTGTAACTGTTTGCAGAAAGAGAAATTGCTTGTGGTGCTGGCGTCCCTGGGAGAAACCATGTGCTACCACCAAAGCAGCGTCGGTCTGGAGCAAGCGGAGGCCGCGCGCCGGCTCCACAGAACGGCCTTTGTCAGCGTCTCCCTGTTCACCGTCCGGCTGCTGCAGACGCTGCTCCCCGTTGAAAAGGTGAGGCCGGGGGTGTCGCTCACCTGTAATTCACTGAATGTTACAGGTACGTGTTTTAAATTCCTGCTGCTCATTTCACAATGTACAAAGATTATATTGGAATATGGAAACGGAGAAATGGCTAACAATTTTGACAAATTATTTGATTGGAACAAACACATTAATTCTGTAAATTTTTTTTTTTAGGACCTTTCAAAAAATATAGTGCAACATAGATTAAGACAGGTACACAGTTCAAAGTACCTTTACTAAGTGAATGTATCTGTGTTTCACAGGTGTAACCAAGCACATGACAGAGAACACCACTAGCATTTCAAAGGCCTCTCCCCATCCACCGCCTCTCTTTCCTCCCCAAGGCCGAACTCCTCCTTCTGACTTGGTTGCCATAGATCAGGTTGTTTTTAAACAACATACTAGTGGAATTACCAAGTTTGTACTCAAGATTTTTTTTTCAAGATTCATCATTGTTACTGCTTGTAGCAGTTGCATGTTAATTTTTATTGCAAAATACTATTCCACTCTATGCTTTTTTGGTAAAGGTGATTTTCATAGGTGTAATTATTCTTTAAAATTACTTGTTGACTATTTTAAAATAGAAGTTATATTTTTGAGTTTGCATATTAGTGGTCAAAATATCTCAAATGACTCTTGCACAAGTGCTTAGCAGTGTACTTACTGCAGAAAGGAGGGCGCGGCAGGCATAAGAGAATGTGCAGGAGGTGTTACTGTAACCTAAGAATGGTGTTCTGTACCTTTGTTGCCCTGGTTGTAGCCGTTTGCCCTTCCATTCCCGAGAATTCTGCAGAGCGTACAGTCTGGACTCCAATTTTGAATAAGTTGCACATGAAACACTGTCAGGTTGTCTGGGAAAACAAGAATAAAACACTAAATAATACATATAGTATTTTGCTTTGGGGAAAATAATACCATTTCTGCTCATGTTAATTTTTAACTTTTATTCATTAGTCAGGTTCCTGAAGAATTTCTTGGTTTTAAGGAGTGGTAATTTTTCAAGGTATAAGCATTATCAGTTGAAGCATTCTACTCATGTAAGACTGGAATTGCATTTAAAACATGTCTCACTTTACATAATAATATAACTGAAAAATTAGTGCTACAATAATTTGTTATTAAGTATTATAAATGATCAGTCGATGCATCGGTTGAAGTATTGATGGAAAACTTCATTTTCAATTGTAGCATAGAGCTTATTTATTGCTTTTTTAATTATAGATTTTTTTCATCTACATGCTTATTTGGGCAGGAAACAGTTGATATAGAAATCAATAATTTGTTTTTTTAATTTCCTTAGTTTAGTGTTAAAAAAGGTAAAACCAATTTTCCAGTTTTTTGAAGGTAGTTATTTTTTATTTATTTGTTTTTGTTTTTGAAGGCAAGTCAATACCTGTAATTTTTGGGAGCTCTTTTAAATATATAACTTGGATGTTCATTAGAAGAGTTAATAAGGTCATTGAAGAGAATGTAATTGAAATACTGATTTATAGATGGTTATAATTGCCTTGACTGATGAGCTGAGAACTTTAAAATGAGATCTAAACAAACCTGCTGTCCCGTGGCTGTTAGATGCCCCTCGGGTTTGCGTGTGAGCGCGTGTGAGCGGGAGGCTCCCTGCCCCTGCGCGCGGCCGCCCACCCTAGGGGGGGGGGCGGGGGGGCGGGGGGGGGGTGGGGGGGGTGGCGGAGGACCTGGGCTCTGCGAAGTCTCCCCGGGAAGTGCTCTTTGAATATTTGACTTTCTACTGATCAGATTTATGATTTGGAGGTGGGAAAATGGAGGAGTTTATGGAGAGATTTCTCAGATTTCCAAGAGTTGACAAAGTGGCCCTTGAAGGCCTTTTTTAAAAATTTCTAATTTTTGATTTTAAATGATTTTGGAGAATCAACAATTTTAACCCAGGGACAGGTTAAAATGCTACATGGGTAATATTACAAAAATATTCTGCTTGGTTCATTCAAGTTGGTAAAGCAAATGAAGGGGGAACCCTCTGGGAAGTAAGGGATAAAATTGCTGGCCCTGCACTGGAGGCGGGTGCCGAGCCTCCCAGGAGCCCCTGTCACCTGCTCCCCAGGCCAGCGGGGTCCGGAGGGGCTGGACCTCCGCTGTGGCTTTCTCAGCCAGGCGGGGAGGTGCGTCGTCTGGTGGAGCTGATGGACTGAGGGTGGCGCTTCTCAATGTGGAAGGTCCTCCGTGGCCTAAACATCTGAGTCCTGTATTTCTGTCCTTACTTGGCAACTTCATTTTAAAACTGTTGTTTAACTGATTCAACTCTTAATCTTAGACTTCTAGGCAGTTAGTGATTATCTTTAAAATGGGTTACCCCTGAAATAAATCATGACCAACCTTCTTTAAAAAAGACAGCATTTCAGCCATAATAGTGAGCTCTGCCTGCCAGATGATTTCCTCTGAATGTTGAAGTTTTAATCCTTTTTATTTTCTCAGTTGATGCCTACAATCCTATCATGAAGCTAGAATTATTTTTTTTAAAAGAATAGTTGTTTTAGTTTAAACTAGTTGATTTAAAGTATAAAACATAATATTTCATGTGGACTTGATCATTTTTATACTAATTAAGGATCAGTCTTCTATGCGTGTTCTAGAACTACTTTAAATACTATGTTGAATTTTACCTTTCTCCTCTGGAACACAGACAAAACCGAATAAACATCAATTTCTGTTCACATCGGCTTTTAGTTGTACCTGATGCAGTGCTGTTCCCGGCCTGTGTGCTGGCGAGCCCCGGGGCGTGTGCCTACGGTGGGTGTCCTCACCCCCGGCCAGCCCTTGCGTGTTGTTTGGTGACTTGTGTGCACGTGCTCTCTTGCCCTAGGCACTTAGAAAGGAGGCCCGCCCTGGAGGCATAAACAGTACGCAGTAGGGCTGGGGAGAGTGACCCTGAGCAGTGGCGGAGAGAGTTGGGAAGGAGTTGGAATCCGGGCTTGGGACATTCGGGACTTAGAAAAATTGTATCCGATACAAGCAGAGAGATGAAGTTTTGGAGAACAGAGTTTTCTTTAGAAAAGCATAGACTTCGTGATAGAGAATTACTAAGAGAAAGTTGAACTACATTAAGGTTATAGTTTACCATGTTTATCTAAACATTTTTTTTAATTAGTTTTTTTTTTTTTTATTTCTCAAGGCAAGACACTTTTTACCAGAGTCTATGTCAGCAGCATTATTTCTAGTTTCTTTGGACATGCCTATTTCTTTGGAATATCCAAATATTCATGAAGCTGCGGTGGCCTACTTGGAACAGCTGGATTCTGAAAACTACAGCATTTATAAACGGACTGCAGAGGCTGTGTATTCAATTGAATGCGCCTGTAACTTCCTGTCGGACATTGGGAAGGAGGTAAGAAGTTTTATTAACATCTCTTTTAAATTCCTTGGATGAAATATTTGGAAAATGTAACCTGTACTTTTTGAATTGATGGACATAGGACAGTTGAATTGTTAAGATGCGGGACACATAATTAGTGAGTGGGTGAATTATCAGGTTGAAGTAAGGATATGACTTGTAAAAACATAAAATGAAGACTTTAGGTTAATGACTGATATGTATTTATGAAACTAGAGGTTTTAAAATATCAGTAGTCATTAATTATTCTCAGTGTCTTAGCATTTAATAGTGAGTTCTCCTCTTTGAAGAGGCGTACTGTGTACGAACAGGAACACTTGCCATACACAGAATTATATAAGGGCTTATAGTTCCATATACAGGCTGTTGTGAAGAATGCCAGAATTCACATGAGAGTACAGATGGCTCTTCACAGAATTTAGTGCTTATTTGTAGACACAGTTTTTCTTTAATATTGATAGATCCTTATTCACTCACACAAGGAGCCTGATGCTGCTCTTCAGTGAAGTCATGACCTAGGCTGTAAGGCGCACGATGCTTTTAGGTTCAATGTTAGAACTGTGTGATGCTCCTTATTCCTAGGAGGACGTTCTTTAGTATCTTATCAGCGAAAGGTTAGTGAGTCTAATGTGGACGTTGACTGCAATAATTGTTTATTGTCTGAAAATACCAAATTAGGTCCTGAAGATCTTAAAAACATGGGGGCAAAATCCTTTTTTGGGGGCCTTACATTGCAGTCTCTCTGAAGCTCATATTTCCAATTTTCCTTTATCCACTCTTGTTTTTTTCTTCTTCCTCTGTTCTTTTTGCCGGATCTTAAATGCCCTTGGCTTCTTGTGTCCTCCATGGTAGGATTTCGAGTTGTCTTTCTGCTGAGTTATTTCTGTAGTTTTCTGCATTGTCAGCCGACCACACGAGTATTGGGCGGGATGCTAGAAGGGGGAGTGGGTCGCAGGACCCCGAGTCCCGCCTGGAGCTCCAGCTGGTAGGGCGGTAGGGATGCAGGCAACTAGTCCAAGGACCATTCAGGCCTGCCCAGAGGGGGTCCCAGACAGTCTCATGTGGCACTTAGCCGGGGGTTTTTCCCACCTCTTTCTTCCTGGACCGACAGCTTAAATGCTTGTTGAGAAAATGGACTTAAGCAAATGCGAGCAATCTCAGGGCCTCTGAATAATCTAATTTCTTGAAGCTACTTAGTTAGCTACAGGGAGTTTTGTTATTTTGTTACACATGAACTTGACATTTACTGTTTTATTCTGATTTTTTTTAGGGAGAGAAGAATCTTCTAGAATTAGTGGAGCTGGCAGACCAAGCCTTGCGTAGCTTTTCCTATCATCAGTATTTTCCCCTAATAAAGGAAATCATCTGCATTTGTTCAAAGATGTAATGTTTTCTTTCTTAATATGATTATATTTATAGGATATGGTGGGGGCGTGTGTATGTGAGAAGTTAGGAGCAATGAAAATGAATTTGGTCTTAAATCTTGTTGTTATCATTATTTTTTAGTTTAAATTGCTTTGATATATGTCTGACCTTTTCACTATATATGTATAACTTGGTGCATTAGGACTGTTGGCTTATTCAAGAGTAAACTTTAAAAATGTCATGCTGCAATCAAAGTGAATTGTCCTTGGATTTTTATACATTTGGTTTGGTATCCATTCAAACCATGTATTCAACCATATTAATTTACTTAGTTATCTTTAAAATTTTAATTAATAATTTTTTTTAATGTAAGTCTCATTACTTTCTAGTTTTTCCTTTCTAGTTTTCCAAAACTCCATGTAAGGAAAGCATCATGCATTGGTCGATTTTTGGGGGGAATCATTGGAGCAGATTCATAGTAGAACTTAGTATTTTTATTGCTTTGGGAAAGAGCAAATTCCATGGTGGTAAATATCAGTGAAATATGGGATTTTATCATTTATTTATTTTGTACCTTACACAACTACCATTTTCGTGTGTGTGTAACATTTAACAAACATCACGTGTACAACACAGGACTCTTGCCAGCAGTCACCACGTACTGCGTCAGGTCCCCAGAACTTGCTGGTCCTGCCTAACAGAAACTCTCTGCCCTTTGACCAGCAGCCGCCTCCCCGCTGCCCCCCTCCCGGAAAGCACCCCTGTACTCTGCTGCTGTGGATTCGACCATTCCAGATCCACACGTACAGGAGGTCACGCATCGTTTACCTTCTGTGTCTGGCTTATTTCACTTGGCATCATGTCCTTTGGGTCTCTCTATGTGACCAATAAACTAGGTTGTAAGGCTTGGGATGCCTCTAGGTACAGTGTTACAGCGACAGCTGTGCGTTGCTCCTTATTCCTTTTTAAAGGCTGGGTAGTGTTTTATTGTATATACACACCATATTTTCTTCATTCATTGATGGGTGGAGACATGGGTTATTTCCATATACTTACTATTGTGAAGAATGCTGGAGTTAACATGGGATGGGAGTATGGATATCTCTTCAAGATACTGATTTAACTTCCTTTGGATACATATCCAGCAGTGGGATTGCTAGGTTGTATGGTAGTCGTCTTTATAACTTTCTAAGGAACCCTCCGTATGTTTTCCATAATGGTTGTATCAGTTGACATCCCAAGTATAGGTTTTAAAGACATTTTGGGTGTTTTTTGCACTTTTTTAGAGAATATTCTTTGTCTTGCAGCGAGTGTGTGCGTGGGTAAATACTGCTAACACGTCACTTAAATACGACCCCAGTTAGAGGATGTGGAATGGGAGGAAGCTCCTTCCACTGTGCTTTTCTGCGTCTTTTGGTGATTTCTTTGCTGTGATGCCTTGGCTGTTCTGTCTCTCCACAGCTGGAAGTCGGCACAGGCCAGCCCGCTGCTGCAGGGGGAGAGCCAGAAGGTCTTCCTGCGCATGTTGTCTCACCCACTGCTGCCAGTGAAAGCCGAAACTTACCGCTGCTGTCTGGAGATTGTTAAGGTGGGGTTTCTGCTTTTTGATGTTTGGGAGGTGAACTGACAGTGGGTTTTCTCCTTATAACTCCAGAATTAAATTGCTTGCCCTTTTGAATGCGATAAAAGGACTATTACCATAAAAATAGATGCAGTTATTAGTCAACCCTAAGCAATTTGTACATTAAACTCCCTTAGTTTAGCAAGGCTAGCAATTGAATTGCTTTATTAGAGGTTTTAGTAAGAATTACATTTATGTTGTGTTATTTAATGATGGCAAATTGTAAGGAAAAATAGCAGGTATTTAAAAGTGATCTCTATGTTCAGGGAGAGTTTTAGATTATGATGGCTTAAATTATGTACTTTCAGGTCTTTTTTTCTTAGTAATATACTTCTTTTGAAACATTTGTTTTCTGTGTTTTTAAATTAAAATATTTCAGCATAGAACATTAACTTCTCCAATATTGAAAAGAACATTGTATGTAGGAAAATATGGAAAAATGTATGTTCCTCTGTCCTCTTGCAAATGTTCTCTTGCATTTAACATTCTTGTAAGTAGTATCTATACATAACAAATGTTTACATGTTACCATTTTTACTTCTGATCCTTTTCTTTTTTTTAAGATTTTAAAATTTATTTATTTTTAGAGAGGAGTAGGGAGGGAGAGAAACATCCGTGTGTGGTTGCATCTTGTGCATCCCCTACCAGGGACCTGGCCTGCAACCCAGGCCTGTGCCCTGACTGGGAATTGAACCGGTGGCCCTTTGCTTCCCAGGCTGGCACTCGATCCACTGAGCCACGCCAGCCAGGGCTAATCCTTTTTTATTAAGAGAAATAAAAATATTGCTGTTATAACTGAGGATTCTTTCGTTTCTTTTATCCTTCTTCCACCAAGATAACAACTTTTATACAGTTGGTGTTTATCCTTCCCATCCATTGTTTTATATAGTTTACTCTATGTGCACATCTTTATAAATAATATATATTATTGTTTTTATACCAAGCATATGTTTTTGTTGTCTATTCCTTTCATGTAGTAGTAGGATTTGACATCTACCTGGTTCGTTCATCTTAACTGCTCTTTAATTTCGGTGGCCTCTCCTATTGAAATAAATGTTTAGGTTCAGTCTATTTTTTACTTCAATAAGTTTTCCAATATTTTCAATGACAGTCTGTGCTTAATGGTACATATGTTTGAAAACCTCTTGGCTTTACCTTACTCCTGAAGGGTAGCTTAGCCGTGTATGGAATTATGGGCCGACTGCTGTTTTTCCTCAGCGCTTTGTGACACTGCTTGGTCCTGATTGTCGTCGTTGAGAAGTCTGCTGTCAGTTAAATTATAATTGCTTTGTATTTTTTCCTCTGGTTGCTTTGAAGATCTTTTCCTTGTATCATTACAATGTCTTTGTATACATTTTCTTTTTAATTACCTTGTTCAGCACTTTTCAATCTGGAGACTCATATGTGCTGTCATTTCTGGGTAATTCCCAGTCATTATTATTTCTCTTAACCTGCTGTTCCTCCCCAGTGACACGCTCATGAGATCTATGTTAGACCTCGTATTCTACCCTTTGCACCTTTTAAGCCTTTTTTTATATTTTCCATATCTGTTTTGTTTGGATGGAGTTCCCAGTGCCACCATTCAGTGCACTAATTCTTTCTTTAGCTATGTCTAATTTGCTTTTTAAAAAGAGTGGTATAATATATATAACACGAAACTTAGCATTCCAGTCATTTTTAAGTGTGCAGTTAAGCGGCACTAAGTACATTCAGACTGTTGTGCAGCCATCCACATCATTCGCCACAGAGCGTTCTCCTTTTCCCGAATTGAAACTCTGTGCGCATTAAACAGTGTCTCCTCATTCCTCCCCCATGTGCTCACAGCCACCATTCTACTTTCTGTCCGAGTTTGACTCCTGTAGGTTCCTCCTGTAAGTGGAATCATATTTTTCCCATGAGCCTGTTTCTTTTCATTTCACATAGTGTCCTCGAGGTTCATCCCTGTGATAACTTAGATCAGAATTGCATTCTTTTTTAAGGCTGAATAATATTCTGTTGTCTGTATGTATCATATTTTTGTTTATCCATCCATTGAATTTTAAACAGAAGAAAGAGGAATCCTTTTGAAAAGTCAGTGGCACTAGCATTTAACAACTTTTTGTTTTCTTTTCCAGGAGTGTTTAGGTATCCATAATGTCACTAAACCTGTGTCGTCACTTTGTAATGGGATTCATTTTCTACTCCACCCGAAAGTTCTGTATGAAATCTGTGCATTCGGCATGCAAGAACCCAAAAATGAGGTACGACGCGTCCAAGTGAGTGTGGAACTCTGTGGTTCCTTAGATGCTCGGCCAGACCAAGGTCACATCCTCATATAAGTAGAGAGTATGATGAGAAACGGGAGAGAAGCTTTCCTTTGATGTAGGGGTTCAGTCAAGTTGTTTAAATAAATGGAAATGTGAAAGAAAATATGAGAATCAAACCATAAAACACACCTACTCTCAAAGCATTCAGATGAACCTGTTCTGTTTTCCATCTGAGATGTAGAGAACTATGCAGTGGGTATAGTTAGCAAGTTATTTCCTTACGGGACATTTTTCTTCAGTGGAAGAACATACCCTAAAGGTAAAAGAAAAGGAGTGTGAGATGATGCGACCGCAGTCCCATCAGTTGAAGGACGAGGTGTTAACCGCAGCCCGGTCCAGGTTTTGGCTGAGGCCCCAGGCGTGCCGGCGACCCCCGGCTGCCGCCTCACCCGACGGTGCTGGTCTGTGTGCCCGGCAGGTGAACGCCGCCGCCAAGGCCATCCTGCTGTACCTGCTGCGGGGGCGGCTGATGATGACCGCGCCGACCTGGGCCAGGCTAGTCCAGGCCCTGTGCCCCGTCATCCCAGTGCTGCAGGTACGACGTCAGGCCCGGTTGCGACCCGCTTCCCTTGGGTGGGCGGGAGGGACGGGACGGGGCTGGGCACCGGCGGGGCTGTCGTGTTGTGCGAGGGATGTGTCGACCTCGGATGACAGCAGGAAGCGCAGGCGGCCGCGTTTCTGGCAGAGGAGCAGGACACTAACGGCTCCGCCTCTGCGTCTGGGTGGGGGGTGCCGAGCGAGCGGGGCGCAGGCTGTCCGCCCAGCGAGAAGAGCAGAACCGGGAGCGCCGTTAAGCAGACTCGATGTAACAGCGTGCTCCGCGAGTTATTTCTATGCACAGAAGTGACTAGAGCTTTCCTTAGAGGAATGCACCCTCTGAAGCAGCTTTCCCAGCAGCCCTGTGGGCGGTGCAGGAGCAGGGGGCGCTGGGTTCCTGCCCGCGAGTGGGCGGCGGGGTGGGGGAACAGCCTGAGGACAGCGGCTCCCCGCCAGGCGTGCCTGGCCCGCCTCTGTCCTGTGCGCACAGGCCCGGAGCCCGGGTTGCCTCCTCTAGGATCCTGGGCAGCCGCAGAACAGTTTGCAGGTGTCCAGTGGGATGATGTGTTTTCCTGAAGGTCTTCAGTATTATTTTTAAAGTACAGTTTTAGGTAGGCTTTCCACATCCATCATGTAGGTTATTTTGAAAAGAAACTTCTCAGCTAAATTGAGAGAAACTGAGGAGTTGCCTGACAGGTCGGCGCAATTCTCATTTTCAAGTGGGAAACTGAAACGCCGTGTATACAGTTGAACGGTAACTTCTTTTCTCACGCCGCCAGGGCTATGCCGACACGGAGGACCCCTTGGGTAGCTGCATTCTCCTCCTCAGCGAGGCGAGCTCGGAGGGGGACGAAGGGGCTCTCCCCTGTGCCGCCCGGCTCAAGTCCGTGCTGCGACTCCTGCTCGTGAAGAAGCCCTCGTAAGTACAGCAGAAACGGGAATGCTCTAAGGAAGGACAGCACGGTACCTACGTCAGTCTGAGGCAGACTGGAACTAGGGAAGGTAAAGGAAGGCGATCCTTTTCATTAGACAGAGGAAACTGATGGGTGAAGCTCTGAGCAGATGCAGGTGTTTTGGGTGCTTCCTGGAAGCGTCCCTGCGTTCCCAGCACAGTGGCCGCGCCTGCGTCGCTGCTGAGCGGGGCGCTGTGGGCAGGGCCGCGTGCAGGTCGGGAAGCCGTGCAGAGCTGTAGGTTGCAGGGGTCACAGAGCATCTCCTCGTGTCTTCCCTTTAGAAATCGCTGGCCTGGAGCGGTCCTTTTCTAAATGCTTGTCCTGAAGATGATGTGTTTCGCAGAAGCGTAGTGGCCCAGTTGCCTCTCATACCAGAGTGTCCAGGCAGTTTAATCTTGTTCGGCTTGTCCTCTTGGGAGTCTGAAAAAGTGGCCTTTCCTCCATTGTTAGTGTCAGTGTCATTTTAACTAATGGAAAAGGATAAGTGTGTTGTCCCTCCGTTCCCGTCAGTGCAGCGGGAGAGTTCTCTGTGGCTCTGCAGGTAGCTGGTTAGATTCTCCCTCATCGAGAAGAGACAGCTCAGGGCAGACGGAGAAGTGGGGGCGGTGAAGGGAGGCGTTGGCTGGAAGGCTCGGGAGGCTGACACGCTCTTCGACAACGGACAGTCGAGTTCTTCCCAAACCTTACATCCTGATAACACAGTGGCTTATCCATAAGCAGAGGATCAGGCTTTGGAAGATAAGTAGGGGGAAATAAAATATTCAGAGAATGAAAGGGGGTAATCAAAAGGATCAATTATGAGGATCTCTGTGTAGCGTGAAGTTAGGGGCGATGCAGGGCGGAGGGTGGGCCAGTGTCTGCTCCGCAGGGATAGGCTTCCGCATGCCAGTCACGTGCTGGTGTGGCACATGCCCTCCCCTGAAACTGGCCATTGAGCACAAAAGAAGTTCCCTTGCTGGTTGCCCGTGGGCCCAGGGTGTCTGGGTAAACAAAGACATTCCTGGCAGGCAAGGCCAGACCTCTCTTTGGGTAAGGCTCTATCACACAGACCTTAACACAGTTTGGATTACCTTTTTTTTTTTTTAATTTGAATTATTCTACCCCATTCCACTAGATCATAAACTGCATTAGGCAGAAACCCTGTCTGATGGCTAATCTTTCCATCCACAGCACTTCTTGGAGTACCTTGGACATAAATATGTTCAAAAAGTACTTGTGTAGTGTAGAGGAATGAATAACTGGACCCCGCGGCCCCAGGCGAAACCCAGAAAGATGCTAACTGTATATCCGAGCTGGGGAGATGCAGAAATACTTGTGCTGTACATCCCTCTCTAGCTTTCTTACTGGGGTGGTGACCGTCCCGGAGCCGACAGCCCCAGACCTCGGCGTCGGGGGCCGTGGGCGGGAACAAAGGGAGCCCAGGAAAAGCATCGCTTTCAGGAGGGAACAGCCGCGGGACGGGAGGAAGTCTGCCTGACTTCCCACACCCTTGCGGAGTAAATGTTAATCCCCTGAAGATGGCGTTTGTCCGTAAGGGTTCAGGAAATTCCTGCACGGAGCATCAGCTGTGTGCCCAGGAAGTGAGGACGGACAGCCGCGGGGACCGAGCAGCACACGGCGGGACAGGCCCCCCTGCTCTGGGCCTGGGTTGAGAAGCGAGGTCTTGTCGAATGCGCCCGGTTCCCTGGGACAAAGCGAGACCAGGGTTACGACAGGGGACCGCGGGGCATCGGGACACAGTGAGGCGACCCCGCGGTGGCTGAGGCAGCGGCAGGTGCGGGCTTTAGTTGCCGTCTGTAAGTAGCTCTGTAAGTAGCGCTTGAGACCCGGCACCGCATCACCACCGAAAGCTGGCCCGCGCTGTGTAGGCCAGGGCCCGCCTGAGGGGCGAGAGGCCATGTGTTGGCTCCCTGTCGCCTGCTGGCGGTCCCGGTGTTCCTGGTCTCCCTGCCGCTCTCTAAGGGCACACAGAAAGTCGCCTTTTCTCGAATCTCCCGCCTCTCACTCAGCTGACCTCATTCCTAATCCATTCCAGATAAAACAGGATTTTGATGGGGATCGAAAGTATTTCTGTGTTCATATTTGAGGGGAATCCATACGATTTTTATCCGTTGTTGTGATACTAGTTATCAGTTATTGCTGCGCTCACGCCCTGGAGGGTGGACCTCGTGTCTCCCCTCGGCTCATGGCTCTGGGGTCATTTCTGCGACGCAGACCGCGCAGGAGGCTTGGGGCCAGGGGCCGCAGGGGCGGCCTGCAGGCTGGCTGACTCAGGTTGACCGCGTCCTCGCCTGACGCTCCCAGCGGTACCGGCTGTGAAGTTGACGGTTTCAGTGAGTGTTTCTTCATTTGTAATGATTGATTCTTCTTTATTCCTGATGTTTATTTATAAATATAAGATTGAAAGGATGATTGTAGTTACACACTAAGTATTTTGACAGGAAAAATAAAATATTACCAGTAATGTCCGTATAAGCATGGCTGGTTGTAGTGTGGCTTTATGATAATCTGTTGCCACTGGAGACCGTTCTGCTTTGTAGACATTTGTGCACTGCAGAGTGTCGACTTGTGTATTTTGTCTCTTCAGGGTCCGCGTGCTGGCCCTGAAGCTTTTAGCGTGTCAGCTTACAAGGGAAGAAGGCGCCGATCGAAAGCGCCCTGCGATAGATGCCAGAGTCCTCTCCAGAGTTACTAATTTATTTGTTGTGAAGAAGCCTATTGAACTCAAACTGGATGACAGAAGAGAGCTGATTATTAAGGTGACTGTGACTTTTGGGTTTATCTCTGTGTGGTTATTTGATCCATTCGTGTGTCACATCTTACGTTTTCTTCCTTAGTTTGTGTTCTGCGCCGACAAGGGAGGGAAGCGGTAGCTTCAAGTGTGGTTACTCACGGCTCCTTTGAAATCGTGTTCTGGCTTTATCTGGTCCTTGGACACCCTTGTTTACTGGGCAGATAAATTTCTTGAGTGTCTACTGTGTGCCAGGCACCTTGTCCTTTTTCATTTAACATGCTGCTGGAAGCGCAGGTAACTTGAATAGGGTCTTCAGTACAGCATGAGGCCAGGGCAGTGGGAAGGTCGCTGGCGTAACGCTCTTCAGAATTCTTGTTCTTATGTTGGGACTTGCCTGTAACAGGAACAAAGAAAACGTTCCTATGGTAAAAATTTTTAGCCTCTTCATTATCAGAGGAAAAAAATAATACAGGGGCAAAGGCAGTTTCTCTTCTAAGGGTAGGGCAGCGCCCGGCCTGTGGCAGTGCTGGGGGGCCTCGGGGGATGCGTGATACGGTGGCTTTTCTAAAATGGGGGAGCACAGCAGTGCTCTTCCAGCCGCCGCGTTTGGGGCCGCCGGCCAGCCGTGCAGGAGGTCGGAGAGCCTTCCCCGGGCCAGGGCCAGGTCCTCTTGGGGACTCCCTGTGTCCTAAGCATTGGTCGTCCCTCCTGTGCCCTGTGTGTGGTAGGCAGGAAGGCTGTTCTAGAACTGTCTCGTGAGTCCCCGTGAAAGCAGCAGACGACAGCGGGTGGGGGAGAGGAGAGGTGTTGTCTCCATCCTTTTCTTCTCCCCCTTCCCGCCTGAGTGTTGCGGCCTCGCACCCCATTCCGGTGTGAACGTCAGTCAGGGACTGGTGTTGGGGGCGGCCTGGCCGGGTGCTGGGCGGCAGGTCCCAGAGGCCGTGCGCTTCCTGGTCGGGGGAGGGAGGTCAGGGCAGAGCCCAGGGAGTTCCCGTGGCCAGCGTCTGAGCCGCAGAGGCTCGCCAGTCCGCGTCCTCGGTCCGAGAGGGACCGCTGGTGTCGGGCGGCCGGCTGCCCCGCCGGGACGTTTCCCATGGCCTTCTTTGGGTGGCTCATGGGCTCGGAATGACTTCCAAGCAAAAATATCCAGTAGGAGAGGCTCGTTTGAGACCACGGCTCTTTGTTTTAAATCCTAAGTTCCTCCCTGACCTAGCACATTGTTATTGCAAATGTTGCAAATTTACATGTATGTAAATATGTCATTTCTGGAAGCTGACTTTTTGAGCTTTGTTCTTGTGGTATGAACTATAACGTTTTATTGGAGCATTGGAAGTAGATGAAAGAAATTTTTTTTTTTCTTTTGGTTTGCAGTTGGAGACTGTTGAAAAGGTGTATGAAATCTTTATCTCAGATGACGCTGACCTTGTGCTGAGGAAGTCAGCCGCGGAGCAGCTGGTGGTGATTTTGCAAGGTAATGTCTGGGGGCTGTACTGGCTGGCGAACTGCGGCCCGAGGCCTGGTCGGACCCTTTGACAGCCCTTGAGTTAAGAATGGTTTTTATGTTTTTAAAGAGTTGTTAAAAAGGAAAGAAAATAAAAAAATATGGGACAGACCCTTTGTGGCCAGCAAAGTTAACCTATTACCATCTAGTTCTTTACAAAGGAGTTTGTTGACCCCTGGTCTGCATTCTCATTATTTTACCTACAGAATGTCATTTGATAGAATTATTTTCCTTCTAAGAGATTGATGTAATTTTAACAGTAATTGCATGTTCCTTTCTCAGTTTACCTAGTAGATGATGTTTTCAATCTGTTCCATCTTGCTTAGAGAATCAATCAAACAGTACTGTTTGTGGGTAGGTAAACTAATAATAATGTACTGTAACTGTGTTTTCTTTAAAGGCTTATTTTAAAAAACACTAGTAAAATATATACTGTTAACTTTGTAGTGTTGTTATTCCATTCTTTGGGCTAGTTTTTTATTTTTTTTCCTATATTTGTAATATATAATTTATCTTTCCTACTAGAGAGAGAGAGTAACTTTGTGTTACATGAAAAGATTTTTCTGATTTGGAAGATGGGGCACGGTTGATATTGCTGTCCTGCATTAGCAGGAGCTCGGATGAGAGAGTTATTTGAAAAAACATATGCAATCTGTTTGGGGCTTTAATAATAATAATAACACAGACTACAGAAAAAGAGGCTCTAAAAAATGTGATGAGCCATGACAAGAAAGGTTTAAAAACTTTTAGAAAGTGCTCTTTCAGTATTATTAACATTTCAAAAATACAACGTATAATTTTGGTGTACACTATATTGGGGGTAGTGAAAACTACTTTTCTAATAAGTGCCAGCTAAAGATATTTACAGCAATAGCTACTGATCCAGTACGAATACGTGTATTTGTTTCTCAATATGTGTGTTCATTGAGAGTATAGGAGAACAAATTAACAAGATTTGTTATCAAATTATTAAATGCTTGTCACTAATCTATAAGCACCTAGCGTTCTGGAGCCAGTGAGACTGCCTGTGTGTGCGCATGTCTTCGTCTGCTCAGGCTGCGGCACTAAGACACCGCAGACGGGGGCTTGTAAACGAGACCCTTGCTTCTCTCGGGGCTGGAGCTGGCGCCCGGGACCCTGGGGCCAGCGGACTGGGGTCTGCTGACAGCCTCACCTGAGAGGGCAGGGAGCCCTCGGGGCCTCTTTCGCTAGGGACACAGAGCCACCTCGTGACCTGGCCTCCTCCCCGAGGCCCCGCCTTCTAATCCCGTCACACTGGAGATTTGGTTCCTGCCTAGGAATCTGGGGGGACATAAATATCATAAATATTGGGTCCATAGCAGCGGGTGCACACACACATACACATACGCTTATGAAAATTCAATCCCTTTCCCTTTATATTTGCTGTTAACAACTAGAGGTTAGACATCTTACTAGTAGAAAAACGATCATGTTGCAAACTGTTTTTATACATTAACTTGTGAAGAATTCTAAACATTTCGAGGTAATGGATTTAGAAAAGAGAAGAATTGTCAATGAAACAATATAAACACAATAATATGTCATGTACAAACACAAGGACTCATTTCTGTGCCTAAAATTCTAGTACTTTTCGGAGTCTGAACTCTTTCAATTAACTATTCTTTTTTTAACTGTTTTATTTTTTACAATACAGGGTAAGATCTGATTCTCGCTTTAAAGTTTTCAAATTGTTCAGAGGTTTATTAAGTAAAAACTTAAGAAGGGGAAGGGGCGAGCAGAGGAGCATGAAGAGAGCGCGTCCATGAGCGTGGACGACGGGCTGGGGCGATGCGGTTGCTGGGGGCGGGCGGGGTGAGCGGCGGGGGAAGGGGGGGCACTGCAGCTGAGCAGCAGTAAAAAATGGCTAAAGTTTTATCCTTGAATTTCAGCACCAGGTGTGACTGTTTTTAATAGTGTGAAAGTTATGTGGATGCCTGTTCTGTATTATTAAAACTACAAAAAATGTTCTTTAACTTTTAGTAACTTTTTTTTTTTTTTTTGCCTACAGATATTAAAATGCATGCTGTGGTGAAGAAGTTATGCTTAATTGACAAGATAATTGAGTATTTAAATGAGTTTGTGGGTCCGGATGGTGAGGTAAGACTAGTGGGTATCTAGGCACATTTTCCCAGATCAGTATTTTTATTAGTCAGATCTGAGAGTGAATTCAGCTGAATTTGCATGAGACCCTGGAGTTTAAGTCCTAACACCTACGACCTTGTTTGTTTGTTTATTTCCAAGATTGACGTCTGTATAAAGAAAAGCTAATCTTGAAATTTCCGTACGATGTGCACACAGAGGTATATACAAAGCTTAATGTTAGTGGAAATTAATTCTTAATATTTATTTGCGTTTTTGTTTCACACACTTCTGATAAAGCGTAACGTTTAGAATAGGTTAGTAAGGATGTGACAGAACAGCAGCACAGTGTACGTGGTGTCCCCTTCGAGTTGGCGACCTCGGGGCGACTGTGCGTGTCCCTCCCCGCCAGGTGGTGGGGTGCCTCATCCCGCCCAGCCTCGTGCTCCTGCGGAAAGTCCTCTGCGCGGACCCCGCCGCCCGGGAGGCCCTCGCACAGCGGCCGTCGCTGCTGACCCTGCTGTTCAGAGGTGAGTGGACCCGTCCTGCTGCATTTGAGACCGACCTTCAGCTGCAGGTACTATTGTTTAACTGCGGGGGACGTTTACTTTACATTTCACTGACTTTACTGGTCACGTAAAGGACCCGTTGCAATGGAAGCTGTTGAATACTTCTGTGCACGTTTCCCGGAGAACGGCCTCTCTCCCCTCTGTGCAGGATACTTGGCGCTTGAAGTCCATTCTTTGTAATATTTTATAATGTCACACTTCTTTTTATTTCTCAGTTTCCTTGATATTTCATGAGGACTGCACTGTTGTGACTGAGGTCGGAGCGTTGTTTTGTCTTCTGTTATTTGATGAAGTCTCGAGAATGGATGTGTGGTGAGTTTAAAAGGCTGTGGCCCGCGGTTCTGTGCCTGAGGTTTCTCATGCAGCCGTCCGGCAGAGCGTGGGATTTTCCGACCTAGGGCGCGTGTGCCTTCCGAGGTGGACGTGCCGCGGGGTGGTGGTGGGTTCGAGGAAGCCCAGTGGCTCCGAAAGTCATGCTGAACTTTTATTTGTGAATATTATAAGTATAAAATTGAAAACTACTGCAGTAATTTTTGCTAATGATCTATTTTTCAGGATATATTTTCAATTTTGTGTGTTTTTCTTTAATACTTTATTTAAAAAAACTTTAGGAAGATTATGAGGATGGTAATATCTGTTTGACACTGGCCTTGAGTGGGGTCAGCAGCGGGGGCATAGGTCCACCTGCCACCACAGCACTTGTGTTGTGTGAACCAGTTACCATACGCACTTCCTCAAGGAAGGTGTAGTTATGCTTCCTAAGCAGATCCCAGTCGCAGGGAATCTGTTAAAACTATTCTCGATGCTGGGGCCGGTCACCCTTGTGCTTGGCGTTTGGGTCGAGGTGGCAGAGTGAGTTGTGTTTGTTAGCCCGTGGGCCGCTCAGCTGTTCCTTTCCTTGCGTGTTTCCTTCCTGACGTAGGTCTGTCACTCCTCCTGGGACACCTTCTTCACCATCAGTCTTCAGTTTGCCTGTTTCCGTTTTCAGAAGGTAAAGGATGTTTCTCTTTTTCTTGAAGGTGAACTGTTGTTACGGAAATGGGACTTGGAAGCTGTGCATCTGTCACAGTTTTCATCTGGCACGTAAACCACATGGCTTGCAGTGTTGTGACGCGTCCTTCACAGGGGTGCCAGGAGCGCTCAGCAGGGGTCTGTCCCCATCGCCAGGCTCTTGTCTTGGTGGTGGGCTAGTTCACAGGACGTCCGAGTGCACACAACAGTGAAAGGCTGAGCCGTGAGCTCTGGTCCGCCCTCCAGCCTAGATTTAGCAGCTGTTAACACATGGCCTGTCTCGACCCCCTCCCCATATATTTATTTATATGCAGTTTTTCCTCCTGGCCCATTTGAAAATAAGACATAATTTTACTTCCCTCCTAATTATTCTAGCAGGTACCTCCTTAACTCTTAAATCAAGGACATTTTCCTACACAAGCACTGTCAACATAACCTACGTAAAGTATACAAACCCTGAGAGTGTGGCCGATACGTTTCCCACACACATACAGCCATGCCACTCCCCTGCATGTTAAGGCGCAGAACGCTGCTGGCGTGCCAGGGGACCTTCGCGCTCCCTCATTACCTTCCACCTCCCGCGAAGGTAACTGTTTTAATTCCCGTTGCTGTGCATCATTGTCGCTGGCTTTGCTCTTTAGGAACAGAGTATGTGCTTGCGTTCAGCTTCTTTGGCCCCCCGTGGGGGACGTGTCTGTTGGCCACGCTCCTTGCTCTGTAGGAGTCAGTGTAAGAACGTGCAGCCGTGCGCCCACCCTTCTGTCGGTGACGGGCATGTGCCCTGAGCTCATGTGGGCCAGGGGGCAGTCATATGCTTAGTCCATACTTCCAAACAGTCCTGGCCGCTGCACATCCTGCCCGGCCCCGGTGTCTGCCCCACCCGCTCTCTATTTGCGTTAGGATGTTTGTGCATCTTTGCCTGTAGTGGCCAATAGCTAGAAACGCCCCAAATTCCCAATGGCAGGAAGACCTGGTAAACGGACTGCGCTGTCTTCATGCACGGACTGCTACCCAGCCTGGAGGACCACCCTCCTCGCAACGGGGGTCTCATAGATGTGACAGGTGCCGCATCGCCACAGCACGTAGCTGAATGAACGCACGAGGGACAGCACGTAGTGTTGGGCATAAAGCAGGCTTTCATGTGTTAGCCGAATACCTTCTGTGGTTCGAAGGGGCACTGGCCCTCTCTGCAAACAGCCCTGTACGACCTCAGCAAGCCCCCCAGGGAGAGCTGACTGAAGCGACTTTGGGAGGGGAGAGGAGGGAAGAAGAGCAGGTGGGAACTCACCTCTGGATTGCTGTGGAATGGGGTGCGTAGAGCTAGCCCTCCTTTGTGGCTCGTCCTTTTGATTAGCATTGAGGCGTTGAAAAGTTTGTCATCATTTGTGTGCATTCTCTCAGGTACCACCTGCCAGTGCGTGTGCTTGGCCACCATGCTGTGAGCCCTTACTCCATCGTCCTGCCGTTATCTGCCGATTGTTTGGCCCTGAAGCCGGTCTCAGACATGCTGAGAATAGCCTGGAACCTGTCGTGGTATCACGGGACTGACAATCTGTTGAAGCACGTGAACTCTGAAATGAAAAGCCAAGAGTAAGCTGCTACATTTAGCTGAAAAAGCATTCACATTTAACCCATTAGTCAGGTTTTATTTTTTCTTTAGGTCAAGTAGTTTTTTTACTTACCGCCTCCTGATTCTGCTTTTGCGTTGGAGAGTGTAATTTCTACTTTGTTTTAAAGATTACATGTGTTCATTACTTTATAAATAAAGGGTCACATGAGGAAATTAAATTGGAAAGCACAGGGCACCTGTGCTGTCTTAACGGCGAGATGAAGTCGGCCCAGTTACTGGGCGTGAGTCACCAGGACAGGTGCCCCGGATCGGAGCACGAGGCCAGCAAGCGCGGGTAGGCACGCGGGCGAGGCGTGCTGAAGGCGGGGAGGGTTTCTTCTGAGTGTCTGAATTCTCTCATCCGCCTGGACCTTCCTACTTCAATGAAAGTCACTCCGTGGTGCTGTGGCAGGAACGTGTCCACGCGAGCATGTAGGATGCTGGCGTGAGGGCCTCACGCTGGCAGATACAGACCAGGCCTCCTTGTGGCTGTGAGCCAACCTTCGATGAAAGGAAAAGGAAGATAAAACAGAATTTTGGAGAGTTTACAATGAAAGGGAGCTTTGATTTTAATAGCTTTATGTCCTTTCTTTTTTCTGTTCCTTTAGATTTTCAGACACCTTGAGGTTATCCTCCGAGGACACCCTGGCGCTGACAGCGACGCACGCAGCGAGCGGCCTGGGGGGCTGCCTCCAGGCCATCGTTGGGGCTGCAGGCCACAGGGAAGTGAGGGCCGCGGTCACCAGCATGAGCTTTTACTTCCTGAATGACAGGCTGTCTTGCGAGGGCGGCGCTGGCCCACGTGGGGCTGCCCTGAGGTCCTTGGCTTGGCACAGCGCCCTCGGCAGGTCAGTGGGGGCGCCCGTCTGCGGGATTCACAGACTGGGCTGAGCTGCGTGTGGATTCAGCACCGCAGCTTTGGAGATAAGAGCGTGTGGTCTTCCGGTTGCCATTGTGAAAAAAATATTTATATAGAAGGGAAACCCCAGGATTTCTATCACTTGTAATACATATCTGATAGCAGAAGCAAAAAATTTTAACCTAATCACTGTGTTTTAGAAGGACTTATTAATAAACTTAAAACAATTTTTAAAATATCCTTATGGAAAATTTTGCTCTTATAAAAGTAAATGACTAAGCTGAGACATGAACGAACAAACGGAATGTTTATTCCTGTCCATATTATCAGTGACTTGAGACATCAGTGGGTTGGTAGTAGGTTTGGTACCCGTGGAGCAGGCCGTTTTATTTTGTTTTGCTCTTGCTTTTTTCCATAAGCAAGTGATCTTGCTTCTGTCCTTGCTGTGACTTGCGCCAAGTTTGTCGCCCAGTGTGGAGGTCTGTTTGTTGCTGTGGGGGAAGCGTGAGCCCCGCCCTGCAACCCTCTCGCTGCTCGTGAAACCAACAGAGACGCACTGGTGGGCAGCAGCAAGCTTGCGTGCTTGCCTCCCTGGGACTCCAGTAGAGAGGGGGCAGCTTCCTCATGCAACATACCGTGTGCCCTTCTCAGAACGCGAGGTGGAAGGGGTCCCCAGGGGCGAGCTCCTTATTCCGTGCGGTGCTCATGGCTCTGGCTCTGCGTCTCCGGTGCCGGCCGTGCACCAGGGCTGCCCGGGCGAGACCCGGTGCCTGCCTTGCGGGGGGCTCACCATGGTGCATGGTGGTTGGTTTAAACAAAGCTGCTCCTCAATATTAGATGATGTAAACGTACAATTCAGTGAGTTATATTAAAATAAAGGTAAAGGTTATGCGAAATTTGTCACTTCCCAGTTATTTTACGGCACTCCATGATTTTCTGTGCCCTCCAGGTTGCGTCTGTTCTGCGTTACAGAGATGGTGCTGTGCGTCTCTCCATAGCTCTGTGTCATGTTGGTGGCTGGCTCTTGGCCTCGGGGGATATTTACGCTGTGGAAATGGGCAAATGCAACAAAGCGGCGCCCACTTCTCAGCCGGTTGTTAAATATTTATCGACATACCACCGTATGAACCAGAAACCATGCTTGTTGTCTTCTCGATCGTAGGTTTTTACAGGTGCTTCCTGCTTGCACTGAAGATGAGAAACTGCTGATAGATATCGTACATTTCCTAAATAAGTTATTGAAGGAACAAAGGAAGAACTCATCAGTGGAACTTCTCAGCTGGCTTATGGAATTACTTCTTAGGCCCGTAAGTGTTGTGAAGGAATTTGGGTTTTAGGTTTGACAAGTGATGTATTGGAAAATTATTAATACTGTGTTATGGAAAGGTAAAATACTTATGTGGCCCGTGCTAAGACAAGTGCTCGTGTTGTGACAGAGGGCCCATGGCCAGGTGGCTTCCTTGATGTCGTTGTGACTGGGTTTGTTAAATTAAGAGTCTGCAGATGAATGGGACCTTCAGTCTTGCTGTTTAACAAAACCTATATCCTGTGAGTTTTTGCTGCAACTCTATTTTGAAGTGGGGGCCTTGGGGTGCGGGAGTGCAGACAGAACTTGGAGAGGCGGGGCAGAGTCCGAGGAGGCCAGCGGGGCGTGGGGGTGGGGAGGCTGGCGCGGAGGACACCGGGGCTCCGCGTCGGATGCGTTCACCGAGGTCTTTGCCCTGCGGCCCGGCCCCTCCCAGCTTCTCAGCCCACTGCGCGCTGAGGAAGACTTGCCAAGAAGCTGGCTCACTGTTGTTGCTGTTTATCTGTTTTGTTTTGTTTTTCAAACACCATATGAATTTACTTAGCAAAGATAAACCTTCTTACAAGTAATCACGGAAAAAACCACATAAAAATGAGAAAAGAGGGCCTGAATTGATACGAAGATAGTAGACCTTATAAGGCAAATATGTTCCATTATATGTTAATATATTTACAAAGCTTATTTAAAAACATGATTCTCTGTAAAAGTACCAAATGCCAAAATGGTGAAAATTAAAAAGTCTAATTGAGAATACTTTTTGGTTTAAGTTAGAAGTTCTGATAGAGAATACTTTATGAAGTATTTATAGATTTAAGAAATCTGTATGTATATGAATGTGTGTGTAAAAGTTGTTTAGATGTTTATTGTTTTCTACTTTTGTGTAGATTGGTGAAAATGAGGACTTTTTTCACAGTTACATCATACACCATAGTACCTTATGCGGACAGAGCTCTCAGCAAACATTTATTAACTCAGTAGTAAACTTAAGACATTAAGGAATCTATTCAGTTAATTATAAGAAAACAAGAAAATTTCAGTGTCATAACCTGTTAAAATTTAACAAAAATGGAAACTATGGGCCATATTACATATGCACGTATATACTTATAGACACAATTCCTAGAACTGTATTTGCTGAGACAGTTAAAAATTGCAAAGGTGCTTGTGAAGATGTCTTTGTTTTGAGGTTCCCAACGACCTCAGTGCCTTTGCGTTTCCTTTTGCCTCTGGCTGGCGCTCCCCTTCCCTAGATAGCTGTGCGCTGCCTGCCGCGCCCAGCGCAGGGCTCTGTTCAGGTGACCACGCGGTGTGACGTCCCTCCTTCCATACTGTCTCTCTCTGCCTCAGCTCTTCCTTCGCGTTCTGTATAGCACTTGGACGCAGAACAGCTTTGTTGATTGTAGGTGTACCCTGCTGGAAGTAGACTCCATGAGGACAGTTTATTTATTTTATTCACTGCTGTATTATTTTTATGTAGTCACATATGAGTTTCTTTATAGGTTCTAAATTATGTATCTCATTGGAAAGGTCTTTCCTACTCTAAGGTTTTGAGTATACACTCCTATGTTTTCTTTTATTACTTCTAAGGTTTTATTTTTGTTTATATTTTTTATTCCTCTGGTATTTTTTTTTTTTTTTTGGTGTAGATTATTTCCCTTCGTTTCAATTACCACCATTTTAAAAAACCACACTTATTTCCTATATGTACATGACTGTTTAGCTGGACTTTGTATTTGTTCTTTTGATATGCTCATATTTTCTCAAGATACACATTTTAAAGTTATTTTAACAATTTTTCTGTAATAAACTTTATTTTCTATATTTTTCTGGCCATTTTTACTTCTTTCAGATTGATTTTATTTCCATTTTGTGAAACTCAGGACAGGACAGTTGTCCAATGGATGGATATTATATGTGAATATTATTGGCTTCTCTGTGTAAGGCAAGAAATGCCTTAAACATATCTAAAAAGATAGGATAAACTCAGAAAAATATGTATAATACAAATGAGAGAGACAAAAGATTAACTACTTTAAAGTACACTTTTTGAATCTAATAAGATGATTAAACTTCCAAAGTACATAGACTCACTGTTCAGTAAAGTTTGCTCTTTCATTACTCCCTCAAGGAGGATTGCAAAAAACCATATGAATTTTCTCTTTTAACTATTAAAAAAAATTAGGAAAGTATTCCGAGGCAGTTATTTTCTGAACATTTTTAATAAAGCAAAACCAGTAAAGCCTAATGCCATTATAGTTCTTTTAGCTTTTAAGCATGTTTAAATATTCCAGAAATTAGATATTAAAATATTGTTAAAAGAATCTCTAGAAAGCTTTCCCTCTGAATGAGTTTTTTGATAACTCAAATTAGTTTTTGATCTACAAATATTTTATAACTTTCATCTTTTTACTCATTTTTTAAAAAGAATAAGCTCTAAAACAATCGCCTTCTTGGGTTAGAGTTCTTATGAGGATTATGGTTGCTTTGAGTTGTGAAATAGCGGATATAGTAGGCTTTAGTTTTAGAATCTTTCCTTGAAAATCTGTGCATTAATTAGAAATTAGCGTAAAAGACTTTGCATATAGTATATAACAATGGAAAAATCACTGCATATTAAAATATATTTTCCTAAATTATGTATAACTGTAGATATTAAAAACTTTTCGTTTAAATGATTATGAATTTTGTAGTGTGCTGAGTGCAGATATTGATTGTATAATTTATTCATAGTTTTGAAATTAAAGTGAAATTTGTGTGTGATTTTAGATGATTGTACTGTAATTTAATTCAGTTTCAGAAAAGATCTTTAGTATAATTGAATGTCTTTGCTTGACTCGGCGTAGTAGCAAGGCTGTCTCAGGAAAGCTTTTACTTTATTTCCTCTTATGTTATCATTACTAGTGTCACAAAATAATACTTCGAGGTGGGGCAGAGTGGGCTTCAGCATCCACTCTTGGAGGGCTTCCTCTCCAAATCCAACGCCACAGAAATTAAGTTAGTAAGTGTTTGTAATGACCGAGGCTCAAAATAAAGGAAGCCTGAAATCAGGCAGCCAGGTGTCTCTTGACATTTATCGTCTGAAGTGGGTGAAGGAGTGAGAAATGATTTCAGGTGGTCAGTAAAATAACATTCCCAAAGGGGTTGTTTTGAATGTATAGACAGACTATGAAATGATTGCCAAAGTAATGGTGGCAGAAGCTAACAAAAACAGGCGGATATGAATACCTGATTTGATGGGAGAGTGCTCATAGGAAATGTAATGATATTTGTGAGTACATAAAATAACCTGGAAGTGGTGAGTTATAACGCCTTTCTTGACAGGATGAGTTTTTGGATGGCAGTTTGTCAAAGTGGAACCATAATTTTTGGGGGGTGGCAGTTCAGAGCCGCACTGCGCATGTCCCTGTGTTTGGCCACTTTCCTGGGTGCCCGCGTGCTCGGAGTTCGTGGGGGCAGTGCACACCGTGCCGTGGTAGCTGCTGACGGCCAGAAAATCGGTTACATGCATGGTGGCTGTGCTTAAAGAACACAAGCCGCCGTTCCAGAAACTGCTGCCTTTTGGAGGCCAGCCGCGGCAAAGTAATGGCCGAACATCTGGTTCAACGTTAGGATTGAACACTAATGTCTGAAGACAAAACCTTCAGATATGATTAAGCACTTGAGATTAACAGGCATTAGTAGAGACATCTATTCTCTTTATTGCACCCGAGGAATCGCAGTGCATGCCGTACGTTAGAAGCGATGCTGCTGAGAGTCACTGTATCTGAATGCGAACGTGTAAATCCCAGAAGATAAAGGGAAAAAGGCTCAGCCGTTTCCAAGCAAAAACAAGTTATAGACAGAAGGAGATTCTTTGGAGGAATCTTTCAATTTTAGGTTATACATACTATATCAATATATTCATATATGAATCTGTATCCTCTACTAAATTTTTTATCTGTATATCAAAATCAAAAATTCCTGATAGTAAAGTTATATTTTGGTAAGATGGGGTTGGCATGAAAAACAGCTGGTTGACCTGGCCATGTGTATGGGGTTGGAGGGGCTGCGGGTCCAAGTCCGCCTTTGGTTCTGTGGGGCTAAGAATACTGTAGATATATATTGATTTTTATAATTTTATTAAATGCGTATCTTGATTGTCCTATTCATGATGAAACATGGAAGTTGTAGTTACGTTTCATGTCATTTTACTTGATCCAAATGAAGCAGTTCTTGCTCATGCGGTGGGTGCACGTGAGTGACTCTGAGTCAATCCAGTCAATCCAGTCCATCGTGAGCAAGGAGACGGTCGTGGGAAACCACTCATTGCCCCATTAGGGAGTAAACGTGTTCTACCCATTTCATGTTTTAGAGTCCAAACCCGCTGTTCGACCTGCTGGTTCTGACAGAGTCGCAGGCGCGAGAGGAAGCAGACGACGTCCGGGCTGCTGTCAGGCAGCAGCTCCAGAAAGAACTGGTGGCCTTCTTCAACACCCTGCTGCTCAGTTTCGCAGCAGTCACTGACAGGTACTGTGGCGTCGCTGGACGTCTGGGCATGTGGACAGAGAACCAAGTTCTCTTTTGAGTTCCAAAGAGTCTTTCTGCTTTCTTCAGACTACGAGGAGGAAAGACTTCAGTACTAATCAGTGTGGTGGTCTGTTTTTGTTGCAGTTGAATCTCTGATGTAGCCTGGTTGCAATTTCACACGCAGGGTATTTTTTTGTTCTTGAGGTTTCAATTCTTGGTCTCCTCTTAATTGTCGACACATCGCCCTGAGCAGTCATACCCACTTCTGTGACTTTATGAATATTTTGCAGTCATGCTTTTTAAATGTGGTTTTGACATTTTTTGTTTGTTTGTTTTTAAAATCAGGTGAATTTTACTGTTTATTTTGACCATTTGAAAGTGTAGAATTGATGGCTTTTGGTGTTTTCACAGTGTTGTGCCATGACCACTGTTTCATTCCAGAACACTTTCATGTCCCCCTAAGAAACCCGGTGCCCGTTGAGCAGCCTCTTCCCAGTCACCCCTTACCAAGGCGTGGCAGTGAGGAACGTTCCTCCCTTTTCTGTGGGTTTGACCTCTCTGGGAGTTTTCTGTAAATGGGATCAAACGATGCGGCCTTTTGTGTCTGGCTTCTGCCACCTAATATTGTGTGTTCAAGGACTGTCCATTTTATAGTGCCTGTCAGTGCTTGTTTCCTCCTGTGACTAAATAATATTCCCAGTGTGCCTGCGCCACATCTTGTTTTCCTGTTTATCCGTCGGTGGACCTGTGAGTGGTTGGCCCCTGAGGACTCTGACAACGCCGCTGCGAACACTCGTGTCCAAGTCTGACCGTCCACGCGGCGGATCTGTGTGGCCCGCAGCAGTCACGCCGCGTTCCCCCCTCCTGTGGGGGCCGCGTGTTCTCGGTTCTCCACATTCTCACCAACTTGTCTTTAACTCTTTGGAGAAACATCTGTGCAAGTCTTTTTCCTGTTTTTGAACTGGATTTTTGTTGTTGTTGTTGTTGTTGTTGTTGTTCAGTTGTCTTTAGATAGTCCATCCATTAATCCGTTATCAAATGCATGATTTGCAAATTTTTCTGCAGTTCTGTGGGTTTCTTTTCACTCTCTTGGTAGTGCCCCCTGACGCACAGAAGTTTTTAATTTGGTGAGGTCTTCCTGTGCTCAGACCCCAAGGCTCTGCTGGGAGGAAAGCCCCGGTCCCACACTTGTGACATTGTCTTCAACAAACTGAGGTGTCCAAACGGCCCTGGTTCAGCTCAACACCTGATCAGACCCAAAAGGTCAGCCCCTGACCCAAGTCCTGTGACCAAAGGGTGAGCTGTTACTCTGAGACAGCATTATGCACTTCACCCTTAGTAGCTCGTTATAAATACATGTGATACATACTCACAAATGAGAATTGTGAAGGAGCAGAAACTGTCTGCCATAACTAGTCATTAAAGTCATTAAAAAGTCATTAAAAAGTCATTAAAAATAGATCCATTGATGTCCGATATAAGAACTTTATTACTATTATTATTTATTTATTTTATTGTTCAAGTGCCGTTGTCTCCATTTCCCCCCACCCCCACCTCCCTCCTTCAGTCGAACCCCCCTTTGGCTTTTTCCATAAATATGAGAACTTTAAAGTTGCGATTATAAATAACATTATTTTAAATAAGCATAATAAATATTAGAGGAACATATGGAGAAGATTAATAAAACTATGGAGAATACCAGCTGCAGAGAAATGGAGAGTGCAGAAAAAGAACTAAATACAAATTCTACAACTGAGAAATACAATTTCAAAAATAAAGACTTCATTGTATGGGGTTAGCAGCAGACTAGACACAGTAAAAGAGAAGATCCGTGAATTTAGAGCACAAGTCAATACAAATTTCACCAGAGAAGGACACCTGGAAGCCTTCTGAGGTGCTGAGAATGTTTTCCATCTTGTTATGCTTAGGGGTTACATGTTGATATACATACAGAAAGCCATTGTGTAGAGTGTACCTAAAACTTGTGAATTTTAGTGCATGCAAATTATGCCTCAGCAAAGTACTGAAGAGAAGAACAGAGTGAATCCAAGGATGGGAAAGCCTGTGTACCCGGACTGGGATGTGTATAAGACCTCCTGGGGGGCTTGTGAAAGTGATAACGTCAGTGGCTCAGGAATCCACGCGTTCAATAAGCACCGCAGGCGGCCCTTGGACCAGGCTGGGAGAAACGGTGGTGTGGGCTGTTCTCTAGGTGAGCTTTGATGCTCAGGAGAGGAGTCGTTGAAACACCTTCTTTCACGTGTTGGTCACGAACAGGTTAGGATTTTTATTTGTTTTAGGATGGAAGATACTTATGCGTGCTTAGAGGTGGTTGGTCCCACGCCTATGGTAAGGGACAGTGAAGAGGAAGAAGGTGGAGGGGAGAAAAGCGAGGCAGGAGGTAAGGGGAGGCGGACGTACGCGGGCGAGGAAAGGAGAGGAGGGCAAGAGATGGGTATTGAGGGCGACAGAACTGAGTGAACAACGCGTTAGCAAAGGCTAGGGGACGAGAGAGAACTATGGGGTGCGAACTTGCCTTATGCTATTGGATTGTCTTGTTGACCTGTGAGAAATATGAATTTATAGACATATTTCAAAACTTTAAAAGCATCTGGATGACAGAGATATAAAAATTAAGATCTTTAAAAGTTGTATACCTGTGTACCTAGAATATGGGGTTAGAAAGGGTAATGCAGTCAGCCGTTGTCACTTTTGGAGTCTAAAGGTCTGTAAAACTGAAGAAATTTTTAGACTTTATTTTGTGTTTTCTTATACAATGATATCACTTCTGGGAATTACATCTTTGGATCCATGCCTAGCTACTTAAGTTCAGAGATTTTATTTTCTAATAGAAATTGTATCTTGATTGTTTTGATGGTTTTATATAAATTATGTGTCAAGTGCATTATAACCTTTCATTTTCTTTTATTTTAGCTTTCTGGGAAAAATACATTTTAGCCAATTAGAAATTCAGTTTTTTTAATGAGATAGTGAATTATTAAAAGTACAGGTTTAATATATAGCAATTAAACTAATTCAAAATATGCATTTAATTTTTCATTCCAACTTTTCGTATTATTGGGTGGCAATACCAATTTCCATTTATGTATTTTTATTTTTTAAGAAAGGATTCTCTTTGTTTTCAGAGACAGGGGAGGAAGGGAGGGAGGGAGAAAGAGATGTGTGAAAGAAACATGAGTAATTTGCCTCGTGCGCGATCCCCTACTTGGGATCTGCCCGCAGCCCAGGCATGTGCCCTGACTGGGAATCGAACCTCCGGTTCTCAGGATGACTGCTCAATCCACTGAGCCACATGGGCCAGGGCTTTGTAGTTTCCAATGTATTGCTGGTATTTTACATTCTACACCCAAGGTGGTGATTTAACAACACCTTTTTTTTTTTTTAAGTCTTCTTTGAGAGGGAGTATTTTCTGCCTGTTCTCGTAGTGCATGCTCTTCTGATACAGCGCTGGCAGGGACCCTCCACCAGCAGGAAGGCCGCCCCGCGGGCCCCCACGGCTGACCGCGCCCTTCTCTGCCTGCACAGGGCCTGCTTGGACCTCTTCCGCGCTTTCCAGACGCGGCTGGCTCTGCAGCTGCTCCAGTGCCTGCGCGTCACGGACGCGCCGCACTTCTACGGCCTGCCCTCGCTGGAGAGGACCCTGCGGGGCCTGGCGCACCTCACCGCGCTGCCGGGCTGGGGCTCCCATGCCGCCCGCGCCAAGCCTCTGGAGATTTGCGTGAAGTACTTGTCGGGGCTCCTGGAAGTGAGTCCCAGCCCCAGCGGCTGTCCCAGGCCTGACCGCAGCCCCCAGCTGGTAGTGGCTTACTGCTCGCTCAGGAGGGCCGCTTTTACGAATACCCTTATTTTCAAGAAAAGCAAGCTAAGGCTTACATTTAAGTCCTCACATTAGGGTGGTTTGCTCATTTACTTATATTGTTTAACCTATATATTTGCATCATACAACAGATATGCAGGAAATTGAAGAATGTAAACACATAGCCCAGTCGGTTATCACACAGTGACACCCACGGAAAATATGTTTTAAGAAGCAAGCTTCCCTAATGTGTTTAAAGTATGATTCAGTCTACAAGGACCTCATTTATAGCATCATTTGTAATGTGAAGGGCATATCCCTTTAGATAAGAAACATTTTGTTGTTACTGATGGAAGTGTGTCAAATCCTGAGAAATATGGGAGAAAAAGTTGATAGCTAATGATTTAAATAAGCATATACTTAAATATGAAATAGAAATCTGAGATTGTTCAGAAGAGGGGAAAAATGCTCATTTACATTTAAGCCATAATTCTAGAAAATCTAGCCTAACCCTGGCAGTCTGTAGGAGTTTCATATAGCTAGTGTTTTCTGAGTATACTTTTCGCAAGATATTTATAAACTCTTGCTTAAAAGAATTAAACATTTAAAGAATGTTATGAGTATTTTCTGAATCACTAAAATCTCTTAGGAGGACATTATCCATTCTTTATATAAGTTACAGAGGAAAACCATTTTATGATTTACTCTTAACAGATTTTTAAGTACATAGTACAGTACTGTTGACTATGTGTTTTTTAATTGTGGTAAAATGACAACATTTACCATCTTAACCATTTTTAAATGTATAAACTGTGATTAGGAGTCAATTCAGACGCATCAGTGGCAAGCGACATATTTAGCCGTATTGAGCACCTGGAGTAAAGTCGCTGCGAAATCGTTGGCCTTGTTTTTCAGGTCATCACCTCTTTTTACGTGGAGCGCGGAGGAAACGCTATGTCCTTCATGGGGAAGGGCGTCACCAAGAGCACGGTCCTCTGCTTGCTGCACTTGTCTCACGAGATGAAGGCCCAGGACCAGAGCTCGGTGAGCCTGTCACCTGAGCAGCTGCTAGAAGGGGGTGTGCGCAGCTGAATGCGTTTTCAGCCCAGAGGTTTCTCTCAGGCAGATCTCTTTTGTCTTTTCTCCTTAGGAGACAAAAATGATTTTTGACTAAGATGTTTCTTAGCAGTTGCACATTACAGAAATCTGAATTTTATTTGTCATTTATGTTGACGGACATCTGCCTTGTAGCCTACATTGATTCTAAATCACTGGGAAAATAGCTGTTCAGAAAAAACTGTTATGTTTAACTTTTTAAGGAGAAGCCAGTATTTTTGTTTGCCTTGTTTAGGCTAAATAATGATTTGAAGCCAAGTGTTTAGTATGTTTTTACTTTGTTTTGATTTTTTAAGATTCAGAGTTATTTGAAAAAACCTACATTTTATCCTTGGAAACTTACTTAATGTGGCCCTGTTCCCTTTTTTCTTTTTAAATTCTAGGAGTGGATGTCACTTTGGTTCCTGCCTTTGGGTGGTCACAGTGAGGAGCACACGCCCACCCAACAGGGGCTGGCTTGGCTGATTCCCTTATGGGTTGACCGGGACCCAGAGGTCAGTGGGAAGAACAACGAGTCCATTATGTGTAGATTAAGAAACAAATGAAACAAAACATGTGCATATACATGGTCGTATTTTCCGAAGTGAGATTATTTTAGTTATTGTTCCTTACGTATTATTTACCCATGTGTTAACCAGCTTGCACTGCTGTGACAAAATACTGTGGATGGGGTGGGGGCGGGGTGGGGTGGGGGTGGGCTTTAAGAACAAACATTTCTCACAGTTCTCTGAGGCTGGAAGTCCAAGATTAAGAGGTAACGGGGTTGGGTTCTGTCCTTCTTGCTTTTAGATGTTTGACTTTTCCCTCCTCCTCTCCTTATAAGGCCACTAATCCTATCAGCCTAGGACCCCACCCTTATGACCTCATTTAACTTTCCTGACCCAAAAGCTTTGTCCTCAAATGCAGTCACGTTGGGAGTTAGGGCTTCAACATATGACTTTTGAGGGGTACATTTCAGCCTATAGCATCTGCTCTTCAGTCAGACTCATTAGGGTGCAGATTAAAAATAAAAAGAAAAGGAAAGAGTTATAGAATTTATCACTTTTAAAAAGAACAGTGAAAATTATTGGAAAACCCCAGCCATTTTCAACCAGTTTAGAAGGTTAGCTGCCAAGTGACATTTGGGTGTCACTAATAGAATAGTCCCGTTACGGTGCAAGGTTTTATATTATGAATGAAGTTTCCCTAGGATTGTCCTACAGAAAGCTGTAGCCCTTAATATGCCAGCTTCCTGAGTTTGGAGAAACCACAGCCACTGCCTGTACCACCAACACACCCTTCCCCCCTTCTTTACTGTTTGGTTGTTTGTTTAATTTTATGATCTACTCTTAGCAAATTTTTAAGTATATAATACAGTAATGCTTATACCCATCATCCGTTAACTCAAGCAAGAAATTATTATATCCCATTATAATAGAAACCTTGATTCACAGAGCTATTGTTCGATCTGAACTGAGAGGTTACATTGTTTAGATGCATTGAACTTGGACTTCCTGCAAGTTCCCCCCTTGTACTTGTTCCTTGACTATATCATGACTGTAGTTTTTGTTACCTCATAGTTATCAGTGAAACTGTATTTGGGGATTAGAATTCGGAGGATTGAGGAGTCACCACAGTGCGTAGCTTGGGCAGCTGTGGTACGATGCCAAACCTGTTGCACCACATCGGCCTTAATTGAAAGTATTTTTTAAAATATATTTTTTGGGGAAAATGCTGAATGTCTTTAAGAAGTAATTCCATTACTTCTTTTTGAAAAGACGTTTTAAGGAAGTTAAAGCCATTTATTTGGAAGAAACACTAAAAAATTAAAGATGGTAGTGCAAAATAATAGGTAGTCTTTTTAAAAATGAGGGCCGCACAGGAATTGGCTCATTAAAGATGTGTGAGCGCCCTGTGCTTTCCCTAGAAAAAGTCTTGTGAGCTGTATTTTTTATTCTTACTTGTACCTGGTTTTGACATTTTGTGACATTTCCTTTCAGTTAACTTTTTTCTATATTATTACTTTCTTGAAGTGTGGAATAGGATTTTATTTATTCATGCATTTATAGGACACTGTTTTTTGTGTGTCTTTTATAATTTAGGATTGTAAAGACAATGTTGTCAAAGTATGGTATTTAATGTACAGGAGAAACTGAGAATTCGTGTGAGGAAATCAGTCTTTGACTTGAGAACTTCCCTTTCACCTGAGCAGGTGCGGTTCACGTCACTGGGGCTGGGGTCGGCCCTGACCGCCCTGGAGAGCGGCTGCGTGGCCTTGGCCCAGAGCTGCCGGAACATTCCGGGCGGGCTCTGGGGCACCGTGGTGAACATCCTCCTGGACCAGTCGGAGTGCAGCCTGGTGCGCCGGGAGGTACGTGCCCGTGTCCGCCACCCCCCTTCCCGTGGAAGCTCAGGGTGATGGGCCTTGGGATGGCTGACCCCCCCCCCACGCCCACGTGAGGCGCTAGCGCAGAGGCACCGCGGTGTTAGCGCACGGTAAGTGTGGGAGTCCTGTATTCTGATAAGGTCGGAGCAGGGTGTGGTGCGCTTTAATAGACTCTGTTTTATTCCACATTGAAAGGATTCACAGAAAAAACTGCTCTCATATCTCCTCCGTGTCGATGGGTCTCTGGTGTCTTCAAGCTTTAGTTAAGGGGTTGTCCCCACGCTCTGTAGTAGTCGTCACATGCCGTGCAAGAAGAGAAGTAAACCCTGTTTTAAATCTTCCAAATAGTTTGTGGTTTTCTTTCCTTTCTGCCTTTATCCAAGTGATGGTTGATGTAAATAGCTGTACAAACAGGAGTGAAATCAAGCTGAGGGGTGGGTGAAGCGAACCGCAGCTCCCGGGCTCGCTGGGAGCCTGCTCCTCGCGCCAGACCCTAAGGCTGTGCTTGTGTGGGTGCGACGCTTAAAACCGCAGCGTCCGCTCCATCGACCAGCTCCAGCGGTCATCTGCTGACTTCTGGTTAAGACGGTTGAAAATTTCACTCTTCGGATCCGCTCTGTGACCCTTGGTAACTGGGAAATTTTTATGGAGGGGAGTTTGTGTGAGAGAGAGACGAAGCTGGGGAGAGGGTGGGTGCGCACACGTAGTGCGTAGGGGATAATAGGAACGTGAGCATGTGTTTCCTCATTGCTACCTGAACAGTTGATATTTTATACAGATCGTTGTTTTTTGAAAAGTAAAATTCTGAACTAGGAGAGAATATATTTCCCGATGAAATACTTTCATCCCCAAACTAGAAATGCGGTTTGGCATTTCCGTAATGACCTGTCAGCGTGTGCAGTTGACCAGTGACCTGCTTTTTTTATTGTTAAATTACCATCTGTTGTTGGTTGTTTCAGAGATGACACCAGATGGCAGTATTGACTTTCTTTTTTTTTTAAATTTCAGGCTGCGTTTATTCTTCAGAATCTCCTTGTAATTCCAATGCCGTCAGTAATTATAAAGGATTATACTTGGCAGGTGGGTGACTTCAAACAATTATCAATCGAGTAGATATTTGAGATTGATTATGATAAAGTTTCAGCATGTGTGTATTTCATTATTGATGAAATTTCATATAAGGCAGCGGGATCTCTTAAAAAGAAATGTGGAAATTGTCGCGTGCTCACTCAGGTTTATAAATTCTGCTCGGTGGCAGTAAAGTAACTTTGCACAGAAGTGGTCGCGCACGCGCTGGTGACTGTGCACGTGCCACGCAGGGTTGTGGTTTCCATTGGGTGTCTTTCATCTAAAATACAGTGGTTCCTACCTGCTTAACATTTGTGACCTCAGCATTTTTGAGGCTTGCAGCCTGTTTAGTTTTTGTAATAGTCTTTAATTAGTTAGGTATTTTTTTCAGAAAAGCCATGGAAGTGTGTGTCATTAGTGTAGTCTATCTGGAGATATGCTGTCTCTCTGTCCCATTACTGGTGACTTGACTTTGCTCACTTGGTTGAGGTAAAGACCGCCTGTTTTCTTCATTGTGGAGTTGCATGGTGGTTTTCCCTTTTGCAGGGAGATCCTTGGAGATGGTATGAGTGTCTGTTCTTCAACCGTGTTCTTAGTTTTAACTTGTACTTGTTGATTCTTATCCAAAGCAATTATTACAGAATGATTGCCAAATGGTGATTTTTTTTAATTCCATCACTTCTCGTACATTTATCACATTTTACTGTAAAGAAGAGCTTTCCTTTCTTCCCCATTTACTTATTCACTTTTTTTGGTTAAATTTACACAGAATGGACTCCAGGAAACTTTGTTTGTCTCATGGGTTATCATCTGTTTCTGCCATTATTTAGATGTTGAAATTGTCTGAGATTTGGCCAGGAGGAACCCCTTCGTGATATCTTGCGTCCCTCTCATGTGTCTGCACCCATCTCTGAGCACTTTCTTACCTTCTGGCACAGTCTGGACTCCCCAGCCCCAGCCCAGAATCAGATACCTGCTCAGAGAGCCCGGGTTGCCCCAGGTGGAGAGCTGGTTTCCAGATGTGCTCATTGGTCCTGGGGGTCGGGGGCGGGGAGGGCGGTCATTGCTTCCATGCATGCTCGGAGGACACAGCTGAAGTCTGCGTGCGTGTGTTTGTGTGGTTTAGATAGTGGGGTCATTTCTGTTTATAGTATAGATCATTTTCATACATAATGTGATACTGTCATTGCGTATCTTTCATCTTCTAATGTGTTCATCACAAGTCATTATGAATATTGATTTCACAAAACAGTAACAACTCAGTGTCAAAGACACAGTCTCATTTTAACTATATTCATAATTTATATGCAGTTAAGGATTTCTTATGTCATCAAGGTGATTTTTTCTAATCTCTAGATTGCATTATCACATTTGAAAATTGTGTTATATATCAAAAAAATTTTTTTCTTCTGGAAAATATTAAATCTCTGTTTTTCTTCAGTGTACTTTTAATTTTCTGTCTGGTTCCTTCTGAAGCACAGCTAGAGGGTGTGCCGCGCTCTGACACTAGGTGTAAAATGTGTTTGAATGTTAATATTAGAGCTTACTGCATCCTTGAGAACAATTTTTTCGAACTAATGGGCATGTTCTATGACATCCTGTCCAAAGCAATTATTATAGAATGATGGCTAAATGGTGGCAATATTTTCCTAGTGATTTGAGGAGTTTTCCCAGTTAATTTTTTCCTAGTGATTGAAGAGTTTTCCTGCTCTGCGTACTGTCTGTCCCGGCTCTGCGGCTGCTGGGCGGCCCTCGCCTGAGGGCGGGACGGGGAAGGGCACAGGCACCTGGTGTCCCCGCTGTGCGGGAGCCAGCCCTTTGGGCACTGGTGGCCCTGCGGGGCGGGGCCTGACGTCTGCGTGGAAGGTGTCACGCTTCTGGCCCGTGGGCCTTTGGTCACCTGTGGAAAGCTGGAGTCAGACCCTTCGCGCCTCGGCTGGGCTGGCTTGGCTGCCGCGAGTCAGGCCTGCTGCTCAAGTGCCGTCCCAGTAGGAAGGTGGGGCCTGCGGGGAGCGGGGGTTCAGGCTCACGGCTTAGTTACGATAAATCAAATCAAAAAGATACGTACATATTCCAGATCACTTGGTTTTCTTTGAGAAGTTAAAAAATATTTTGAATTGTTTGAGTTTTTCAAAGAAATGATTTTTTTCAAGTAATAAGTACGTGTGGTTACGAGAGCAAAAAGAGCTTACAATGAAATCCACTACCCCCTCCATTCACAGAGCTTTGCCTCCTACTGGTTTTAATTTTTCAGCATGGTTGCAATAATACATTTCTTCCTTTACTGTGTGGATACATAGAACTTAGCTCATTTCAACAGTGTCCTGCAATATAGGCCTGTCGCCGTTCTTATGGCCTCCTCTGCCCGCCCTGCGGATTCTGGTCTTGTTGTCTACGGCCCCTTCTCTGGGCCCCATTTAGAAGGCGAGGAGGTACGGCCGAGGCATTGTTCCTACCCTCTCATTGGTATCTGCTCCCCACTTCTGCTGCTGGTATTTGCCAGTTTTATCTCTCTGCCTGTTTTATCTTTACCTTTACCTCGTGAAGATTGATGACATTTGTGTTCCCTTCTGCATTCCATTTATCTGCATAGTTTAGTTCTAGAAAGTGAAAACCAGTGATTCACTACAGGACCACTTGCTGGGCTGTGGTTATGCTTCCTTATGTCTGCTTCCAGGGCCGGCTGCGCTGGTCCGCAGAGGGGGAATGTGCGTGCGTGCGTGCGTGCGTGTGTGTGTGTGTGTGTGTGTGTGTTAAGATTACAGAATTTATTTGGGTGATTTTTTTCCTCTTGGAGTTTATATTACACTGTGACTTTTTATCATGTCTCAAGTTTTTCTAAGCTCATAATCATCCTTTTTTCTTTAGTTAGAATTTTCTTTTCTAGTAATCAGCTTCAAAATAATTGTATTCTTACTTAAAAACCACTGTATGAGGGATAAACCTCATGAGCTCCTGCGTATTAGAAAATTTAGTTAAGTTGCACTGGGTTGACTGGGCTAGATACCAGATACTAGGTTGAAACTGCTCATGGGAGTTTTGCTCTGCGGTCTTCTAGCGCCCTGTGCTACTGATGAGCCGGTGGATACCCAGCTGGGTTTTTTTTTTTTTTTTTTTAACCTCTTTATGGCTTTTTCTTTTACCATCTTTTCTTTATCTTGGATATTCTAGAACTTTATGATTCTCTGTCTTATTTTATTTTTTCTTGTTTGACATTCATTAAGCTTGATCGGAAGATGTAGATGTTCTCTATCTCTTGGCTCTGACATTTTTTTATGTCTATTTTAAAAATCACTTTTCCTTTTTTTGTTCCCTTTTATCTTTACACAAATTATAGGAGTCCCATATTAGGCCTCCTGAATCAATTTTCCTTGTTTCCTTTTACATTTCTATCTCTTAGTCTTTATTTTCTGGGATATTAATGCTTTGGTTCATATCAGAATTAGTTTAACGTCAGTCTTCATAAACCAAATAATTTTTACTGTGATTTCGAGGCAAAGAACAAAAAACAGGTTCTAAAGCTTTATTAGGTGGATTTAATTTTAAATTTATGTCTTTTACGACATTTTTTATCTTTATTTTATAAATCTTTTTTATGTTGGTAAGAATTAGAGAAAAAAATCAATTTTAAAATACATAAAGGATAAATGTGATTATTTAGACATCTTTATGACGATTATACATATTTATAGCATAGCTACTACAGTTCTACATTATAGTTTCATGTATAGATTCTCACTTACTTTGAAAATACTTCTAAGTAAGGAAGAGATGGGTTTTTGGGGACAGTGGGTTTCCAACACCTGTCGTTCTAGCAGAAGTTACAACCCTCAGCCTCAGGAAGTCTGTAGGAAGAAAAGGTCCGCAGATTTAGGAACTCTGAAACGACTTGTTTTTGATGTTTACAAAGTTCCCATTTTCTCATGTATTTTTCTTAAACCTGTGCCAGTGTTGCCCTGTGGTTGTAACTCACCCAGGAAGCAATTATATAGGCACAATTTTGCAAAAGTAAAAATTTTGAATAATTTTATGTAATCTGTGTGATATTTTTAAATTGTTCTGGGCATTATTATGAAATGTATATAGAAAAGTAGTGTTTGTGCTACTTGTTTAGTAGTTTTATTTTATTAGTTTATTGAGGGTTGTCATGTAGGTGGAGTTAAGCCAGTAAATTTAGTTGCATTGTTTATAATTCTCATCTTAGTTGTTTATCCCTTTTCTGAATTATTATAACAAGGCCTTTACATTGTGATGTTAAGCAGCTCCTGCAAATCTGTCGTGTGTTTGACATGTTTTGCACACTTAAGGGCATTGTAAGTTGCCTGAGCGGTGGCACATTTGACGTGTGAGCGGCAGAACTGGCTCTGTGGCTGTGGTGAGTTGCTTCGTCCTGGGTGATCCAATGAGGGGGCGGGCGAAAGGGCCTCGCGGCCTGACACGGGCCACGGTCAGTGAGCGGGAGCCGTGCGGCCTGCGCTCCCTGCCCTCCGCCCTGTCTCGCCTGCCTCCTCGGGGCCTGACAGCATCAGTCACCCTGTGGCCATCGTGTGCTGGCTGCTTGTTCAATAGCTGTGTTTCTTCTTAAACATGTAAACTGCTGTACTGACAGAGAGCAAGCTAACGGTGTTGGGCAGGTTCATTAGAACACATCTGTAACAAATTCACAACCATAGAAGGTGTTTAATACTGAAGTAAGAGGTTTACTTTTCATGACCATACCCTTAAAAAGAAGGGTTAGTGGAAATAATCTTATTAATGCAATCCTACCTTTAACTCGTGAGTTACTTGATCTTTCTGGATAGTAAGTTTTAATACCCATCGTCCCTTAGTGTGATGAGGCATGAGAGAAGAGACACACTCAAACCTCACTGTTGAAGATCAGTTGTTAATGTGTTTTGACCATAACTTTCTTAGTGGCACTTAGATCTCTGTTTTCTTTTATTTTTCTCTCTTATGGTCTGTTTTAAAATCTTAACTTTTTAAGTTATTTCCCCCCAAATAGAAATATTTATAAACTAATAATGGAATTATTTGCAACTTTAAACTAGTCTTGTTGCTGCTGTTTGCCACTGGATATTCCAGGAAAAGCGGCTTTGTGAAAAATTGGTTGAAGAAAAGCCCCCAGAGATTGGAATTGTGGAACGGCAGGTTCTTCTCAGTCTCCTGTGGGAAGTGTGTGCACAGTGTCCACACACGCGTCCCCCGCCCCCGGCACAGCTAGGGCAGCGGGAGGGAAGTGGCAGACGCTCCGACTGTGGGTCTTGATGGCTCTCTGCGATTTATCTGCTGTAGTGATTACCACGAAGACTAATTTTAATAACCTGGGTCACAACATTTCTGTTATTGTAATACTAATTATTCTGTGTAGGTTGTAAAATAGCTTTTTGTGTTTATGGCTCAAGTGTATAATTACTTGCTTGAAGTTGTACCATTTCATGGATGAATTTTAGACTAACTGGCCCCTCGAGAGATGGGGAGGGCCTTCAGCCCTCAGTGGATCCCTGGGCGGCTGTCAGAGAACGCACGTGGTTCCCTGCTGTCAGTGTGGGGGGCGGGGGGGGGGCTGTGGGCGCGTCTGGGCCCTGCTGGTGTCCTTGAAGGAACTGTGGATACGTCACTGTCTCTCCTGCAGGGCCCCTGTGTCCACGATGAGGACTCTGGCCTGTCGCTCGTCGGAAAGCCCGCCCTGCAGGCCCTTTTGTCCCACTGCCATTTTTACGAACACTTCAGTCAGATGGTGAGACAGCGATACCTCGGGCTGTACGCGTGTGACTGGAAGGGCTCTGCTCTCGACGGAGCTTCCGACAGCAGCGACTTACACGGTGAGGGCGTTCTACTTACAGGTCTCGTGAACGTGACACGGTTTAAACTGTTAACAACCACTGTGTTTGTTACAAAATGTTTGAAAAATAATGACAAGTACACAGGAAAAGCTGATTTCGCCTCTTGCCCGTGGCCCACTGTGTTACGGTGTACTCTCTTCCCGTCTCCTTTCTCTGAGCAGCTTTTGCTTGTTTTACAGAATTGTGTTCCTATCTTATGTACATTTTTGTATTCCTTTCTCTCATGAAACATTGCCTTTCATGAAGCATTTTCCTGTTATAAATTCTTCATGGAAACCATTTTTGAACTCGTATAAATGTTTCATAAGTTATTTCACAACCTTCAGCAAAGTTTTAGGCTTTCCTGTTACTGTTTTGAACTTTAGAAAGGTTCTTCTTAAGCAGTCAAGAATAAGACATTTTCCTACTAAATTTTCTAAGGTTTTGCTAATGTATCAAAAATTTATTTGTATTTGGCATGTTACTCATTTATCCAAATATCTTGCTGAAACCTTTTCATTTCTATTGGTAGATTCTCTTGGATTTCCTAAGTATAAGATCTTAGAACATGTAATAATTTACAATGATTTAATAATATAAATTGAATTTTAAAATTAATTTCAAAGTAATTTCTAAAAATCTTGACATAATTTCACACTTACAGAAAAGGTCCAAGAAGAGTAGAAGTTTTATTATATTTGCCTCCCATGATGTGTGTGTATATATATGTGCTTATGAATAAAATTTATTTATGTGCATGTATATATGTATGTATATGTTTTTCTGAGACATTGAAGAGTAAATTACAGACATGAAGTTTCTCTGCCCTGAAATATTTAAGTGTAAATTTCTAATTCACTTTCCTGCTCACTTCTTGGAGGAATTAAGAGGGTACTTTTTGCTACAGTGTTGAGTTCTAAATAAATGTGCCTATTAGGAAAGTGACCCATTTAATTATTTGGGTGTCTTTGGACCTGTGTTACTGAAAACATAGCCCGTGACCCATGAACGCAGACATCGCTCTGAGCGTGTTAGCTATGCGAGTGTATGGCCGCCCCATTTAGGGGGTGGAAGGAGTTTCTTGGGTTAGGACCCAGGAACTACTTTAGCACATGGAAGTTTGGGAGCTAGTGCTCTTGATAAATTGCATATGATTAAGCTATCACACACTTAACTAATTGTCTTTAAATTTTCTGTAAAACTAGCTCTATATACAGATTAATTAGGCAAACCTCTTTCCTTAGTTCTTGATTGCTTTCATCTAATGATTTTTTTCTGTTAATTGTTACAGTACCTAGGAGACTATTCATGGTGACCGTCCTCTGTTGTCACAGGTTTGGATGACTCGTTCAAGTTCTGGAGTGCTCCATCTAGAATGTCCCATCAAGATCGAGATCCAAGTTCTCTCTCCACCTCGGAAACCATGGTACGTCCAAAGAATTCACAAGTGCTGTTTTTAAACCTTTGAAGAAAGTTGAGTAGACCTAGTGGAGAGAGGCCGGCAGGACGTGGGAGGCCTTGTTTGCTACAACAGCCGTGACTTGCTCGAAGCGCTGCCTGAGCCTTGCTCGAGTCGTGGCACTGAACTACCTTTGAGATGAGCTTCCAACCCCTTTCCTGTCTTTTCTGATAGCACCAAAACTTTAAAAGTGCTTCTCAGGTGTAGAAGGAGAAGAGAACAGATCCCCAGTCATTCATAATGCTTGATTCCCCTGACCTTTGGCTTAAGGACAAGGCAATTTGGAGAGAGTTGCCCAATCAGATGACTGCAGCGTGGTGCTGACGCGCACATTTCTGCACACTTGCGTCAGGGAACTGCTTGTCTGGATCGTGCGGAACACCTGAAAGTCCGGTGGGCCTGCCAGCCTCTTCCCCTTTTCTTTCCGTTCATAAGGTGCTCAGTTCTAAAATGTTTGACACACCAAGTATTTCTAAATAATAATGATCCCAGGTGTCATTGGTTTTACAAGCAGGCAGAATCGTTTATTCTCAGCTGGAAAGCATTGCATTCGGTTGTAAAGTGCTGTTGGGATAATTACGGCTGTTGTAGAACCAGGAAGCCCAGAGCTTGTCACTCCCGATTCCAGCAGCAAAGAAGTGCAGGAGTGGCACCTGTTATACAGGCATTAGTAAGAGTCCCTCCTGCACAGTTTCTCAAGAGACTGGTACTTTTTGCTACAGTGTTAAGAGTCTCATTTTTTTGAGACTCAGAAGAGTTTATTTTATTTTATTTTTTTTTTAGTGCTAAACTGAACCTTTGCTGAGGAAAGTGGAATAGTTACCCTGGTTCCACTAGGGGTCATGCTTTCCTTTCCAAGCTAGAAAGACTGTGTGTGCATCTTTGTCTCAGTAAGAAATAATATGACTGAAGGCAAAGAGGATTATTTAATTCATGGAAGGAGAGCATTACCATGTCCTTCAAGGTACTACTTAGGTTTCCCTGTTTGTTAAAAGGGCTGTTGATTAACCTGGAAATCTGTGCATTTTTCTGTTCTTTGCATATAGTAAGTACCCAGTGAATACTAATTGCTCTAATTAAATTTGAGCTGTCTTTGCTATTTTGTAGATATCAGGTTGTATTTATCCTATATAAAAACACAAGTACAAAAAGCAAAAGCAAATCAAACTTGTGCATTTCTGAATTTTATTATAACATATAGATCTTAGGATTTAGGATCCTAAATTAGGATTAGGATTCTAGGTTTTCTGAGAAGAACTTTGGAATTTTGTTATTTGTCGTAATCATTATTCAATTAGGGGCACCTCTGTTAGTGTGAAAACCTTTAGCTTGTTTGTGCTGGGACATCACACACACTTTCAGAAATACATCCCGGTGAGATCTGTTTAGAATTAATACAGTGGCAGGTAAAAATAGGACATTCATTCTCTTTTGTGTGCATGGCATACTCAATTATATAAATATTTTTTAAAAAATTATAAGGAAGAGCCAGGATTATTTATTGTGGTTTTTTCTGTGTTTTATTCTTATTTTGGTGTGTTTGAAGTTCTCCAAGCTAAGTAATTACAGAGTTATAGCCATTGCTATCAAGTGCAAACATTTAAAGAGACAGGCAAAAACATTTTGAACTAGATTTCAGCAATTTTTATTAAGCAGTGACTTCTAACTGAAATAAGTAAAATGGGTTTGGGTCTTATATTTGTACTAAAATAAACTTTCTGCTTTTTGGTAAAACTCAATTATTTTATATCGTACATTTTGGCGTGTGGAACCAGCGTGGCCTGCGGGCTCCGGGGCAGCGTCGGCCTGTGCGCTGTGTGCTGTCCCCGCCCTAAAGCCTCAGATCCAGGCCCTGGAGGGCGGTGGCCTCTCCCAGACTAGCAGCCGAGTCTCAGAGCAGCGGGCCTCCGCCCAAACTCCCAGAGCTGGGAGGCGGGGCAGGACACGCTCTGAGAGGCTTGTTGTCTTCAATTAGATGTGGCCCTGCCTGGGATGCAGGCTGTGTCCTGGGCTCCGAGGTCTGGGTGGGAGTTGGGGGGCTTACAGTCAGACAGGCAAGGGCCCCCAGTCCTCTTCTGCTGGGTCCTTCAGTGGGGCTTTCTGAGCTCGCTCTCTTTTTAGAGTGGACACAGTCCATTTGAATCACAACTGTAGTCTACACAGTTAAAGTGATCTCAACTTCCTGTTGGGATTTACCTAGATTTCCTGATTAGAAATCGTGGAGCACGCCAGAGCTTTTCCGCTCTTGGGCATATAGAGAAAGGTATCAGAAAATTGAACACAGGGAACCTAAAATTCCTTTGAAACTTCACGTACCTTTTTTGGTTATGCTTTAAAAATGTGAGTAGATTTGTACTCCATCTTTTTTTTCATACCACAAACCCTCATTTTCTTCCTTTGTTCTCTTTTAATTTTTGTTTTTTTAAATCAGATAACCTGTTTTGGCACTGATGCTGTTTTTGATGAAAGAGGATAAAAGGCATTAGGACATCATTTTGAAATATAAAATATACAACTCCTGAATTAACTTTGGGAAAATTTTAAAGTGTCCAGTGAACTCTTTTATTTCTGTAAGGCAGAACCCAAAGAAAACAGTTTTTAAACAGTTGGTGCATTTTGTTTATATGACAGGAAGCTAAGAAAATAGTTTTAAACTCAAATTTTATTTTGCTATGGTAAATGACTTTGCTATTTGCAGCTATTTCAAAAGGACTCCCTTAAAAGTGTAACTGCTTATATTGCAATGCAGCACGATTTAGAAAGCCTCTTTAGTTACCATATCTGTTTATAAACACATTGACGAAAAGGTTATCTCTTTTAGCTTTTATAAGCAAAATGTGAATCTGAGTGCGGTGGCTTTAGGTAGCATCTGTCCGTCTTCACTGACAGATATCTGTTGCCTTTTATAACGTCAGTGAGGCAATAAGGCTAGAAGTGTGTACACCTCAGTTCAAGGAAAACTCAGTTTCATTTGTCTTATTATGGGACGTAAATTCCAAATCTCAGGGTGTGTCACGTGGCAGAAGTCAAAGTGAGGGAAAAGTCGAGGTTGTGGGTTTTCCCGAGGCCGTTTTAATGACTGGGGCAAGCGTGGGCACAGAACTAGACAGAGTCACGGGTTCGGGGGGTGACTGTGGCCTCCCATTCAGGAGTTGTCTGTCCTGTGCAGTGGACAGCAGACGAGACTGTGTTCTCCGCTGGCGGGGACCAGGGGTGACGTAACATGCCGTTTGCTCTTAGCCTAAGCCCGCCTTCTCCCCCTGGGAATGGGCAAGAGTCTCTCAGTTCGGCAGAGGTCTCTCCTTAGGAAAGCGTGCCCCCCCCCCCCCCACGTGAGTAGTTTGTGCTGCTCTGACTGCCGTCTCAGTCTCGGGGTCCTAAGTGGCCACACCCCCGACTTGTCCTTTTCTGTCCGTGGGACCCTGGCGAGGGCAGGCCTTTTCTCTGCAGCATTGGAGACCTAACGACCCCTTGCCTCCTGGTAGCTGACACCTCAATTTCAAGATGAGACAAGTAACATATTTCCATATTGATGTGTCTTAGTAAATGTAATCAAATACATATTCACTAAAGAGTATTTTGAAACAAGCAAGGATCCGAACATTCGAGTAGAGCAATTCAGTCTAATACTTTTTTGTCTTTTTGAAATATATTAGTGTAGCAAATATTGAAGTATAGACAGGCTAGTAGAAATATAAACCACCCATAATTAATTTTTAAAATGCTATATTACTGTATAAAGAAGTCCTTGCATTTTCTCATCCGCATGGGGTAAGGTGTAATCCATGAGTGGGAAAAAGTAGGTTTACAGTTGTGAGTGCATGAAACACAGTTTATTCTTTTATTAGTATTTATCATTTATTGTATTTTTCCATATAGACAACTATAAACCTATGTTTGCCCAACCGTGTACAACTAATTGGTAGGTTCTATGTAAAATCCTATTTTGCAAACTTATGTTTCTCTTCCTTGGACAATTCTGAGGAAAATACGTATACAAAATACCGCTTTTATTACTCCCTGGCCTTCGGCCATGAATTGCAACTGTACTTTCTCCTGAGAGCCAGGTACTTCCCGGACCCCTAGCAAACTGCAGGGGAGGTCCCTCTGTGTCTGTCAGTAGTGAGGACTGCGCGAGTGTTTGTCAGCCAAGAGGGTGTCCCGGGTAAAGACAAGCATTCCCACGTCCTCCCCCTTCTCTTCAGTTTTCTTACACGACCGGCAGGCGCGGCAGCGGGGCCAGGGGCGGCAGTCACTCCCAGTGGCCCGGCTGCCAGCCTGGTGTGTGGCTGCCGCCTTCACGCCTATGTTATCCGCATGTCTGCTGACAACAGTATTCTTCCATCTTGTACATCACTTATATCCAATCGTAGGCAAATGTTTAAAAAAAACAAATTTTAGGTTATTTTTTCCTATTATCTAGATCTAATATAATATTTTAAAAAAGCATATAATACATGCCTGTTTATGTGTTATTTATTGAGACTGAAACTCATCTAGGTTTACTTTTTGGATGCCTTGATGTGTGTAGCTTACTTTTTGGCTACAGCTTCCTATCACTTATTTCTTCTTTTTTCAAAATGTCAGACTTGAAGTGGCAAGAGGTGAATAAGGTCTTAAAGTTGAATGGTGGGTTTTAAAACTGTATGTTAATTTCATCTACCGTTTCCTGCAAATTGATATTCTTTGTGCCGTCAGAAACGGTAAACGAAAACAGCCGTGGTTTTTGCCTTCACCCTGTTGCCTCGAGGCCAAGGTGTTGCCCCCAGGGGCCTGCGTGGCCGTGCGCTGGTGCACAGGGAGCTGGGGCGTGTCTGAGCCAGAGGCAGGGCGATCCCCAAGTTCAGCCAACAGCGCCTGCCTTCCGCACGCTGGCAAAGACCGCGCCCAGGTGTGGGAGTTCGTGCTATCAGAGAAAATAAGCTGGCGGTGAGGAAAAGGGTTATCTGACCTCTCCAGATAAGGCATTTTTCACACGGGAGGCGCTGGGCTCATCGGTTTGGGCTTTTTCAATTTTAGGAGGCCACGCAATCTTTACCTAATAAACCTTGAGTGAAATTGTGTTTACGTTCTACAGAATTTCTGTTATGTCTAATGATTTAAAAAGTGTAACTGAAACATAGTGACAGCATATTGTCAAATTTTTAAAACAATTCTTTTACAGTATGGGAAGAAGTAAAGAAAACTGTTAATACTTCAGCTAATTTTTTTCATGGGCACTATTAAAATCTGTGTGTGCCATTTGAAACTTAAACAAACCTCTTTTATTATGCATTAAGAACTCAAGAAATTAACCCAAAGAAAAGGAAAACACTAGCCCAAAGAGATCTGTGCACCCCCATGTTAGTTGCAGCATTATTTACAGTAAGCAGGAGATGGCGACAGTCTAACCCCGCGGAGGGGAGCCGATAAATTACGGTGGGTGCATACAGTGGCGTGACAGTCGGCTGTAAAAAGCAACGGAAGTGTGTCATGCGAGACCAGCGGGGACCTCGGGGGTGTTTGCTAAGTTAATTAAGTCAGGCAGGAAAATGCCATGTGACTTCTCTTATATGTGGAGTCTATAAGTAAATCCATTGGTAACTGAAGCTCATAAAAAAACAATAAAAAAAACTGTAACAGGTCTTATAACAAGTAGAAAATGCCATTCCCAAAACGGTGATCACTCTCAAAATGTAGAGCATTTCCTGTTAGATTATTGAGTGTAGTTGCGCTGTAAGCCTTCTGTTTCAGGATATCTGTTGTGTGCACACCTTGTTTACGTTTCCTTGTCCGTGTCCTCACGTTAAGATGCGATTGCTGTGAGTGAAAGGATGTTCTTGCTGGTCCGTAGGTGGCGCCTTCCTCGGGGAGCACGGGACTGTCGCCGCTGGCCCCCTCCGCAGCGTCTCTCCCCGAAGCCTCGCACGACCCGTTTGTGGCTCCAGGTACCCTGTGGAAGAGTCTATTCAATACTTTCAGAAGGAAAAGTGACAAGTCGGTCCAGACAGATATTTTGACAGCAAATGTCTAGATAAGAACAGAATTAAATAAGTTCCAGAACAAAGCATCTAGATAAGAACAGAATGAAATGTCACAGAACATGACAGAATAAATTAGAATAAATATATCAGAAAGTAACAAAACAAATACTTCTCACTAGTAAATGGGAATTTGGCCATCCATTAAACAGTCTGATTTTGTTAGTTAAGCATAGGTAAGCGGGGAACTGACGGATATTAGTTAACTCCATTTTTTCCCCTCCTTTCGAAAGACCCTTCATTCACCCCAGTAGTCTACCTGAAAGTGATGAGATCCGGGTCCTAAGTATTTTTCAAAGGCTGTGCTTCCATTATAAAGCACACAAAATGCATTGAGTCTCTTATATTGCAAATGCCTGATGAGTAACCTAGGATTTATTTTTATTAGTGGCAATATATACATTTTTACACCTTGCATTAGGAACTGTTTCCAACTCTATTATGCTTTCAAATATATGTACATATATGTATATATTTATACTTGAAGGTCACAACTGAACATTAAATTCCTAACCTGTAAAGAATATGCTGTCTAAAAAGAAGGTGGTTTTAAACACTGAAGTGTAAGCATCTGCTGGGAAAATGCTTTCTAAAACTTCCGAAATACGTGTTTAATGAAGACATTACTCTGAATTTTTATTTCAGTACTTGCTCATAACTTCCTAAACAATTTCCCATTTTGATTTTTAGTACTTTATGTTGACAACATACAAAAGTGAGGAAAAGCTTACTTGATTTTCTTGAGAACAAAGGAACACACTCAGATTGTTTAAGTAGCTAAGGACACAGTATGTAATGAAATTCGATAATGAAGGTCATGAATATTTATCTCTAAAAGTATGTTGTATTACCCTTTTTTGAAGTGTTTTTGTGAGATACAGCTCACGAGCCGCGTTAAGTGCACTGTTCATCTGTTTCCAGCCTGTTCATGGGGTCGCGTGGCCGTCAGCACAGCCAGTTGTAGAATGTTTTCACCGGCCCGGACCCCGGCATCTGTAGCGGTCGCTGCCCCTGCCCCGTTCTCCCCAGCCTTGGTGCCTCACCAACACACGTCCCCTGTCTGCATTCACCCATTTCGGGCATTTCCTGTAAATGGAACCACACTGCTCGTGCCCCTTTGTGGCCGACGCCCCCGCGCGGTGTTCCCAGGGCTCGCGGCGTTCCCAGGGCTCGCGGCGTGGCAGCTCGCGGCGTGGCAGCGCGCACCCGTGCTCCAGCCCCTTCTGTTCCCAAAGGACGTGCTGCTCTGTGGGTGGACCACACGCGGCTTACCCGCTCATCGGTTGATGGGCATGTGGAGTTTGTCCACTTTTTGGCTATTATGAAGAATAATGCTACCAACGTTTATGTACAGGCTTCTGTGTAGCCACACAGGGGTGGGCAAAAGTGGATTTCAGTTGTGAGTACATGAAGCTCACAGTTTATGCTTATATTCTAATTTATTCCTTATAGCATTATTTGTATTCTCTGTCATCTTTTTGTTATTATTTTGCGTCCCTGTTCATGATTCATCTTTCAGAGAGTGACGCCTGGCAGCGTGACCTGCTCTCGCCCTGCCCTGCACACGCGCGTGGGTGTTTGGTTGCATTACTCTCGATTTGGATTTACTTCATTCTCAAGGATTGTGCTTAGAATATATATTCATAGACAATTCTACTGATTGCCAGTCACTTCAGTGTGTGTATTTGACACGAAAAAAGCTTTTGAGCCCCTTTGTTGAATCTGTCGCACGTCTTTGAACTGGGCTGGAAATCCAGCATTGCATTTATACTGCCAGTGAGTCGCAAGACTAGAGCAAGTTTGGATGCTGTTGATGCCTTTCTGAATTCCATCTCTTTAAAATAGTATTCAGGTGCAATTTTTTTTTTTTATTGATAATGAGATTTTAGTTCGCTCAGTCGGAACGTCTAGCAGGGTACTCCGGTGAAGCTGGGTAGCCCTTTCACTGCCTGTTCTGCTGTTCTTGATTTGCGATTTGCTTGGGAATTATCACGTCTAATCACCGTGACGCAGAGCCAGACGGCGGGTGTTTTCTCCAGCACATTCGTTAGGTCCACTTCAGACATGCGACCTTTCATTTTTAAATGCAGTTTCTGACTTTTGTAAAAGAAAAATTGTATTTTGGTAGAAGAAAGCCATTACCAGGGTCTCTCATGAGTAAGCTGCATTTGATTAATAGTTTAATCATCACAAAATAAGTGTTCGTCTCTTTGAGTACTATGCGTATAGATAACTGAGATAATTCTGTCCACGAAAAGTATAAAAATTATATTGAATACACTGGAATTCTGTCCAGAGAAAACGTAGACTTATTCTGACTACAGTGTGGGTTCCGTGCGTGCCACGCTCCGCCTGTTTCGCGGTACCTTTTCCTCTGTGTGCTTGCCCTGGATGGACGTGCTGAGGATGTGTAGTCCATGTTTTGTGCCTAGTCTTTAAAATTCTTCCTCAGGACCATTTGAACTATTTCTGTGGAATTACCTAAGTTTAATTTTCCCAGTTTTTTTAAATTTAAAATATCAAATCTTTCTTGGTGATAATATACTCTCAGAAGTGCCTCTCTGAAGGAATTAATTAATTACCAAGGGAAACTTCTGTCTTTTATAATCACAAAAATTCACAGGAAATCCACAATGATGCAGCAGTATGATGTATTCTGCAGACCTTTTACTAACTTTTGCGTGTTGTCCCACGAATGTGCTTTCTAGCAAAGGTAAAAAGTTCTCTCTCCCCTGGATCCAGCCCAGGTCCGGCCGTGCACGTAGCCGCCCCATCTCTCAGGTGCTGAACGGGAAGAGCTCCCTGGCCTTGCCTGGTCTTCCAGGACGCAGGCCCTTTGTGACGGTCGCAGGCCAGTCACGCTGCAGGAGGCCGGTGTCTGGCGGTTTCCCCGTCCTGAGGCCTCCCGCACAGCCGCCGCGGAGCCGTGATCCCCCCGTGTCCCTTGCCGGTGGTGTTGACGTGGACCATCGCGTCCTGCACGTCTCCGCTGTGAAGGACCCACGCCGAGCGCCCGCGGAGTCCCCCGCCGCCTCTCTTTGGCGCGTGCAAAACTTCCCTCTGACTGTCAGGACCTGGGACTGTTGCACGTAACGGCAAGTAAACCAAATAGTGACGTTCTCCGTGCCCACTTTCAATCACAGGTCAGCCCGACACCGCGTCTCCACGGCTTCCTCGTGACTCGTCCCTTTCTGCCCCGCTGCCCCGACCGTGCGTCCTGGTCACCCCGCCCCTTCTCTCCGCGATGTGCAGCCTCTCCGACAGCCTCTTGGTGATCGCGCCCGCCGACACGGCGCGGGCTTTTCGACAGGCTCGGCTGGTAGAGCTTCTCTGCAGGTGAGGCGGCCCCCCGCAGAGGCGCCCCCAGGCTGCGTGGCTACTGGGCGGCCTCGCGTTCCGGCCGCCTCCCGCCTCGTGGGCCGCCGGACTGCAGCCTGTGCTGTTGCCGGGGCTGGCGGCCGGCCTTTGCTTCGGATCCGGGCGCCTGCGTGTGTCGCTTTGGGATAGTGACTGCTCGCCCCCCTCACAAAAGTCCTGGTTTTGTACCATCCAAAGGCTCTACCCTATTTGTCAACCACGCGCAAGGAATGTTCGGCCCCCTCTCATTCTAGTGGGACGGGAAGGAGTTGGGGGATTTAGCTCCTTGGCGGTCATATCTGATTCATGTCCATGGGCTGAAAAACCGTTTTTAAAATTCATTTGGATTTACATAGTTATGGGAGGCTGAACTTTTTATTAGAAAGTAGTCTCATAAAATTTAGGGAAATGATGGTTTGTTCTTCCATTCATCTATAATATTAATAAGCCCCTGACATAAGGTTTTCTGGCGTTCTCGGTGGTTATCTGGCTTAGTAAAAACAGACTTGGGTGTCGCACCCAGCCCGCCTTAGGGCTGACTCCCCAGGCTCGTCCCCTCCCCAGGGCTGCCGCTGTGCCTTCAGGGTGTCGTTGGTAGCTCCTGCGTGACCGGGTTAACGTGAGGCTACGAGGGATGTGTTTAATAAGGTTTCATTAGACATTTGCCTTTGACAGTCTCTGCTTCCCACTCCATCTGATAAGATCTTTTCCTGTGTTCTAAAATACCTTTTTATAAACGTTTATTGACTTCCTTTATAAAAACCCTTTCTCTTGAATTCTACTCAAGGTCGCAGTCAAACGTCAAATTCTGATGTATCAATCTTTAACTGGAGGCCTGCTAACTGGCGGGAGGGCTTTCTTTTCCTGTCCCTGACAGCGTTGCAGATGCCGCCCCCCTAGAGAGCTGTGTGCAGGAGCTGAAGGCCCCGCTGCCCTCGTCCCCGCCCGTGGAACACACACAGGCCCAGGTGAGGGTCTCCCGCTGCCTTCCTGCCCCACGTCTGTCTGGGCCAGAAACACGAACCCTGCTGAGGCTGCACTAACCACCCTACTAAGGCCGCACTAACCATAGAAAGGGGCGAACACCTCTCCGGTTACACAGGGCCTGGTGGGGTTAGTTGAAATAGGTTACTTAACATTGTAATCTTTAGGGGGTAGAAGAGAGCAGGGGGCTTTGAAGACCTCGATTCCACGCCTGATTCCATCATGAACTAGCTATCGATGTTTAATCAAGGATCTGGATATCTTTCAGCACCGCATTCAAAAAGGAGGATGTTGTATAGCAGCCCGCCTTCCCCGTCTGTGATTTTAGGCTATCTCTGTCATTTTCACCTCAGTTAGCATTGCTAGAAGTCCTGTATCTTTTCAAAACCCAGTCTAATAAGCATGCATTGATTATTTTTAAGTTCTTGCCTGCAACGAGAGTCTGTAAAGAGCATTTAATAGACCTTTGGGTCGTTGTGGCTAACAGAAACATTACGTCAAAATCAACAGTTTTGTACGAAGGGCTGCAAGAGGCATTTGGGGTGAAGTCAAAGGCGGACAGACTTAGTCTCTCTTGGTTTGTAATATCTTCTCTGAGCTTCCTGAATAAGGCAGGCCTTCCCCCCTCCCCCAACAAGGGTGAGTGATGCTGCACTCTGTCTTCAAGCGCTTGTCCCGGCAGCGTTTTTGTCCGCCACGAGCTGCTCTGCACGGTGGCCATCTCCTCCATTGTCTGCCTGTCCAGCAGTAAACCGTTACCCAGGGCCTGCCGCATGCCAGGGTCTTCCCTGCATGAAGAAGACAGAGACCAAGAGCAGACCCACACGTGCTTCATGACGTCATGGGTGGACAGCCAAAGCGGGGCACAGGCCAAGTGACGTCCTTGCTGGGAGGGTAGGGTTTTGCCATATCAGGTGGTCAGCAGAGGCCTACTTGGCTGTGACGTGTGATGTGAAGTGAGGAAGCTAGTCCTGTGGGGCACAGCAAGGCCCCCGGAGTGGGGCATGTTTGGCCTCAAGAGGCAGCAAGGCCGGAGTGGCTGGCGCAGAGTCAAGAGGGGCAGTGGGGTCAGAGCGGGCGGGGAGGCGGGGCCTCTCCCGTTTGCGTGCGCCCTCGGCCCCAGGACCGCCCTGCGCCTGTCCCAGGGCAGCGCCCCTGCAGTACTCGGGGTGCATGAGCCTCACAGTGATAAGCATGAAGCACCAGCAGTGGCCTCAGGGCGCGGCGGGCGGCCTAAGCGCGTGGTGTGTGCATGTATAGTGAGGGGGCCTTCGGGATGTCTCTCACGTTGATTGTGTGGACAGTCTCATTTCCTGGTGATAACGGATAAATGAGACATCATAGCTTATTCTTTAATTTTTACATATTCAGAAAATGATTTTTTAAGAGCTTTTGTTAGTTAATGCTTCTTATAATATTACAAGCAACATTCCAGAAATGGTTTTATTGGTAATATTGGGGCAGATTGAATTTTTATTTTGTAACTAAGAGTAGTATTTTTATGCTGAAGGGTAGTTGAGGGCAAACATGCAACGATTTGCATTTGATTTGTAGCAACCAGTATACTATTAGGCTACCTGTTCCCCCCACCCCGCTTTGAAGAGTGTTTTGTAATTTTTTTTTTTTCTGTATAAAATTATAGGCTCTATGGTTTTGGAATGCCCTTTGCTGCTTCTCTCAGAATATTGATTCCACAATTTAGCTACTTGAAGAATTCTGAGGCTTTCTTTGTCTAAATGGCATTCAGTTGGCTTTATAAATGTTGTTTTGTTCTGTGTCATTATAGTAGATGGTGTTAATGTGGCCATTAACGATGTGCTCACAAGAAAAGTAATGCTCTGTCCACCATGTATTCATTTGAGGTCTTTGAAAGTTATGATTGCTACTTTATTAGGTTGTTTTTTTTTTATGACTGTATTTACAAAGAAGTTCCTTCCAATGCGTAGAAAAGTGAAACACCTCATCGCTGAGGTGGGCCTCGCCTCACTTCCTGTCCTCTCTGGCAGGTGTCCTTCCTCCTCGAGTACCTGTGCTCCTTGTCCCGGCTTCTGCAGTCGTGTGCAGTGGTGGACCCCGACCTTGTGCTGCAGGACGAGCTGCTGAAACCCCTGGTCGCAAACATCGTCAGAGTCCTCACCATCTCCCCCGACGACCTGTTGGGTAAGCTTACTGTTTCAGTTTAGGAGGGATGTGAGTAATATTGAGGGAAAAAATCTTTGCACCTGATATTCACTGCAAGGTACACTTCAGGCGACCCTTTGCCAGTGTTTCGGAAGGTTTCATGATGAGTTTTCTAGTCTGGATGCGGTAAGAGGTGCCAGGAGACCGTTTGAAGGGAGGCTGCGTGGGCTCAGGGCCGTCGCTGTGCCATCAGCTTCAATGAAGGTCAAGTTCGTAATGGAACGTGAGGAAGTGCCCATGAGCTTTAGGTAGTAATTATTCTTGTAAACTGGCTAAGGCCAGGTGACCCACCAATACCTCGTTTCCAGTAATAAGTATACGCAAGTCTAGCATATAACATCTAGGTGTGAAATGATTGAAAAATAAACTGATGAAAAGTTGAATATAGTACTTAGTAGTAGAGACCAATAAAAAAAAAAAAGTAGGATCTTTACCAAAATGCGATAATTGCCTAACATAGTTTATAATGAAGTAATTGATCGTTTGGCAATTCTCATTGGAATCTCACGCCCGGCTGGGTGTGAGGTCTGATAAGTGACACCAGCGCTGCTGCTCGGCAGAGCTGGTCCCCCGAGTCTCTCGTCAGTGTTAAAATGATTGCAGTGCCAGAGGCGTGAGGTCCTGACTAAGCTAATCAGTGAGACCCTGCCTTCTGCAAGGGTGATGTCACCTGCCCTGGAGCACAAACTGACTCTGGGGGGAGGGGCGGGGCCTCCGAAGCTGGCCTCTGCCCAAGAAAGTATCGCTCCCTAGTCTCTTATTGTCCTCCCGGGTTTCCTTGGGTGTCACTTGAGAAGCATTAACTTTGTGTCCTTGGAAGATGCACAAGAACGGTGCCAGGTCGGCGCTGAAGGACCCGTGGCTGTGAAGGGCGGGCTGGCTCGATCGTTTGCCCGCGCCCGCGCCTTGTGGCAGCGGCGCCCCAGCACCTGGAGGCCACACCTGCCTGTGGACGCACTGCCGATTCTCTGCTTTTGTGTGTGACTTGCGATTTGAGAATTAAATGAAAATAGTGTATTATTATTTAATTATATGAAAGTGTTTAACCTGTCATTAATTATGTCAAGTACTGAGGAGAAAAATGTCAGGAGCAGCTGAATGTGCATCTAGTAAGTGGTTAAGTTAAAAGTTGTTTTCTCATATCTAGCAAAAGTTGCAAGTCCACTAAAATGTTTTTTAAGAAATTAAAAACTTTTTCCTGGAAAAATAAATTTTGAATAGTTTTATAAAAATTGATATTTCTAGTGTATATTTATATGATTTGCAATTTTCATGTATAATTTGATACATTTTAATATATGAATAAATTACATTAAAAGTTGTTCAGCAAGCACAGTTATGAAGTTAAATGTTAATAGCTTTTTAATTTTTAATTTAACTTCCAACTTAAATATTTCATTTGGTCCCCTTAAGCCTGTATTGAATAAAATTAGTAAGCTTTATACTTACTCTTTTTATGTGTAAACTACAGATATACAGAGAGCACATAAACAGATACAATATCTGTGGAATTAATATTTCATGGGGCTGATAATGAGAAAACATGCGTCTAATAGACTCCTGTAGCACTGGTAACAACAGAAAGGTAGAGGCATAAGGGGATGCTCTCCTGACGCCCCGAAGGGGCTGTTTCCAGATGCCTGTGGCGCTGATGAAGGCCAGGAAGGAAGTCCTCGGTTCGCCTCGTGGCAGGGTTAGACAGACGGGGCAGAGCCTGCTGGTGGGCGGGGCCGGGGGGGGTTAGACAGACGGGGCAGAGCCTGCTGGTGGGCGGGGGGGGGGTTAGACAGACGGGGCAGAGCCTGCTGGTGGGCGGGGCGGGGGGTTAGACAGGCGGGACAGAGCCTGCTGGTGGGCGGGGCGGGGGGGTTAGACAGACGGGGCAGAGCCTGCTGGTGGGTGGGGGGGGGTTAGACAGGCGGGACAGAGCCTGCTGGTGGGCGGGGCGGGGGGGTTAGACAGACGGGGCAGAGCCTGCTGGAGGTTGGGCAGAGAAGACAGGCCTCAGATGCTGGCTGCGTCCAGTTCTCCGGTGTCACGTGGAGACGGCGGAGAAGCCGTCCTTACCCAAGGAGGTTGCCTGTCATGTCAGCCATAGCGGAGCTACAGACCCGCTTCTGGGTCACCGTTTTCCTTGTGGGAAACGCTCCCCTGGTCCCCAGAGAGCTTCTCCTCTCCTCTGTGGTGACCTCGGTGCACTGTTTGCCGCTTCCCTCCCTCCACAAAGCTGCTGGAGGAGGAGGAGGAAACCAAGAACCTTTACCTTTATAGAAGTGGCACAAACATTGCCATGTTTTCGCAATGTGCCCAGTAAGTACTTCTGAAGTAATGGCTTAGTATTCAGTTTGTCTCATGTAGTGTTTGTAGAATATCCTTTAATGAGAGGAGATGTGCGCGTGCATATTTATTTGTCCATAGGAAGATGGAGGGAAGATGCATCTAAGAAGCAAAGTAAAAGAAAAAGGAATTGAAATAAATTCATGCTGAATTACATTTGTGTCTCTTTGACAAGTACACTCCTTGTTTTAAGTGTAATGAAGCATCTGATGAGTCTTGTATTTGAAAAGGCCCTTTATGTTTGCATTCATAACTTGACATGTTTTGATTAACTCAATAGATGGAGAGTTAGTATCGGCGTTTCATCAGACATGGACACACTTGTTCAACCTCCTGGCCGCCCTCCTGAGGAAGGCTGCGGCTGCCTCTCTGCCGCCCATAACCGCGGGCCTGGCCACGCACTGGCCGGCGGCGCTCGGTAAGGGACACTCTCCCCCAGCTGGGGTCTTCTGCCGATTCAAATGACAATGGTCTTTATTACAGTTTCACATATATGCGCCTTCTCTAAAATTAAGTAGTAACAGCATGGCTCATGAAAGAGAAACCAGGTTCTGGCTTCAAGACGTTTGCAGTGCCCTTGAGAAGCCCCAAAAGCAGGAAATTTTAGGAAAATTGCAACACATTTCAGGGGGCCCTGAAAACAGGTAAGAAAGCCTGTGGCGTTATGAAGGTACAGGCAACGTGGCTATGAAACAGCCCGGATTGGTGTGGGAGCCGGCGGCGTGCACTTCAGTGGGTGAACCTGTGCATAGCATCCTGTGTATATGGTCGTGTCGGGGGTTCTGGTAAAAGTGGTGTCTTGTCCCAAGCTACACGGCTTCTCTTATAGCACAGAAGTGTCAAGAATAGAGTGTAGTTATTTTCATAAAATGTTTTCTCTGTAATAGTTGCGTACTAAACAGTATTTGTTAAATAACTGCCGCCTTTAATTTTTCATGAAGTTTCTTCTAAATTTTAGCATAGCAAGAAGCTTTTTTTACATAAATATTTTAAGTAACATGTATGTTACCTTTAAAAAATAACCAGTTTAAATATATTCAAAGTTGAATTTCAGTTTCCAAGTTATCAGAAATTTACTTTTTTCCCACATTTTATTTTATCATTTGGTCATCCTCTAAATTAAATGTATGATATATTTTGTAACCAGAATGCTGTTTTGAAGTAAGATTTATGGGGAAATACATGTTTACTAAGAAATTGTTAGGTATGTGTCTATAGGAGTTCTGAGCTTCCCTAAGGGGAATAGTATCCATTTAGAGATCATTATTTTGTTAAAAGAAACAAAAATTGAAGGAGATGGGTTGACTGACGGGTGGAGACGGAGCTTCTCCTGCTGCACCCACGGCTCTCGCCGCCAGCATGCCCAGCGAGGTAAAGCCAGACGCCCAGCGGTCCGCCCCGAGTGCCCGGCCCGTGGCCGTCGGCCGTCCTGGTGGAGGCGGTGGGATGCGGGCGGGGCTGCACCGAGCTCTCGCTTCCTGCCCGGCGGGCATCCACGCTGCCGTCTGGGCGTCCAGCCGCGGTGGCGGAGGCCGGGGTCCCGCAGAGCTTGGAACCCTCAGCCCCGCTCTGGGCCTGTGCAGAAAAGGCCGCTGACCCTGGGTTAGGCCTGTTGATCTGGACACTGTCTCCCTAGTGATAACATAAAGACATATCAAATTCAAAATTTTTCTTCAAAACACAATTTTAATTAATAGTGGTGCTAATGAAAAATAACCTACTACATAGATAATTGGCTTTGATAATAGTGATGCTGATGAAAACATAACTAATAAAAACAACCATTTACATTCCTTGCCATGGAGATGTTTTTGTTTGTTTTTGTTGATTTTCCATGCCACGTATGCACACACATTTAAAATATCTTGTGGTTCTGTAACTGACGTTATCTGTAACAATCTTTGCTCAAACTTTCAAACTGGCCTAACATTTAGACATAATTTACATGAACATAATTCTCATGAAATCCACTCCTGACTAAATTATTTTCCTTATGTTACTTAAGAACATGGCAATTTCTATAACCAAAACCTAGGTAGAAACCCTCATGGTTGTAACTCTTAACACAAGTATGAATCCAAAATAATATATAAAGAAAACAACAAAATTATAAACCGGTGCTAGCAAATTAATACCATTAAGGTAATGCAGCAAATGCCCCTCTGATTACATGCAGCAGCGCTCACAGCAGGCGGTGAACACGGCTGACCCGCGGTCAGTTTTCCTCCCGGCCGCCTGCGCGGCGGCCCCCGCCCTCGCGTTCTCCACGCGGCGCCCGCGGGGCTTTCCTCCCTGGCTCCCGCCTGCGCCGCGTGTGAAGGCCTGTTTTAAATGCTGTGGAGCATCAGCTTGTTTGAAAGGGGAAACACAGCCACACCTGGAAGGTGGTCATCTAGGTGATTCAGAGCAGCTGCGTGAACTCTTCTTTTAGATTAGCCTAGAAATTAAAAAAAAAAAAAAAGCTGAGGACTCTAGGCATTTTGGGGATCCCAGGACCTCCCCAGAGGGATCTAGAGGGATCCATACATCGTCCTCTTACGAGGAGTGTTGTGGGTCTTAGCAGATACCACGCACATGTGCATTGTATACACACACAGACTCCTTCATGTAGAAAAGAACTCATCTAAAAAGGATGAAGTGAAAATGAAATAGATTCCTTGATTCAGTATGTTGTCTTAGTACTGTTTAAATTACTTTTGAACAATAGAGTTATTCTTGTGATACTTGAACTGGTGAACATCCTTTACCTCATTAAACATTGCTCATCAGTCTGATTCGCTGCTTTCACTCTGCGGTGATTTTCAAACACTCACACGTGGGATTACCCTGCCTCCTAGACAGGCTCTGCGGGTGTGCGGGCCTGGCCGCCGCCTGCCCTCCGCTCTGCGCTGCGAGCCTGCAGTTCCTCTCCGTCCTCTTCACTGAAGAAGCCAAGAGGCGCCTCCGGGAGAAAGACACAGCCAGCTCCACTCCAACCATGGCTTCCCTTCTGGACGAGACTCAGGAAGCTCAGAAGCCTCTAGAACGACTTAACGAAGTCATGATTCAGGTACATGATTTCTTGAGTTTTTTAAAACTTTATGTTTTCCAGTCCTGGTTTTGTAAAAACAAAAAATTTTCAGTCTTTTGAATTAAAAAGTAATGAATGCTGCCCTGGCGGGTGTGGCTCAGTGGGTTCCGCGTCATCCTGCAAAGAGAAAGGCCGCCTGCCCGCTTCCTGGTCCGGCACAGGCCCGGGTTGCCGTTCGCTCCCAGGTCGGGGCACGTGCGACAGGCAGTGATGGACGTTTCTCCCTCTCTCTCCTCCTTCCCCTCTCTCTAAAAATAAATAGATCTTTAAAGAAACAAATAATTAATACTCATGACGACCATTTGCATAATAGAAGAGTATATGTAGTTAAATTAACCATTTTCTATTCAGTTCCACCCTCAGGTGTTGACCAGTCTATGATATAAAAATTCAAACTGCAGTATTAGTCATCAGAGTCCAGCAGTTTCTCACAATAGTGTGTCATATCATGACCCCTGGGTATATTTCAAGGATGAAGGTGGTGTTCACAATATATTTCCACTTTAAAGACAGTTTGCATCTTTGAAAATCTACTCACCTAAGTGGCATTTGATTTATATACATGAACTGTGTATATTTAAGGTGCTTGTGCATATAGACATAGCAGACCTGGTGGTCCCCTTTTTGAGAAAATGCCCCCTTTCTAAGGTTGGATGCCTTTTTTCTATTTTAACTTATTTTTTACAATGCTAAAATAGGAACAAAGATTTTTACTTCCTCAAAAATGTTCGAAAATCACTGTCAAGGATTTTTACTTTATAGAGTAACAGTGAAGACAACCAGAAGCGTTTCCTAAGAGACAGTTGTCTCTTGCCACGAGGAGTCCTTGCCAGACTGTTAGCGTTAAGACCCCTCCTTCGCAGTGACTGGGTGGCACTGTGCCCTTTGCCCTTTTGCTGTGAAGAGAAGAGTCCACTGACAGGCGTGTTGAGAATCTGCCCCTGCTCCCCAGCCGGCGGGACCCGCCGCCCTCTTCCTTTGGCTGCTTGGGGCCTGGGGGCGTTTGCCCTTTCCTGCCTGCGCAAGCCCTGCTGGTGCAGACCTTTCTGGAATGGCCAGTTGCGCATGCTGCTTGGTGGCCTTGACTGTGCTGGGATGCAGGTGGGGCCAGCAGAGGCCAGGGCAGCTGCCCGAGGAGGGGTCACGGGCTCCCCGCGGCCCTGGCACCCCGCCCAGCAGGCGGTGCTCATCTGGGAAGCGGGGTTGAGGAGCCCGATAAGAGACCCCGGGCGTTTTCTCCTCCGTTTCTCTCTGGCAGCTCCTCAGACACAGGGTCTCTAGGGAAAAAAAGTCCTCAGAATTTCTCAACGTCCCTCGTTCTGGAGGACACAGCGTCCCTGGGGCTGCTCACCCATTCCACTCGGCTTTCCTCCTCTTAAAACCAGGACTGGGTGCTCTTGGCTGGTCTGATTCACCAACAGAACCATAGGCTTTATTCCCCCGGTGATTGACGGAGTGCTGCTTGGCACTGTAAAGAATATAATACGCGCCCTGGCTGGTGTGGCTCAGTGGGTTGGAGCCCCGTCCTGTACACCAAAAGGTTGCGGGTTTGATCTCCGGTCGCGGCGAGTAGGAGAGGCAACCAGCTGGTGTTTCGTTCTCACATCAGTGTCTGTCTGCTTCTCTCTCCCCCCACCTCTCTCTCTCCCAGCAATGAAAAAATGTTCTTGGGTGAGGATTTAAAAAGTGAATATTAAAGAATATAATAAGCAGGAAAACTCAGGTTCACACCTTGACAGAAGTCCCCCAGCCCCGATCCAAAAGCTTTATTAACGTCCGGTCTGGGGCTGGTGGAGCACTTCTCTGCTGCGGAAGGGCCCTGGCTCTGTTCTTCAGGGAGCTGGACTGGCTTGCGGAGCAGGTCGCCTGCTTTCCCTCTGGGGGGCGGCGTGACCCGCCCCTCCCCCATCGGCCCGAAGGCCCCACAGCTCCGGCCAGGACCACGGTGGCACGCATGGCCCCTGCGGCCAGGCCCCCGGGCCCCGGGGGTTGAGGGCCCCCAGCTGTTTCTCTCGCTTGTCAGTGCTGCTGTGTTCCAAGGAGCCGCGAGTGGGCTTGTGGTGAATACGACCCACGGCGGGTGAGGGGCCACATTAAAAGTAAGGTAGCTGCGCCCCAGGAATGTGGGGCCACGTCCTTGTTTTTCTCTAATGTTTTATAATATTATAAAAGTTACTGTTTCTACTCTTTTGCTGTTCCCTTCTGGGTGGAGGAATTATTTTGAACATAACTGGTAGAAGGAAAAGTTATGAAATTTGAATTCTCTAATATTTGTAAATCTAATGAGGCACTTCTTGATTCTGACACGGGAATTGACGAACCCCTGGACACTAATAAAAAGGCACGTGCATATCCACGTGAGAACCTTACCACAAAAAAGTTCCACCTGAATCTAGTCAAGCCTTTAGAGCTCAAATACCCAGTAACTGAGAAGCGCAGAGGAGAGGAGACAAGGTGAGGTCTTCGCTGGGAAGCAGACAGACAAATGCAGAACGTGGGCGTGCCGAGGTGTCGCGGGTCTGGTTTATTCAGCGACAGGACCCTCCTGGGGGCAGGCGGGAGGGAGCCAGGGGGTCAGGATGTGGGGCCTGACGTGCCGCTGTTCACTCTCTCTGCAGTGCTATGAAGGCCAGCCGTCCGGAGACACCCTGAGGAGCGCGGCGGGCCGCGGGCTGGCGGCGCTGCTGGCGGCCAGCCGCCGGGCGCAGAGGCTCGCTCGGGAAGGTGGGCCGCGGCCCTGCGCGGGCTTCGGGGGCGGGCTGTCCGTGCAAGCTCCCCTGCTCGTTCGCTTTACTTTGGGGGAGCCCTAAATGTAAACAGCTTGCACTCTCAGGGCCACTAAAAATAGCCAAGCATGCCTTTTAACATAAAAAGGTCATATGTGTAGATTATTGTGTGTGTGTGTGTGTGCGCGCGCAATGGTTCCTACTTTAGAAAATCTCTAAATATTATAGAGGCTTAAAAAGCAACACATCACTTAACTTTGTAGTGACTAAGTATTAGTAACAGAAGCATGTGTTACATACCTGAAAAATAAAACATAGTATTAATGGCGATACCGACAGCATTAGATGATCCTATATTTCAGTACAAATGTCCCCCCCACCTGCTCCCCAAGTATTTTGATTTCTCGTCTGGAGAGCGAGCGCAGGTCTGAGAGCCCAACGGGAGGCGCAGCCCCGTCCATCCCGCCGATTTCCATGGTGAAGCAACGGCTGCCTTTCTCAGGATGCAGCCCAGGTTTCGGGAGCAGTGTGCTCAGTTGGAAACAAGTCGGCTTTAGCCTCTTGGTTCTCTTCTATTGCTTCCTCTGACTCATTATCCGCTCACTGAAAATACTAACATGGAGCTGGTCAGCAATATAAAGGGTTATTTTTGAGGATTGGGTTGATGTATGTGGCTATAACTCACTTGGAAATGGCATCTGCTTTTGCTGGTTTTCGGTTTTGTCTTCCAGCCGACCTAATAGACGTCTGCGTCGCGCGGATGAAGCACATCAGCGCCCAGCTGAGCCTCGACTCCCTGAAGCCGGGGAGAGCGGCGCTGAGGAAAAAGGTAGCAGGTTCTGGAACCCTGGGACAGACGCCCAGCCATGGGAGAGATCCCTCGCCCGTGTCCTCGTACCTAGAAATGGCACCAACATCGGGTTCAAATGAGTGTCTGACGTAGAAGGAAGGCACAGTCAGAAAAATGAATGGGGTTTCTACATTAGCAGGTTTGGGGGTTTTGTGTTGGGTCTTGGTTCTCACTTCAAGATCTTTAAATGAAACGTATGTACTTGCTGTTATAAACATTTTGGAGTGGGCACGGTAACATACTGTGGAAAGCAGGTCTTTCAGAGCGAGCGCAGGTGCACCGCGAGTGACCTGCGGCTCGCCGTGCCGGGCGCTGTGCTGACATTTTCCTGTCTGTCACCCTGGGCACAGTTGTCATGAGAAAGCCAGGATTTCCCCCACGTCTGGCGGGTTGCAGAGCGGATGTTCCTCGTCTCCAGTTACCATTCCCTTCCTTCTGCTGGACTCACGTTCAGGCTTCATGTTTACATAAACTTGAAATAATACAAGTTTTATGTAATAGTAATGGTTAATAATAATACCTGTGGTTAAAAAGAGCTGCCACGCAGGCTCCCTGAGAAAATGGATGTGTATGTATTTATAAACGTATAAATGCACGTGCATGTGTACAGCAAAGGCCATTGGAGAGCAGAGATCTGTGTGACAGCCAGTTCCTGCTGCGTTTGGTTGGAAACCAGAGAAAGCCACGTTCAATTGGCCGAGTGATGCAGGGCGTTTCACGGCTTTCAGTTTCCTGCCCCCTCCGCTCCCCGCCAAGGCCCTGGACGTCCTCACTGACGAGGCCAGCCAACACCTGAGGCGACCTGTCGGCACCTGCTTCACTTTGTTGAGATGAAACAGGGAGCTTATTAAGTATCTCGGTTTCTCCATAGAATGGAAATCGCTTTCTCGTGGTGGGTGCGCTTGAGGCGCGGCCCCTGCTCAGAGCTCCAGAGCATCTCAGGCCCTTTGGAGGGCGGGGCGGCCCTGCCCTGGGGCCGGAGGCCGGGCAGCCACCGCACCCAGCGTGGGCTGGGCCGCCGCGTCCCGGCGTCTCAGTGCTTTCTGTCCCAACAGGAGGATGGCTTCGCTGAAGAGTTGGGCACCGCCATGCAGCTTCTCAGGAACTGTCTTTATCGGAACGAAGACTGCAAGGTAAGTGGGGCTACTTCTCGGGTTTCGCAGCAGCGCCGGCACGGGGCCATTCAATTTCTGTATGAGGCAGCGTGTGCCGGAAAGTGGAAAGCCCTTTGAAGCTCCTCCGATGCACAGCCATTCGGAGCTCAGAGTCAGCGGCCCTGACCGCCGCGCCCTTCAGCGCTGATGACAGTCCCTGATCACGTCTGCATTTTTTTCTCACTGACACTTTGACTTCCCGTGGCTCAGACACACACGTGCCCCGTTCTGTCCCGTCGGGCATGTCACCTGCTTTTTGCTGAGATGGGTGAATGGCCGTGTATGTCCCGTGAGGCAGGAGCTTCAGAGGCAGCTGGCTGGCAGGCGGCTTTCCAAGGGAACAGTAAGCAGAGGTGCCCGTGTTCCCAAGGAGAGAGGATGAGCGGGCCCTGTCTGCCGCCTCGGGGCTCCGCTCCCCAGGCCCTGCTGGCTCAGCGCCTCTGCCTGGCGCCACTGAGGTGCCTGCTCACTCTGTCAGGAGCAACGATTTAAAGACAGGACTGTGCCCCTGGTCGATCTAGTTCTGCCTCTGCCCACATAGGTGCGCGCGCGCGCGCGCACACACACAGTCAGGGAGAGCTCAGAGTTGACCAGAGTGTTCACTTAAGCAGAAAATCTCATTTCTTAACTGTATCAGGGCATTTACGGTTTATTCGGGGTTGTGAGATCTCACTGTATTGTTACCTGACATGTCAAAGCTGTTTTTCTCCATTCCTGGCGTAAGTTGCCCGTCCGGCGCCCTGACGTGGGAGGCGCTCCCCGAGGGCGGTCAGGCTCATGGGGCCATCCTGGCGCGAGGGCTCCCGGGCCTGCTTGCGCTCATCAAACCAGGATAATTTGATCTTTGTCTGCTTGCGCTGGTGACCGCTGACCTGGGTTTGATCTAGTTTTGTACGTTCCTGCCTCCAGACTAACGCTGTCCTCCTTCCCCGTCCGCAACAGGAAGCAGCGCTCGGAGCCCACCTGGTGCCCGTCCTGCATGCGCTCTGGCCTTGGCTTTTGATGGACGACTCGCTGATGCAAACGGCCCTGCAGCTGCTTTGCGTCTACACTGCGAGCTTTCCCCACGGTAAAGAGCCCCTTGTGCCTTGGGCAACGTGGCATGAGCTCAGATGCCCGTCCCGTGCACCCTTGTCAAAGTGGGCTGGGAGGGCCAGCGCGCGGCCTGTAGGGTGTCTCCCCCTCGCTGAGGGTGTGCGGGCCGAGGCCCGCGGCCTTGTCGGCGTCGTAAGGGCGCGCGGGTGTGCTCGTGCGTTTGGTGAGGAGTCGTGACTCAGCTCAGGGAATGGAGAGGGAGAGATGGGCCTGATCCTGTCGTGGGAAATTGAACTTCATAGGAAAATTGAGAGAGTGAAAATCAGGATGTCAGTCCTTAAAACGCAGGAAAGGGTTAAACCTCTAGTGGATTCAAGAGCAGGGCATGGGCATGACGGGCAGTAGTTCTGAGTGCGGCTGGGGCGGGGGTGGTTGGTGCCGTTGGACGCCTCTTCCCTCCTTCCGCTCACCGCCCAGACGTTGTGCTGCGCACCCACTGTGGCCACGCGTCTGTGGCGGCCAGCCGCTGGGGGCCGGCACAGACGGGGGCAGAGCGAGAACGGGCGAATGGGTGCTGGAGTGGAGGGCCAGGAGCCTGCCGGGGAGGTAGAGCGGGGTTGCGGGTGGCCCGCAGGTTTGTGCGCTTCCCCGTGTCGACATTCAGCTGCCTGGCCACTGGGCCCTCCAGAGAGCAAAAGGCGCACAGAGAAAGGCCTGGAACTCACAGCAGTCGGAGCCTGTGTGGTCACCCCACACAGCGCCCAGCGTAGCTTACTGCCCTCCGGCGCCGTCCGTCGGTGGGGTCCCAGCAGCGCGTCTGTGGCCGGCGCGCACTGGCCTTGGAGCTCCGGCGCCTTCCCCGTGGGGTGCGGGGCGGGCCTCTCCCTAGCCCCTTCTCTGCCCGCCCCTGCATCCCTCAATTTAGGGATATGGGGAGGAAGGAGGGAAAGAGAATCCCTGGCTAAATATTGAGCAAAAATCCCCATTTACTTTAATATCAATCTTTTGAAACTATTATCCGTGTTACTTTCATACTTAAAATTGATATAACTATGAGAATGCGATCAGGTAACTCAGCTGAGGAAGAAACTTCCTACTTTCCTGTCTGGTTTGCTTCCAGGCAAAGTCGCATCGTCCGTGACAGTTTTATGTGACAGTTAATAGGAACAGTGGTGTTTGGCTACCGCTGTGCAGCGAGCACGGAAGAGCGCCGCGTCCGTCCAGGGGACTGGCCTGGCGTGAGTTTGTCTCGCGGAGCGTGGTCACACTTAAGCCGGCCCCTTGCTGGGCCTGCACCCTCGGTCGGCCAGCCCGTGTCTGTTTCATCACGGTCCGATGCACGTCTGGTTCCCTGGTGGTCGTCCTTCTCCCCCGGTAACTCCCAGGCGGCTGCTTAAGTAATGGAGCGGACACGCGAGCCTGGGGGACCGGCGGGCGCCCCTGCTGCCTGTGGCTGCCCGTGAGCTGCGGGACCTGGAGCCGGCCACTGGCCGCTCTGGGCCGCGTCCCTCCCCCGGCCTCTGTGGCTGTGCCATTTGTCCTGTCCCCACGCCCCAGCGTGACTGTGTTTCTTTCTTCCAGGAAATGAAGGCGCTAGACCAAGTTACTGCCCATTTCTAAAATTCTTTTCCTGTTTAATTAGATGTCTTATTTAGGAGCTATTTTAAAACCCTATCATGCTTTTTTTATTTTCTTAAAAAGTAACCTAGTGCTGCGTGGCGCTCTGTTGCCGTCACGAGGCCTTCGTGAGGTCTGCCAGGCTCGCTGGGCGCGCCAGCGCTGGCTCTGAGCCCCGACACCGTTCGCAGGTCGATGGCCAGGTCGTTGGGTGGACCGATAGGCGTGGCTGCTGAGGGTGTTTTGGACCAAACAGCGAAGCTGAGAAGCCATTATGACAAGCTCTTATTTTTAAGGTTGCAGTTCTCTCTGCTGGTCCAGCTCTGGACAGTCCCCTGCTCCGGCCGTGGGCCGGGGCGGCCCCGGCAGCTCCCTGATGCTGTGTGTGCTGCGGCTGGCCTCCCAGGTGCCCCTCGCGAGCTCCGCCGTCCAGCAGGCCGTCTTCACGTTGCTGTCCAACCTGGCCCTGTCCCACGACTGCAGAGGAGTGATCCAGAAGGTCAGTGCTCACGTTGCGTCCTGTCCTCAGCCGGGCAGCGGAGCCGTCTTCCCCGGCAGGGACGGGTGTGGGAAACCCAGACCGCAGCGTCTCGGATTAAGTCAGTTGATTTCAAGACGTTTGATTTGAAAGGGTGGTAAAACGATTGAGAGGTTCCCTTTGTTCCAAGTTGATACATGGAAAGTGGAAGAAGCTGGAATATGACCAGCCTGTTTCCTTTTGGTTTATCTTCTTAGCTTTGGGTTACATTTTATCACTCTGAAATGAAAGGCAGCTGTCTTACATTTATTTGCTATCATAAAGGTAATATATTGGTCTTTAAATAAGACCAAATTGAGCAGTGACAATTTCAGTTCAATTTACATTCTCAGAATGGTTTATGAAATCACAGCCCCTTTCTCTCCGAGTTAGACCTGACGGCTTTATGACAAAAGGCGATTTTATCAGTCCCCGGGGACTCCAGCGCCCAAACTTGAATTCTTATCACTGATTTTAATTTAAAAGGGACTGAGTGGTTGAAACAAATTCTAGCACAGCTGGTCTGTTAGACTCCATTTAGGTGCGTTTCAACAGGATCCCTAAAATGTGAATGTGATCACATGATCTCTTACTTAGTAGCACATGCTAAATCCAGTACTTCTCCTCCTTTTACATGAAGGCCAAGATGATGGCAAAAGTTCACAGCATTCACCAGAATTGAGTCTTCCGCCACTGCCTCATCTCCCCTCCCTGCAAAAAAAACCTTCCACTTTGATTGCAATTTCCAAATAAACTGCAGCCTAAAAAGTAAGGCAGGATCTTTTCAGTGCTGTGTTGGAGCTCACCCATGTTGGCTCCCGAGTGGCATTAATTTTCAGGCATTTGGAAGCCAGTCGACCTCCCAGTGGTACCTTGAAATCAGCTGTAGCTGATGGTATTCACACCAGGTCACTTGGCAAAATGTGCCAAGCAGGGACCCACTGCTGTCCCTGGAGCCAGCGGCTTGCTTCCCGCACACGGCTGGGTGTTTTCTTCATATGTGTGAGTTGAGTGTGTGTGTGTGTGTGTGTGTGTGTGAGAGAGAGAGAGAGAGAGAGAGAGAGAGAGAGAGAGAGAGAAGAGAGAGGCGCCATCCGGCCTGGAGGCCTGTGGTCCCCCTGTTGCTCTGGCGAGGCCGCAGAACCGGGTGCAGGGCCGGGCGCAGGGCCCATTAGCGGGCGTAGGGACAGGAGGCAGGGTGGCCCCCTTGCGGCGTGAGAGCCAGCCTCAGGTTGGCAGTGCGGCTGTGAGCTAGCTGGAGGCCTCTTCTTTTTTAACACTTAGTTTCTTCATTTTTAAGCTTAAGGGGTTAAACAAGTGATTTCTAAGGCATCTGCAGGGATCAGTCTCTGACTAAGCATATTTTGGCATCGAGATGATGAGACGGAGGGGCAGGCCAGCGTGGTGTTTTTCCTCTGCTCTCGGGAGGCACCCCAGCCTTGCTCGGCCGCAAGGCCGAGGCTGTAACGAGCCCCGGACACGCCCGTGGCCCCCGTCGGGTCCTCAGCCGCAGGCTCTGGACGGTGCTGCCCGCGCTGCGCTGCAGCTCGGACTCGGGGATGCCGGCCCTCCGCCCTGGCGCACTCCCGCACCACGCGCGGCCGGGGCCCTTCTACGCCTCCGCGGGCCCAGCGGGAAAGAACGGTCGCCGGCAGCACGTTTCCCTCCGCGGCGCTGCTGTGTGTCTCCTCACTGTCGTCAGCCCGACGGCCACTCTCACAGCAGCAGCTGGCCGAGTGGGCCGCCCTCCCGGCGCTGATTCGGGGGACAGGCGAGGGGTGGGTGTGAGTGCGCGCACTCGGAGTCCTTGTGTGCGAAAGAGTTGAGTTTATTTCATGGCGTCGAGGCATCGTCTGGGTTGAAGTGCAGGGGAACCCAGCAGTAAGCCAGAGCAGGCCGTGGCGGAGGGAGGGGGCCGGGGGCGGAGACCGCACTCCCGCCCCATGTCAGATGCGCCCCCTGCCTGAGGTCCCCGTGCTGTCCTGGGCTGCCGCTCCCTGGGCTGCTTCCCTTCATTCATCCTTTCATTCTTTCTTCCTTTGCCTATAGACTGTTCTAGGCAACAACTTCCTGTCTTTCACGTAGTTTTGCAGAAGGATTTTATTGGGAAGTCGAAATGACTCTTACACTTCCCTACGAGAGCTCCCTCCTCTCTGTTTATGCGGCCGGCCGACGTTCGCCATGAGAAACCTGTAAACACAGGCCGCAGCTGGGTCAATGGAGTCGGAGCTGTCCCCGCGGGCCGTTTTTAGCGCGTCCAAAGCGCCAAAGATTCAGGTTCTCCTCAGCACTGCCAGGGCTCTCCGTGTGGGCAAGATGATTGGAGTTTCGGTTCTTTTCTTTCTTTCCTTTTCTATTTGTTAGTTTTCAAAGTTCTTCTCGTCAATTTTCTACAGTTAGAGTTGGCGTACGGAGTCGTGTGGGTTTCAGGTGTCCGGCACAGTGACTGGGCATTATGGGCCCTCCGACGCGGCCACACAATGAGTGTAGCAGCATGTCGTTGTCATGCTCTCATTGACCGGTCTCCCAGGTGGCACCTCACATCCCCGGGGCGGGCTGGCTTTGTAACGGGGGTTTTGTGCCCTGTGTTCCCGTTCACCGTTCTCCCCCACACCCTCTCCCCTCCCTCTGGCAGCCCCCGCGGGTTTTGCCCCATGTTCCTCCCCATAGGACAGCTCTTAATGAGCAGCCAACTGCCAGAGGCAGGCAGGGGGAACTCGGGAGGCCTGAACCGGTCCCCGAACGGAACCTTCAGTCCTAAATAATTAAGAGTTGACTGTACCTACTTTATCCATCATCAGAAAAGAATTACGGTTAAAATTTGAGCACTATTTTGTTCTCCTTAACTTTTTCACTTATACCTGGAAACAACGTAGATGGGCTATGAGGAGGGTATTGGAGGAAGGAGACATTCAAGTTGGGAAAAGAGCAGAATCCTCGTTAATTGGTCTCCAAGGGACTAGGAAAATAATGCAGAGACTCAAAAAGAAAATAACCTTCTCTCTGTTTACCCGCAGACCAACTTCTTACAGAACTTTCTGTCTCTCACATTGCCAAAAGGAGGAAATAAACATCTCAGTCAGCTGACCATCCTCTGGCTGAAGCTGCTCCTGAATGTGTCATTCGCAGAAGATGGGCAGCAAATGATCCTGCGGCTCGAGGGCTGTTTGGACTTGCTGACGGAGATGAGCAAGTTCAAGCACAGGCGCAGCCCGTGCCTGCCGCTCCTCATCTTCCACAATATCTGCTTCAGCCCTGCCAATAAGCCCAAGATCCTGGCTAATGGTGAGAGCCCACTCCATACGCCACACCCGCATGCGCGCGGGGCCTTTTCTACGTGTGGTGGTTCGTTCACCATTCAGAGTGGAACACAACATGGTTGTATAAATAATTTGCTGGGTGTTTATTAAGCCCCATTCTGTTGAAGGCACTGTGGGCTGCAGAGAGAAGGCATCAGGTGTGATGCCTGTCCTCAGGGGTGAACCAGGTGTGGCTCCGGCCCCTCGAAGCTCCCAAGGCTGCGCAGAGTCCGCTAGCTTACCCGTCTGCCAGACAAGGGTCGCTGCTGGCTTTGGTCAGCAGGCCCAGATGTCTGGTTCAGACGGTCCCAAGTGGAGAGGGCCGTGGGGCCTGCCCTGGCTGTTCAAACAGATCCCGAGAACTCCACATTTCTGGTCACGTCAGGCCAGGTGAAAACAGCAAAAACATGTGAGATAGCAGAGGTAAAACTCCCCTTTACAACCATCACAGAAGCAAAAAGGCGGTGAAAAACTTTGAGGCCAATTCTTCGTGGAAGTCTGTGCCTAGAGAGGTAAGAGGTATGTAGAGAGCCCTGTTGTCCAGGGACATTTGCCAAGGCTGTGGGCTTTTGCGCAGGACCACCAGTGGGTCAGGGATCAGAAGCCAAGGCTCCCTGTGACGGGGAGGCTTGGGCCATCCTGCCTGTACAACGCCGGGCCTCCAAAGAACCGACTGTGTAGGAAATGGATGGATCAGAATTAAATTGGTCCCCCGACCCTCATCCAAGTGGCTGTAAAGAAAACAGGCATGAGGCCGTGTGAGACCGGGTGCACGGCCCAGGTGGCCCGTGACCTGGGCCCGAGCTGGTCCTCGACTGACTGACAGCCTCTGGGCGCTCCGCAGAAGTGGATGTCTGCTCCGGCGCGGGGAGGGCGAGGTCGTGCTGAGCTTCCAGGAGCCCCCACACGTGCGTGTCCAAGAGTGTCGACCCAGGTGCAGTGAAAGGAGACCAGGCCTGTCGGGAAACAGGGCAACGGGAGCCAGAACCAGCCTGGACTTCAGACATTGCAGTTAAAAAACAGTCAGAAACAACTTGAATGATACCCTATTTAGTAAATAAATGCAAACATTGAGGACACTTGCAGGGAATAGGAGACTGGAAAGTAGAAAGATTTGAAACAGAGCATTGAGAACTTCAGTGTCCAATGAGACAACCTGTTAGCTACGCGGAGGTATTTAAATGTAAAGCAATTGGCCCATGCTGCTTGTTGGTCACGCCAGGTGCGCCTGGCCACCAGCTGGCCGCTCGGTGGCACGCGTCAGCGCTGGCTTCCTGGTGGGAGTCGCGCGGAGAGACGAGCCTTGGCGGCACATATGACAACTCGTGCCTCTGCCCAGCGGCGTCTGGTGCCTCCGAGGAGACTTTAGGGATAGAAGACAGTCAAAAAACCAGTGTCCGGGATGCAGTACAGCGCCCGGAAGGGGAGAGGTGTCCAAAGAATGAAGAGGGAAGAGCAAAGGGCGGCGGCCACAGAGGCATTGAGCCGGTCCAGCCGCGAGTTCGGTTGAGGTCCTCAGAGGGGAGACGAGAGAGGGAATGTTTGACATGATGATGGCCCAGCATCGAAGACCTGCTGTAAGACACAAATTGACAGATTGAAGAGACTCAGAGAAGTCCAAGTGGATAAATAATAGTAAGCCCACTTCTAGACACATCACAGTAAATCTGCAAGAAACCAAAGGAAAAGAGGAAATGGAGACTTGCCCTGCGAAAACGCGATGGCGCGTGCTCAGAGTGCGAGCTCCCGTGACGCGCGTGATCGGGGAGCTGCCGACACGGACCAGCTGGCGGGTCCTGCCGCGGGAGACGTGGGGCCGCGGCGTGAGAACGGCAGCACCGCAGCGCCCCTCTGCCCCCGCTGCTCAGAGGGTACTGTAGGGAGCAGCTGCTTTTTTTTTTTTTTTTCCTGTAAAAGACGTTAAATTCCTTAAAATTTCTTTAAAAACAACCGAGTCACTGAAACAGCATTGTCATTTGCATTACTTACGGACTCTCATCCAGCTAGTGTTTGCTGAGCCTCTCAAATCAGGGGGCGCAGTGGCGGGGTCCCCAACAGGGAGTGGACGGGCCTGCCCTCAGCCGGGCTGTGCGGTGGCCAGAGGCATCTGGCCGGGTGGGGGGCAGCCGGGGACAGGTGTCCCCCGATTCCGAAATCTTGCCCTGTAGAAGAAAAGGGTTCAATGTAATGACAGGAAAATACGTCATAAGATATGCTCTGATGTTGCTCTGAAGTGCCTGGGCCATCTCTTCGGTGCCAGGCCACCTGCCTCTTCACTGAGAAGGGGCAGGCCACCGTGCGTGACCCCAGGCTGGACTTCACCCCCCGGCTGCCTTTGCCAGCAGGGCCATCTGTGTGTGGATGTGCCTTTGGGTCCCTCTCCCTCTGACACATGCATCCGCAGCAAAGCACATTCCTCTACGATGTCTGGTGCTTTGTAAAAGGCTTAACTCATGCTAGTCCTTGATTACCAATTTATACAGTAGCCCATGCTATGGATATGTCTGTGTAAAGTCTTTATAATTTATGACAAGAGCAAAGCTGCTTCCCTGCGCTCCGCCGTGTGAGCACTAATTGAGGCGCTCGTCAGCAGAGCTCTGGAACCGCGGGCCTCCCGCTGCCATCGTCTGCAAGTGGGCGCGCCCTCGTGGGAGGAGGCCGGATGGCAAGGCCCGGCCGCTCCTGGGGCTGCGTGCTGTGTCCTGGGAACTGTACAGGGGGCCCTCCCTCGTGCCGCGCGCTGGGAAGATTGAGCTCTCTGAGATAAGAATACGGTGTCATGTCTGGGGCTGAACCTTTTTTTTTTAATGTGTTTATTAGAAAAAGTCATCAGTGTGCTGGCTGCCTGTCTGGAAAGTGAGACTCCCAATGCCCAGAGGATTGGAGCAGCCGCGCTTTGGGCTCTGAGTCACAACTACCCGAAGGTCAGTTTTTAAAGTCTCTGCCGTACAGCGGGGCAAATGCCCACCTTGCGGGCTCCCCGGGACCTCCGAGGAGTGTCGGCGAGGGGAAGACCAGCTCGGGCCGCGGCGCCCTGCGGGCGCCCCCGCACGGCCAGGGAAGCAGCAGTTCAGACGGCCTTTTTCACCCAATCGTCTCAGCAGCCTCTCTCCTGTCAGAGATGTCTCTCTCTCGAGTGCATTTTCCTTGTTGACATAAGTTGCTTTGCCTTATGGGTGCGACGTTATGATAGATGATTTATGCTCAGAGGAGTGTCAAGGAAAAACACGCCTTGAAGTAAAACCAAATAGCCAAGTGTTATCCCATCGCGGGATCTGCCTGCCTTTGGTGCGTGTGGTCCCTGAGTTCTGGGCTAAGCTCAGTCCCCAGGCCCAGGCCCCGCCGGGGGCAGCAGCGGGGCAGCAGGGGCACTCGACCCTGCTCTCTCTCCGGCCTCTGTCTTCGCTTCCTGTGCAGACGTCTCACTCCTGAGAGGAAGGCCCGCGTGTGTCTAGTTGATTACATAGGGGCCAAGTGACAGCGTGAGCAGAGACCATCGTCGCCGACGGGCCCGCTCAGCTGCCGTCCCTCATCGGGGCAGCTGTTCTTCCCGCGGGACGGTGCTCCCGCACGCGGGGACAGTGGCCGCTGCCGCCCCCTTGCCTGTGCCTCGGGGCTCGCACACGGCTTGGTGCTCTGCTGTCACGTAGTAGAGATTTGTTGGCCGACTCGTAACGTGGGATACTTGTCCTGGAACTGGAGGTTTGAGGGAGTGGGAAGGAAATAAAATGGAGAGGAGGTGGTTTAAAACAGTAAAATGAGATTAGGGAGACGGGGCGAAAGGGAGGGGCAGCGAGTCCGTGGGACGGACGAGGAGGAATCAAGTCAGGGAGGGAAGGGGTGGCGCCGCCGCAGTGACTGTATCCTGACCCCTAACCTGTGGTCCTGTGTTCTCTCCAGGCGAAAACGGCTTTGAGGAGTCCGTCAGTAAAAAGAAGAGTGGAGGAAGCATATTCCTTAGCGAAGAAAAGTAAGTTTCATTGTGAGAGAGTGCAGTTAAACTTGGAGGCTCTTGATTGAATTCTCCGATTAGTGAAATATTGGGACAGTTCGCAGCAAAATAACAGTCTTTTCTGAGCTGAGATGTTGCAGACACATTTGAGGAGACGGCTCATTGAAGCGTCATACAATGTGCCAGTATTCGGTCCGTACGTTTCATTCTCACGTTGTTGAGATAATAAAATACGGTAGTTCCTTCCAACAGGTCCGTGGTCCTTCCCTCCAACAGGTCCGTGGTCCTTCCCCAGGCCACCCTTCCTTGCACTGAGCTTGTGTGGGCCACCCCCGCGCTGCAGTGCATTCTCCGGTGACAGGTGCGGGACCCCGTTAGAACGGCCCTGGACAGAAACCTGTGACCCGACGCGGGGGGTCGAGCGGGCCTCCCACAGACAGGGCCCGCGCCCCCGGCCCCGGCCCGACACCAGGCGGTTTGCCTTGTGAAGCGCGGTGTTCACGTTAAGCGATGCAAGTTGTCAGCGAGCGTTGTTCTCTGGCCACTTTTTCATGCTCCGACGTGTGTTTGTGGTGTGGTTTTTAGTAAGTGGCTGTGGTTGTGGGTTTTGTTCTGTTTGTTTCTAGCTGTGATGTGTGAGCTTCAGGCCACGAATGGGCGGGCTGGCCTGAGTGTTTCTGCGCCAGGCGCGGGAGTGTGGCCTAGAGATGATGGAGGCTGTGGCGGAGGACTGGCCTTTTCCATTTACACTTGTTGGCTAACCGATCAGCTAAAAGTAAACGTAAATTCCGTAACTTTTCTTTTTACCGTGTAGAATATCCTAATGCTAGTCCGTCAAGAAGGCAAGTAGAACGTTGGCCGCTCTCAGGTGCAGTACTAAGTTTAACCAGCTTGCTCTTGCACGCTCTCATTTTTCTCTCGCAGCTCGTGCAAACTCCGAAGAGAACCCTCTAAGTGCCTATTATTTGAGATGTCTGGAGAACCTCGTTCAGCAGCTGGCCTGCTCGTGAGGATGGAGGCGCTCCGCCCTGCGGTCGGTGGCCGCCGGACAGCTGAGCCGCGCGGGCAAGCTCTGTGCCCGGCGGGCGCCTGAGGACAGGCGAGTCGCCTGCGAGGTGCCGTGCCTCCCCTCCTGACGGGGCGCGGGGCTGGTGGGCCCAGCTCCGTCCCTTCACTTCCGACCAGCTCTCTCCAGGGGAGAGCAGCCGAGCAGGAGGCGGCGTAGAAAAAGGACACAAAGTTCCGGGGACCGCCTTTTTCTAGGCAGTTTGCTCTGTAAAAATCCTATTTAACAGTTATTTAATAAAATATTTCTAGAAACTGGACATTGACTAATAATTGCTGCCCACAGGCTTTTCTCAGTCTCATAAATGTAAATTGTAGGAATGGAAAGAAGAAATATTACGATTTCTTTTTATAAAGTTTTTTTACATGAAATTTTGCGCCTGTCAATACAGATCCTTATCTTTTAAACTTCAATGTTGTCCAGAACATACACATTGGTGAAGGGCTATTTGTATATAAATGTGTATAATTTTGTGAGCAGCTTTTTTCTGTAATTTTTAGTGATAGTTGCTCCTTCCCCTGTGATATGTAAAGCTATTTATTTTATTCTTTTTATTTTTCAACTTCTGAAATGCTGTGTAATAACAAAGGAGGAAATGGAGTTTTTGGTGGTAGAGGCCTGGGTTCAAATTCCAGCTCAGCCCCAAATACCGCCAAGAACAAGACTGGAAAACCGCTCAGAACCAAGCCCTGTCGCGCACCCCCGGCACCACCTCACCTGGCGCGGCCTTCGGAGCGCAGAACTTCAAGCTGCATCAGCTCCCTTTCCGCAGTTCCCAGACACTTGAAAGTATGAAGAAAAGACCGTGTCTACGGAGTGAAAACAAAAACTGATGTGTGTGTGCGCCCTGTACATACATTTAAGGGGAAGTTTTATCATTGAATTATGGTGAACAAGAAAAAATTAACATTTAAAAAAAATTAAGTGCTCTTAGCACATTCCTATTATCAATCAAATAAGCCAGGCAGTGTTATTTCAGCTGGAAGTGTGAGGATGAAATATATGCTAAATACTGAAAGAGAAGCAGATAAATTTGCAGTGTTTCTAAGTTATTGATAGAGAGGCAACACACAGGTGCGGGAAGTTCAGGAGTCCTGGGCAGCCCATGCTCATGGGAAGCAGGGGATGTGGCCGTGTTCCGAAAAATCTACCAGTTCTGAGAGCAGGAATCTCAGGAACTATTTCTATCTTTTCCCCTGGTTTCTTATATTTTATGTCATTTTCTTGGCATTACCTCTTAAGCCCTCATTAACGAATAATGGGGTGGATTTCTTTGTAACTTTTGGTTTAAAGAGCTATTACTATGTCACAGGTGCTACTGTAACTTTTTACCTAAAGAGCTGTTACTATGTCACAGGTGCTACGGTGGCGAGCACTTACTGTGTAGTTTACTGTGAACAAATGGAGGCTCAGCGCAGCTGTGTAGTTTGTTTGCGGCTGGAGACTTGTGGGGTTGAGATTGGACCCAGGGTGACTGCTCAAATGCCCGAGGGTGGTTTTTGTTTTTGTTTTTGTCCTTGCCTGAGGACACACTTATTGATTTTAGAAAGGGGGAGGGGAGGGAGAGAAACATCTCAGCTGCCTCTCACAGGTGCCCCGACTGGCACTGAACCTGCAACCCAGGCATGTGCCCTGATTGGGAGTCAAACCCGTGACCTTTCGGTGTACGGGACGATGCTCTGACCAGCTGGCCTGCCCGGCCAGGACCAAGCCTGGCGTTTTTTAACCACCGTGTTGTGCTGCCTCCTTTTCTCTTTTCCCTGTTGAAGTTCTTGCCTTTGTGTTTGGATCTTACAGGAAACCGCAGTTTTTCCACAAACACTTGGGTCTCTTCAAGGAAATTTGCAGTTCACAGATTGATTGATGGGTTGGTTGACTGACCTATCAGGGTGTGCTTTGCCTCGGGTCTTGGGACTCGGGAAGAGCTGTCATTGGTTATTGCCCGTGGCAGTTCGGGACGGTGCTGGAGGGGGAGGGTAACGCAGCAGCCAGAACCGTGCAGGCCGCCGCCCCGGAAGGAGGCAGAGGTCATGGCCTCAGGAGAACGCGCCCTGGTGTCCGCGGGTGTCCAGGGACGTGAGGCTGGGAGGCCTGCGGCGCCCTGGGTCCCGATGTCGCTCCTCACAATCTGAGTCTCTCCAGACTGTGCAGCCAACCAGGGGAAGCTGCTGAGCAGGGGGTCCCTGAGGTCACTGCTGCGGTGCCACCATGGGGACCCCCCCTGCATCGGAACCTCCCAGGGTGCGTTTGGAAAGGCGGGTGCCTGGCCCCACTGTGACACGGTTGTCACGTCCAGGGGACTGGAAGTTTCCCCAGGCGGCCTTTGCGCATGGCAATTTGAGAACCGCTGACTAATCCCTGGCGTTACAGAAACCTGTTTGGGATGTGAACGTGACCGTCATGCAGCTACTTAGGAAGGAAATCAGGACTTGGCTCTGGGTCTCTTGATTGCTGAAGTGTTTTCTCTGCTGCGTGTCCCTAGTTGAGGTAAAGATCCAGGAAGCAGGCCCAGGGGACTGGCATGTGGCTCGCGGTCTCCACGTCTCCCACGCTGTGGCCTGTTGGCCGGCTGGGTCGGAGCGTGCGTGGAGCTGGGGGCGCGCGCTAGGCGGTGCCATGGAGCCAGAGCCCGGGCGTCAACAGGGAAGCTCCGGATTGGACCCCTGTGCAGTTTGGGGGAGGAGGCAGCTGCCGGTTTTGAAGATGGGAACAGCTAGAATTGTTAAGTGGCCCAGCGGGAGCCTTTCCCTGCTCTTCTAAAATGGCCTTTACAGCCCTGGCTGGCTGGCGTGGCTCACTGGATTGAGTGTCAGCCTGTGAACCAAAGGGTCACTGGTTCAGTTCCCAGTCAGGGCACATGCCTGGGTTGCGGGCCAGGTCCCCAATAGGGGGTGCACAAAATACAACCACACATTGGTGGTTCTCTTCCTCTCTCCCTCCCTCTGCCTAAAAGTAAAAAGGGATAAAATCTTAACAAAACAAAAACCCACCTTTACAGGTGATGAGTGGATGGGCAGAGCAGAGTAAAAAACAGAACTTGCCCGTGTAACTGCAGGTCACCCCCTTCCCTTCGTCATGTGAAGTAGACTCGTCGAGTGCAGTCATTTTCCATCACTGGCTGGGCCTGGCTGTCCCCCGTTCCCTCAGATCTGCTTCTTGACCGTAAGGGTCCTCAAGTGCAGCAGATTGATGGGCAGGAGCCGCGATGGGCTCCCCTGCTCCTCCGTGACCGGTGCGCCCTCCGTCGCTGCCGGGAGCCGGAGGGGGCTGCCGTGCAGTGCTATGCGGGGCTCTGCGGTTGGTGGTGCCTGGATGACCTGGGGACCCGGGAGCGGCCCGTGGCCGTTGCTGCTGCTGTACCTGGGGACCAGGATACCTGCCTTGTGGTTGCCACCAAGGTCGTCCCTGGTGCCCAGCCGGTCCTCCTTTAGCTGGGGTCAGTGCTTCATTCTTAAAAACGCTCCAAAAGTCATCTCTCCTTCATGAAAATACTCATCTTTTGTGGCCTCACCACCCAACAAGTGAGCTGCGTTGTCCAAACCCAGGCCAGCCCTGGTGTTGGTGGGGACGTGCGCCTGCGGTCCCGAGGCCCCCAAGGCCCCCACGGGTGCAGACACTGCACAGGCCACTGGGGAGCCCAGGCCTGGCCAGCGCGGCGCAGAGGCGTGAGGCCTGCCTGGGGCTGGACGCGCTTCGTCCTCCTGAGGGGCAGCTTGTGCTGCCAGTGGGTGAGGTGCTGCTCTGCCTCCTTGTGGATGGCGACAGTGGAAACATACAGCAAATCACGACCTCAGCAGCCGAAAGAGCATCTCAGCGTAAACGTCCATCCTTTGGGAGGAGTCGTTGTCCTTCTGCCTGCCGTGACCTCTGCGATCCAAAGAGTTAAAGGGAGTGGACAATAAAATGCTGCTTCTTCGAGGTTATTCTTGCTAAGCTAAAAGTGACTCCTCACAGAGGTTGTAACACTCCACTAAGTGGGCGGGGCTGAGTGAGGGTCCTCTGGGCCTTGCATGGACCCCCGAAGTCTGAGACCCGGCGCAGGATGAAGAGCTGGACGACACTCACTTGTTTCACCTGCTCCTTCTGCGTCTGAGAAATCCACTTCAGAAAAAATCGGCTCTTTTTGAACAATGGCTCACAGAAGACCCATAAAGTAACATGCAGTGCATTTCTGTTTAACTAATTTTGCCTGAAAGCCAAGAGAAAAATAGGCGCTTCAATGTAGATGGCGAGGAAACAGTTTATATGAGGGCCTCCCGTCTCCGCGACGCTGTCCCTGCCGCCGCTGGGCTCAGCAGGCAGCAAGACTCCGTCCGCACCCTGAGGGTGGGAGAGGGGGCTGGCTTGCAGTTCTGAGCAAATGTTGGAAACGTGATTTCCTCAGATACTGGATTAGAGCATTCTTCCCTTGGCTTACCATGGACTGACAGATCACAAGAGGGAAAACTACTATTTTAGTCGTTTTCTCATGATACTCACAAAGGTTGGATTGCAAAGAAGAAGTTTATGGTTTACAGTCACCTTTTATATGTTAAGAAAAGCCATGATTGTCTGAAATAATAATGGCTTCAGGAAGAGGAGTTTCTTTGTTCCGTTGCTTTTTTCACATCCAGGAAGCGCCTGGTGGGGGGGGGGGGCCTGGGGGGAGACAGTGCTTGGCTGACCGTGTCCTTGGGGCCTCGGGGGGCCGTCCTCCTGCTTGGCCAGCTTTGGTCCCCAATTCCTCCAGCAGGTCCCCGGGTGACCCTCAGGCTGGAACAGGACAGAGACGGATGTGCCCAGCTTTCTGTCGCCCTTCTAAGGAGCCTTCCCAGCAAGGCTGGCCCCACAGCCTGCCCTCCCATCTTCTTAGACAAAACGCAATCAGGTGGCCCCTCGTGGCCGCCAGGGCACAGGCTGCAGCCGTGCAGCTGGGCTCCCCCCCGCGTCCAGTCACCCCCCCAG